TGTAGCGAATCGCCTGCGTAGGCTGCTAATTATTACGTATTATATTTTTAGGCAATATAAAAAAGCTTTATAAATAATACGCTTTACCGCTTTAATTATTTATTTTTTGCGGTTAGGAAATATTATTAAAAATATAATTATTAATATAATTTTTTAATATTTATATTATAAATAATTTTTTGTTTTATTTATAAATGCTAACGATTAATCGTAAATATTACGGTGCTGTTTTTTGCTGAAAATTTCGATTTTTTTTTAATTATTTATATTTTTATGCGAATTTTAAATATACCGCGGCTTATTTATTTAGATATTTTTAAATATATAATAGATTAGTTACCAGGCCGTTATATTAAATAATATGCTGCTAATTAGAAGGCTGTAAAGTGTTAAACGCTAGCAAAAATATTAGCGCTTTTAAGTTTTTATTATTTATATTAATGTAATAGTAATAAGTTATTAAACGGTTAAAAAAGACTTTTTATCGCTAATTATATTTTTTATGCTTTTTTTTTTTTTTTATTTATTTTTGCTTTTTGCTTCGGGCTAAACGGAATTTGCTTTATATATAGTTAAAGGATTTTTTTTTACTTTTTTTTAGTTTTTATAGGCAAATATACGATTTACGCGATTTAAATAATATAGCTAATAATTTTATTTCCGCTAAGGCTTTAGCTAACGGCGCTTGGGACGGAGGAGCTATTAATATTAGACGTAAATAAGCTTGGCTTTTTATATATTGTGGGTATTAATTGTAAAATATATATTTTTTTTTAAATTTATTTTAGCATTTTTAAGGTAGGTATAATTTATAATATCGTTAAGTTATTAAACGGTTTATTTATTTAACGCCCTGGTTTCGGCGTTAATACCGGATATTTAACCGATAGTAAAAAAAACGGTAATGCTGCCGTTTGTATTATTAATAGCTTGACCGATTTTGGTTTTTAATAGATCGGTAAGGTTAAAGTTACGCGGGTTAGCAATTTATATTTTTTTAAGGCTACCGAATATATTTATTACGTAATTGGTTATTACTGGTATAAGCGCGTTTTTAAGGGTAAAAAAAAAGGTAAGGATAAGGAGGTTAAGAAGGAGGTTAAGAAGAAGGAGGTTAAAAAAAAGGAGGATAATAAGAAGATTAATTAGGATACCGATAACGAGCTTTGAGGTGGTAAACGTATTAAAAAGTACCCTAAAATTATTATATTCTTTTTAGGATAGAAACCTTCGATTTGTATATTTATTTTATTTTATTTATATTGCCTTTAATTATTATATAATATTAGGATTTTTAGAAATATTTATAAATATAAATATTGCTACGTACGGCTTTAATTTTTATTAAAATTTAATTATAATCGCGCTTAATATTTTTATAAATATGTAAATTAGTATAAAGTATTTTATTATTATCGCTTTGAATAGGGGGTTAGCGGCGGCTGTTATATTGCTTATATTATGGTTATTATGATAAGTAATAGATATAAATGGCGTTAAAATTTTGTTATTTGCATTTATATTATTATTTTATATATTATAATAATTAGTGGCTTTTTTTTTACCGCTTTTTATTTTTAAGCCGTAGCAACCCCGGCGCTTTTATATAAAATCGGCTTTTATATTTTGTTTATTTTATTACGAAATTTTTTTTAGTTTTATTTAATTATAATAGTAATTTTTATTAAAGCTAATCGTATTTTTTAATATATTAATTATAATATAATTAAATTAAAACGGTAAATTTTATATTATTTTATAGTTTTATTAAAGATTTTAAGATAAAATGCAAAATATTAAAATAAAGGTTTTAAGGGCTTTATAGTATTAACCTATAATATTAAATATATTTTTATATTTATTATAATAATAATTATTATTAATATTAATCGTTTTTTTTAATATATTAATTATAAATATAATTAAATTAAAACGGTAAATTTTATATTATTTTATAGTTTTATTAAAAATTTTAAAATAAGGTGTAAAATATTAAAATAAAGGTTTTAAGCGCTTTGTAATTAATTTATAATATTAAATATATTTTTATATATATTACGGGAAAGTTTATTTTATATATTAGCTATTTGTAAAATAATATTATTTTTTAAGGCGATATTTAGCTATTATATTTTTTTACCTTAAAACGAGATTTTTAAAGCGCTAGGAATTTTTTTAAGCATTAATTTATTAATCGGTATAAAATAAATATAATATTGTAAAAGTATTATTATGGTTGGCGTTGCTTTGACGGGATTATATATAGCGCTATTTTTAATAGGAAATAGAACCTTAAAAAATACCGCGTTTAGTATAATTAAGGTAAAGATTGGTAATAAAGCGCTAATATCTTAGGTATTGCTTTATTATTTAAAAATATAGCTTTAATGCTATTATAAATAGGCCTAGGTATTATAATCCTTTTTAAAATCGCTTTATTATTAGCCGCTAATAATGCTATATTTTTAGGTATACCGTTTATTATATTTGCCGGCTTAGTATACGATAATTTCGAATATTGCGCGTTTTTAGCCTAGTCCCTTTTTTTATTGTTTTTTTTAAATTTATTATTAAATATAGATTAAAATAGTCCTAAAGCGAAATGATATTAGTTTAAATATAAGCGTTTTAAAAAACCGATATTTAGCTATAAGGTTAAGCTATTAAAATCGGCTTATTAGCAAAAGGCGATTAAGTGGTTTTCGGACGCTAAAAAACGCTATTTTAAATTATAAATTTATGCTTTAATGGTTTTGTGGGGTTTTTTGTTTTCCGTCGGTAGCTATGGTATATATTTTATTTGCTTAGCAAATTAAATAAGCCTAAAGGCTAATAAAGTCGTTAGGTATTTTAATTAAGGTAATATTTTAATAAGTTAATTATATATTTTTGAATTTGATTTTATGGTTTTATTTTTTATTCCGGGAAATGCTTTTTTTATTATTTTATTAAAAAAACCCGAATTAATAGCATTTATAATAAAAGGTAATTTTTACTAAATTAATTAGTTTTATACTTTTCCGCTTATATATAATATTATTTATTTTTGCTAAATATTTAAATATTTAAATTATACGACCGCGGCTGCGAGGGTAGCCGTGTGGTATAGATAATAGCCGTGTAGCGGCGTAAAGTTTAATAATTTTTTGGAATACGGCCCGTTTTAGCGTATGGATGGCTTTTATTTTTATTATAACCGATTTTGCATTTTGCCTTTTTATATCGTTTACGAGCCGGTCGCCGTTAATAAGTCGCGAGCCGAGTATTTTAACCGCGCGCGGTTCTTCCGAATTTACGGTCGCCTTATCCCGGCTTTTTGCGATAAATATAACCCTTTTTATTTAATATAGCACGTAGTATTAACGATATATAAAAAGTGTTTAATTTAAATATAGCTTTATTATGTATTTAAAGGCTTTAAGAATTTATTACCGCTTCGGCGGCTACGGCTATATTTATTTTTTTTTTTAGAATACGAGCTTTTTATGCGTTTTATTAGTATAAAGCAGGCGATTAATGTGCGAGTATATAATCGCGTTTTATTTATACGAAAAAGAGTAAATTATAAGCCGGGCTTTATATATAGCTTATATTTATCGGATCGTATAAAGGGATTCGCAAAAGTCGTCGATTTATAGGCTTATATCGTTTATTATTATAAAGATTGTAACGATTAAAATAGGCTGGTTAAGGTGCGCCGGATTATAACGCTATAAAAGCAATATATTAGTATAAAGGTAGTGCTGGGTTATAGTGTTATATAATAGAGATTATATTAGCTAGATTTGCTAAATTTTAGGTGGGCTAACGTAAAAGGGTAGGGTTTGCGATTATAATGCTTAAATATATATATTTTGTAGCGTGTGTTTAGGTATATAAAAAAATAAATATATATAATATATGATATTATAGAGTACCTATTTATTAATTATATATATATTAAATTATAATTTTATTTTAATATATTTCTTTTTATTTATTTTTTATTATTATTTTGCTAAAAGTCGATTTTAATATTTATTACTTATTATTAAAAATAATGCATTAATAAAAACCTTATGAGATAGCTAGAGATATTATAAAATAAAGTAAAATAACGCGAGACCTATTTTAAATAGCATAAGACTTGCGTAGAATAGTGTTTTCGGAGTCGATTTTTACCTAAAATAGCAGTCATCCCCATTTTTCTGTCAGATACATTCCAGTTTCTCCCGATGCTCCAACGATGGCGACCTTCATCTTGACAAATTTGGAATTGTGTGGGAGTCAATGACGGTTAATTTGGCCTCCAGAGGGATTATAGTGCGAAGCATGCATTTGATATAATAGTTTTCCAACTCCATACCCCCCACTCGCGGAGACGCCCAGTCGGAAACGGGCTAATTGCGGCGACTTTGTGCACGACGAATAATACAAAACACGGAGTGCATTGACCTCATCTCGGTCTCGTTTTCGGTCTCGGCACGCACTGCTAATTAACTTCCCACTCCCATATTTCGGACATTGTCATTGTCCGCTCAATCTGTACGGATGCCCAGAGGGCAAACTGTTGAAAAACCAAGATTTGGATAAAATCACCCTATTTACAGCAGCAAAAATCCACCTCCCTTTGCCTTTCCCCCATTTTGGGGATTTTTTAACAAAAAGAAGAGAAAAAAGAAGAGAAAAAAGAAGAGAAGGGAATAATAAATTCTTTTATTTATTTTTTTAATTTTTTTAATATTATAATTTATTATAACTTTCTTATAATAGCCACGGAGAAGTGAGCACATGAGGCTAAAATCGCGGGTTTTCAACAGTTTGCTCTCTGGTGCTCCGTAAATCTGGCGATCGCGCGCCAGCCCTAGTATCAATACCGGAGTCAATTATCGTTGGAAAGAACTTGTCACACGGAATTTGGAGTCCTATTTGACAGTGAAAAGGATTATTCAATATGGATCGGGCCGCTTGAAAGTCTATAAGCTTAACAATGAACAAAGGAAACATACAACTGAGTCTTATCAATTCAGATTCTCCAAAACTCCTGGTTGGATCTGCTCCAACCTTTTACACAAAGTTTCCCAAACACAAGTGGCTTTCTCGTTGTCAAGAGCAATGGGTGCATACGCCTGCACCTCTCCCGCCCTCAAGTATAGTCCATGAGTTTTTCTTCCTGCTGCTGCAGCTTGCACCACTAGCCGTGAGCCCTCTTCAGCAGTACGGGCGAACATTGCCTGGAAGATATTGAAGAAGATTCGGGCTACACCCGTCAAACCTCCCACCAACCCAGTCTTGCAGAAACAGGGGTCCAGGGAGTTTACCACAATGGGACGAAGGTTTGTCTTTTCGACTGGGTCGATGGCGGCACACATTTTGATGACCGCATAGAGCTGCAATAGCTTTGAAAGATTGTATCTGTAGCGAGATCGTAATCGTCAGCTTAATCTCACAAGAAAAAAAAACACAATTGACTTTGGCCTACTGATTCGTCTTATCAAAATGCGCATCGTCGCTGAACCAGCTAAAGATATCGTCGCCGTGGTTCTCGGGGTATTTGGCAATATCATACAAGGCCGACCCAACAAAGGTCATGTGCGGCGTCGTCTCGTACTTGCGGGCAGTCTCTCTCAGCTTTGGGATAAGTTGCACGGCCAGCAGAAAGGTCCCGATGACATTGATGCCGAGGGTACTTTCAGTTCCGTATACCTGGACTTTGCTACTCGCGCCGATTCCTGCATTGTTGATGACGACGTCCAACCTTGGTAGAGTGTTCACCTTGTCCACAAAGGCCTTGATGGATGAGGAAGAGGCGACGTCGAGTGTCCAGACTTGGATAATCGCGGGATCACAATGAGTGACAGCCTCAATTTCCGCCTTTGCTTCTTCGCCTCGCGATTGACTGCGGCAGGCAAATATGATCTTGTCAGCTCCAAGGCGGATGAGATGCTTGACAATCTCCTTGCCTAAGCCCCCATTGGCTCCAGTGACAATGACCGTCTTGGCTTCAAAGGAAGATGTTGGCAGTGGTATCTTGAGAATTAGCTGAGTATGGAAGAAATTGGCTAGGGAAGGCATCGCGGATGTAAGAGGGTACTGTTCTTCTATTATTATTGCAGATGAACCAGAGGTGTATGAGTATGCTACTTGGTTAAAGTGTGATCAACCTTTCAAATATATCTCTTCTCTGGCGATGGCTCATTTGAATAATGTGAACGTTGAATCCAAGTCCACGGACTTTAATCGGGCTGAGACAAATCCTACTGTCCGTGGCGCATGGCACAGCAAGTGATACAAGGGGCGAGTCTAGGACTGTATAGGTCTAATCTATGGAATCTACTACCTTTTGCATATCCCCAGTGTCGTGATTGGTCTAAGTCAACACGATATTCTGCTGATTAACGCGGTACTGGTACATGTTCCAGGTCTATAATATAGTTCAGTTCGGCGCATTGGTAATGTGGTAGTACTTGTCAGATCTTACCATTACCTCCGCGGACTTAAGAAAGAAGTGGGGACCTCTCACTCACCTCTTTCACAACTCCGGCCATGCTCGACATCACTTTCTCCATGGACTTATCTCTGGGCCAAAGTTATTGAGATTTTGAATATGGAGTCTCAAGGGACAAATCTGCCAACACGTGTTGTAAAACAGAATCAGCGGCCGCACCGGCGAAACCGAGTCCCTCTATCGTGTGACCCATGTCGCTCTAGAAAGTATGTCATCCGAATACCCCGGGTTCTCCACCCTTCAGCTCATGCTCAACTATACCTCCTAACCTTTGACTATGGACTGACATGATCTTGAGGTTGAAATGTAATCGGGAGAATCCTTGTCAGAATTGTGTGGCTCGTAACCAGAATGACTCCTGCCATTTCCGCGGCCCAAAAAACCAAGCTGCATCCGTTGGAAATGGCAATACTACAGGAGATGGGATGCGACAGCGTATCGATCATCTGGAAGAGCTTGTCAAAGGATTGATTAATGAGCAGCAGCAGACACAAGAACAAGAGAGGACAGCTGTGATTACGCCTCAAAGTCCCGAAGCAGATTCAACAACAGAGCCATCTGCTGCAATCCGCAATGGGCAAGATGGTACCAGTGCTGGTCAAACAGTAATAGATGGCAATCACTCGGTATACATGGGCGATAATGATTGGTATACCGTGCTTCAAGAGGTAAAGAGACTACTCGCCTTGCTAGACTTTCATCACTGACAAATTGAAACTAGATCAATGAGCTCAAAAACACTTGGACGCAAGAGCAAGAGTCTCACAGCCATGATAGCCCAGATGCCGATCTGTCATATACGGTTGACGGATCCAGTCTTTTGTTCAACCAGGTCAAACCTATAGAGAGACTTGAGATACTTGCGTCGCTCCCAACCAAGGCAGAGACTGACCGTATGGTTGCCAACTTCTTTGATCGCTCGAATTTTCCGATAAATATTCCTCGTAAGCAAGGCCCCTTGAAGGACTACGTGGTCTTTCCCACTAATAACAAAACAGCTATTCTGCACGAGCCAACGTTTATGCAAGAGGTTTGTCAACAACTCCTCAATATGAAGCGATAATATTGACTCATCTTCTCCCAGTACAATGAGCATTGGAAAGACCCCACAAAGACGGGCTTCATCTGGCTTGGTCTTCTATTCTCTATGCTTGGCATCAACATGCTTGCTTACGACCAGTATGGAGAGCCTTCAGAGTACGAGGGCATGGCAGAGTCCCTCTTTCAATTGTACCGGATGCGCACAGCACAATGTCTGCTAAGCGGCGATATCGCCAAGTGCCTGCCATATACTGTGGAAACTTTGCGTTTCAATGCAACTGCCGAGCTCAGCCGCAAGGAAGACAATCGCCGTGGTCTCTGGATCATGACGGGCGTCATCATCCGCACTGCCATCAACATGGGCTACCATAGGGAGCCCTCACGATCTGCAGGCTTTTCGGTACTACAAGCAGAATACCGGCGGCGCATCTGGAGCTCAGTCATGACCATGGACGCCATGTCGTCGTTTCTCGGAGGTTTTCCGCCTACGGCCACGGCGATATACTCTGACACGAGGGAGCCCAGCAATCTGCACGACTGGGAGCTGTCGCCAGAATCAACGGTGCTGCCACCATCAAGGTCGCTAGAGGAATCGACGTCGGCCACATATCTCATTGTCAAAGGTCGACTGTGTCAAGCCCTAGGCCGTCTGGCTGAGTTCAATAGTGCCGCCAGCCAGGGTTCGTATGAAGTGGTGCTCGAGATTGACCAGCTGTTGCATGATAGATTTCATGGCTTTCCCAGCTACCTAATGACGGTACCTGTCCACAAGAATAACATGACCAGCAGCAATCGCGCGGATTTTTACCGATTGAACCTCATCAGCATGTATCACAAAGGCATGTGTACTCTGCACAGGAAATTCATGGCAAAGGCGAGAGTCGATGAACGTTTCAAGTTATCCCAACAGCGGTGCATCTCGTCAGCATTGTCCCTGTTGGGTCTTCAGGATATCCTGATGCCGGGCCTATACGAGATATCACAGGTGAGGCAAATGCTGACGCTGGCCGCCATGATCTTGATACTAGAGCTAGAACTGAGGCAGAAATTGCCCAAGGCCGAGGAATCTCCCAGTAGCGAAGATCTATTCGAGGTGTTGGGGAGATCATGCCACTTTTGGGAAGCCGCCTCGACAAGTTGTGATGAGGCAAACAAATCTTATCGTTTCCTCGTGGATCTGCTGTCAAAGTCGCCTCACAACATTGGCACTGCATCTGGACCTTTGAAGACGATGTCGACTCAACAGCAAGTCAATACCTCAGGATACACCCCTAGCTTCGATACAATCACTGATGGTCTGTCTTTCGGGGATGACTTGTCCAACATAGATTTTGATTGGGTGAGTAGCTGTTACTATTCAGATATCGTCCAGCGTGCATAGTACTGACGTGCACAGACAATGTGGGATACTTTCATCGAGTACGGTCACGATCATGTTGGGCCTGGCTAGATACATTAGACCGTGCCCGGGAGAAAACACTAGATTAAGGTAAATAGGACATACTAAACTTGATAAGAGTTCTCGCTTGGGTATTGATAGATCTTGATCGGCCGTCAAAGTAATTATCCTCTCCGTGACATTCAAATTGCAGTAAAGAGCGGGTAAAGCTGTGCTTGGATTGGCCCTTTTGATCGGATGTCCTCTTTGGCAGTGTTAAAATTGCAGTGAAATACCCATGCCCGTCTGGCAGCAACATCCGACAAGGATGTCAGCACACCCAATCTGGACATTCGCACCCATGTCCACCCCGCGAAAGTCAAACTCGAGTTCTCAATTGGCCCTTGGGTCTTGACAGCTCTTGACTGGGTGCTACCAAATTGTCCTCTTTGGCGGCATTCAAATTGCAGTGAAATCAGTCTAGTTCAGAACGTACATAATCTTCACCTGCAAGGTTAAACTTAAGTTCTCGATTGGCCCCTGGGTCTTGACAGCTCTTGACTGGGCGCCACCACTTATCCTCTTTGGCAGGGTTAAAAGTGCAGTGAAATACCTAAGACATGTCTAGGAAAATGGTTCTTGCTTAGCATGTGGGTATCAGGATACAAATCAAACGTAACCCTCAAAATTTTTCCCGCCGGTTCTATATTGGCAGCAGAAGTAAATGAAGGGGTATAACCAACTTCGGGGCTCTGAGGGTGTGTAGTTTGGCCCTCAAAATATTTCCTTGGACAGCGTTAAAATTGCTGTGAAAACATATATAGAATTACATACTACTACGTACCATAGAGAACCATGATGGAGGTATTCCGTACCCGGCCTGGACATTGGCACCCACGTCCACCCCGCGAAAAGCCAACCTTGGAACTTCGCCGGTCCGAGGGGTGTGCTAGGATTGGCTGTCAGGCCCCTGAAAGTCAACAACTAAAGGTTGCTAACGTTACCGGCTACATTAGTGACCACCAAGGTACCTCACATTCATTCTCCTTGTAGTGCTCTCTCTAGTTCGTGGGCAACCTGCGCCCAGGCATACATTTTTGGACTCTGTCACAATCACGAATTTCTTTTGCGTACAGACAGGCACTGGATTCCTGAACAATGCCGTCATGTCAAGCCAACAAGCAACCTCCGGCCTCGCGCGCACCCGACCCATTCGCATTTCCGGCAGACCGCCCTTGAGCAGCGCCCAGCCAGCAACGGGCGGCGCGCCTACTCCGAGCACTGCGAATCATGTCTTGCTCTTCCTCACCAACCTGCGACTTCTAGACCTCGATCAGGAACGAGACTGGCCCGGTATCTCCCAGGTCACGTTTTCCACCAAAGATGCGGCCGGCGGGCTCAAGAACAGAATACAATGCGTCGAATGGGCACTCTACCAGCTGTTTGTCCTCTGGGACGGCGAGGAAGCGCGGAATAAGCTGAAGCCCTTCTTCCCGCCGCTTGACCAGGTCCAGTCGATCAATCTACGCGCAGCTCTCCTACGAAGCCTCGAGCAGGTAAAGCGCAGTGGGCTCCTGGGACGAGATGCCGTCTTGCGCAAGACCATGCTTGACGAGTGCAAGGGCGAACGATTCGAGGAGGTGCTGGCCGTGTTCTCGTCGGCAGTGTTGAAGAAACTGGTCGCTGAAAGAGCTCTGAACGCCGGACATGAATACACTCCCGCAATCTCGGAAAAGATATCACTCGAAAACTATGGCTACTCTGGCGATCGCACTCAGATCAACGCCCTTCTACTAGCCCACAAGTTCTCCTTGCGCAAGGCATTGGAGGACAAGGTAGCCGCCCGGAAAAAGTATCGAGACTTTGAAGAATTGGTTGCATCAGAACAGCAGAAAGTGGCCAGAAGAAAGGAAGAGCTCAAAGCTACTGCCGAGTCCCAGGCACATCCCAATATCCCCGACACTTTGATGAAGCAGACTCGCCAGATGATAAAGACCAATTGGACTGGCAGCGATCAATGGGCAGACACGCTTCTTCAGAACGATACGGGCTTGAATCAAGGAGGCCTGCTTGCCTCTAACTTTAATCATGTGTGGTCCGGAGTACGTGCCGGACAGCTTGCGGACATGGAGAGCGACAGCACTGGCCTTTTAGAAAAACTGGACCAAAGAGTCAGCTTGCAGCGTTCGAGGCTTGAAAAGTGGCAGCAATTCCGCCAAGAGTTATTTGGGGATCAAGCGCAGAAGCAAGTAGACCGCAAGCAACAGGCCAACAACAAGGCACAGCGTGTTGACCTTGGCTTCCATGCACACAAGAACTTGCTACCGTCGACTGAGGTTGCCAAGTCGTCACCCTCCAACGGGCCTCCAGAGTATACACAGTTGCTCCAGTCATTGCGTACAGAATTGGACACGATTCGCAAACCTCACATCCCCAACTTTGCCAAGCTCGCCAGAACACAGAGAGGCGCAGAGTCCTCCAACCTCTTAACAGTATCTGGATTGGCGGCTGAACCGATTTCCGATCTTAGTGAGTGGGAAGACGAGCCAGAAGACACCAGGCCTGCCTCGAAGACCATGGCCCCGGCCAATGCCAAGGTTCTCGGGCGGACAAACAGCCAGCTTGATCGCACACGAGCACTTCGAAGACCCATAGCCCGCCAGCGCTCTACAGATAGTGATTCTACGCAGGGATCATCGGACTTGATGCGTCCTAGCGCTCAATACGCAATACGGACCAAGTCCTCTACTAGCAACGGTAGCGATGGATCTCGTGCTGCTGTCGATAGGGTCCCTAGTGAACCCGTCGTTGAGCAAAAGGTTTTGCTTCGTCCAGAGCCGAAAATCCTGTCACCCGATGCGCCCGGCTCCTTGTCCGAATCCGAAGATAGATCAGAATCCGATACTGCACTTGAGACTTCTGGATCGGTTTCACCAACACAGGCAACTGCTGACCAGATCCTGGCATCCATGTCCAATGCATCACCCTCGCCTACCAAGAGGCCTCGCCATACGCTTTCCCTTGCGGAACGGACACGCATGTCCATGTCCAGAACCAGCTCGTTTGAACCAGATGACGAGACCAACCCGCACCTGTTATCACCGAGTCTGGCTAAGAGCAATAGAAAGTTTGGTATTACAAGTCCACCAGTCGCTGAGTCGAGCAATGGTGACGAATATGACGACCTCGTCGCTCGTACCCGTCGGTCAATGGCAGGGTTCGAAGCAGCAAAACAGAAAGCTCAGCTCGAAAGAAGGCGGTCGCAGAGGCAGAGCAAATTAATCCAGCCGCGAAAAGATGGCTACTTTCCCAAGGTTGACGAAGAGGGCCTGGGCGATGCTTCGGTCATGGAAGAGCTCCTGGACGCACAACAGGAGGATCCAGAGGCTATCTTCAAAAGTCGGCCCAGGATGAGAACAAGCCCAGTGCCAAGTCCCCATGGAAGATGGGATGAGGATGATGATGAGCTCTTCTGATTCCAGTGGTCATCAAATTTTTGTTTGGCAATAGTCGTAGGGATAATAAATATTCATGTTTTTTCTAAAAGTTCCAGTGCCTGATATCCTGATACCTTCATTCGGAAGGGTTGTACTTCAATGTTCTGTAACCAGTTCCGAGGTCAGTACAGTGTACTATTCATAGTGGCCATCAGGGTCCAAATTAAGCGTCCGGCATTTGTGTTTCCCCCACCACTTCAACGTCATACAGTCTAATTACCCCACCATCCACTACGTAACTTTCACTCAACGCGTGATTCGACGCGTTTCAACCCACTATTTCTTCCAATATTCCTCAAGCCAGTAATCGCTGTTGAGTATCACCTTTGCCAGAATAGAAATATCAAAAAGTCTTTGATCAACTACCAACTTCACCCAACACACCAATTGCTCCAAAGAACATCTCTTCTAATCTACCCAATATGATGCAAAGCATGATGGCCAACATGAATGCTCCATTCAAGCACCCCACGCCAAAGGAGGCCTTCAAGATTGCCCGCCTCCACGCCGAGCTCCTCCGACAGCTCTTCAATCACCCACAGTACATCTACACGGAGCCGCCCACAGCAGCTCGCTACCCCACGGATACCAAGAAGACAGCTCCCGCCCTCCTCATGGTCTCGGACTTTGTCCAGACCACCTACGTCGAGCACGTGCTGCCCTTTTTGCCCGCCGGCGCCTCGCGCAAGACCAAGGACATTGCCAACCCCTGGGCCTATGCCGACGAGTCCTCGGTCTGGGAGTGGACGTGGGACGAGGAAAAGGGCGAGCTCAAGGACAAGGACGGCAAGGTCCAGCCCTTTCCCAAGCTGGGCGCCGCCGGCGTCGAGAAGCGAGGCGACATCTGGACCCGCTCCTTCATGGCCGGCATGTGCATTTGCGAGAATGGAACCGACCCAAAGGCCAAGCTCATGATAGGAGGCAAGAGCTTTGACTTTGGAGAGGAGGCCCGGAGGTTGATCAAGGAGTTGCAAGAGATTTGAGTCAAAGCGGTAGTAGTCGCTTGGAATAGTACGAATGAATATTTGCCGCCTCTGAGAGGAGGAAAGGCAACTGATATGGATCACGACGACACGACGCAAGGAATGGGAAAACTCACCTCCCACTATGAGAAAGAAAATCAAAACAGATGACCACTTATGGTTTTAGACTGCCATTTTATTGGCGTGGTTCAGAGAAAATAAAATTTTGTATTACGGCCATGCCCCTAATTCAAGCATGAAGGGGTGCTACTCGGATTGGCCAATCCAAGGATACTATCATATCTCGAGACAAAAATGTGATCGAAAATTGCCAATTTACCTTGTTGGTCATTTCCATTTCCATTTCCCCCAGGTGGTATATGCATTGTCGTCCTTTCCCCAGTGAGCAGCAAGCAATAGTATTCAAACGGATTCATTATAAGCGCTTTCGTGGCTCGCCTTGGGCTCAATGCGGGCCTCGCTCTTCATTGCCTCCAGCAAAGCCTCGTGGAATGGATTGAGCGTATGCATGACTGAAAACAGGCATGGGAGCTCGGTTATGAATAACTGGGCCGTGGGCTCTGATGATAGGAGCTTGGCCAAAATTCTGGAAAGCTGCCATATAAGGTCAAGTGACAGTTTCATGGAAGGGTTTGGTAACCTGGGAGGCCTGATCGATCGGTTGGTAACCATTGGCGAGGCCATGTTGAGCGCCTACGTGAGAAGATCCAAATGTAGGTTCACATTGAGCGCCCTGATGAGGCTGTTGAAAAACAGACCCAGGACGAGCAGCTGAACTAACTTGTCCATGGGCAGATCCAGGGTATCCGTATGCCCTGAATTGTCTGTCGAGTTCTTCGAAGTGGGCATCTAGATACCCCAACTTCTTTTCAGGTCCTTTCTGACTAGCTGTATCAGGCTGTCCGGGTACAGACGCAGGTTGAGAAACTGGACCAGCTGCATCAGGCTGTCTGGGTATAGACGCAGGTTGAGAGACTGGGCCAGCTGTATCAGGCTGTCTGAGTACAGACGCATGTTGAGTGACTGGACCAGCTTGTCCAAGTCCAGATCCGCGTTGGTCTGCCGGCTTCTTGTCGCGAAGAATCTGCGAAAAGCTTTCGAGGGTGACATAGGGCAAACCAGAGCGTGGACGAAGATCTTTAACTACAGGACCTTTGAGGATATCCCGCAAACACTCCCGAGGATCGCGTCCGGCAGCGCGAGGACTCTGGTACCACGACTCGGGAAAACCAAAACTGGCCGGGGCGAGTGGAGAAGCGGGTGCTTGGGGGCCCAGATGCTGGCAGGTATCGAAGATGACTCGATAGAGATCCTGGATGTAGCGCTCCGGGAAGAACTCTTTCAACGCCGTCATGTCGATGGATTTGTTCGTGCTGATGTGGATGTCAACCAGACAGAAGGCGAGAAGATTGATCTGAATAGATTTGATGCGCTCGGGTCAGCTGGGTACATTTCCGAGGGGCAAGCGTTGATGGGTGCGTGATGAAAGTCGCAGCAACTTACGCGATCAGCCTGAGTCATGATCCGGCGGCGGCCCGCCGTTGTCGACGATTGGGGGTGCGAGGGATTGTTCATCTTGACTCGGGTATTCAGCCTTCAGGTTGATGGGCTGAGTCCCCAGACTGTTCGAATCCACGATGAGATGAGCTAGTTGATGAGCAGTTGACTGGGCAAAGGAAAGAAATGGTGGGATGGAAAATTTCAATCAAACACCTGTGTGGCTAGCAGGTGAAAAGTCTTGGGGGGTTGATCTCAAGCAACAGCTGCAAACAATTAAAGTCATCTTGGAGGGGGCAGTACTGCTTAAGCGCTTATTGAGCTTTGGGGGGAGACATGGTAAATGCGTAAATGGTCCAGACAAATTAATAGTACTAGCATGCTTACACGAGGCAATGGCGACGATGTCTGAATCTACATGGACGACGGTGGAGTTGACAATGGAACGGGTCGAAAGACGAGACGGGGCAGAGTATAGGCGCCAACGGAGATATACACGGAAAAGGGCGGCCTACAATCGGCGAGTACAGTTACTTACCAATATGCTAGCTATATCCTTGACTCACAAGCACAGCTAGACATCTATCAACAGCATATACATCGAACTTGGTCTTTCCTACCTTGTTGAAGGCTCTATCATAATCAAATCAAGAAAGGTCTCATTGGTTCACAGAGTGGATCAGATACACGATAATGTGCCAGTCTATGTGTCCAAGATAGTGATCAAATGCATAAACCGATTGGCATAGAAGGACACATATATAGCATCGATGTGAGGCATAGCACTATCTGTTCCAAGACCTTGTCAATGAAAATTGAGCAGAAAAGACAATTATTCTTACTCATGGTATTGGCGAGTAACAAAGACGTGAAAATGGACTACATAGGAACCCAGAACGCTGGTCATTATGATAGCAATTATTGAATTACACCACTTAATGGTCTCAAGATTCAGGACCAGATATAAAATTCAAGTCCTATTGATATAGGAGAAACATAAGACCAAATGGTACGAGATATTCCGTCTGTACACCAAGCACCGAAGAGGCGAATTATTGTTGAACTCAATATCATGACCTTGTTTGATGGCTTTATGCCGTAAACCAAGGACAGTCTGTTAGATACCCTGTTGTCTGGGTAAGCTATGCTTTGGGTAAAATAATTAGGTACCTAGGTAGATAGTCCAAGGGGCTTTGAACCAAGACCGAAAACCTTCATCTCTGCCATCGCTGATTCTATGAGGGCATAAGTTTTGCGACGTTAGAGTTGTATTCAGAGGCCCATGTGACCTTGAAGACTTTAGATGCCGCCGATAGGACCGATAGATCTCTGGCGCTTCGGTAATTTAGGAAAAGAACCCCCCGTACGCTCTATTGCGATCTGTAAATGGAGTGACGCTCCTCAACAGGATTCCCACATACGTTTACAGAGAACCGAAACAACCCAGAACCATCGCCGGATGTCATTAATGAATTAGTATTTACGAATCCATGAGTAACTGCATCATGCGCCTATTGTGCTGGATCTTAACCAGACGTCACAACAAGTACCTGCAGTAGTGTCAACCCTTCCGGCTTTCAGGCACCGAACGTTCGGCGCATTAAGATTTATTATTCGGCCGCAGAGGTTGCTGGCCCTTCACAAATAATCCTGTCGGAGAAAGGACCAAGAAGAAAATGAAAAGAATTAGAGAAGGGTAAAAAGTGTAAATTTGAGCGTCCCCTATAAGACCCGAGCACCCACCCACTCACCCACTACCCTAGGACCTTGGACATTTTGGACATTTCAACAGTTGGTTTTGCTTTTACGCCTTATACTCTCTTCTAGGCCACTCAAAGAACCTGCGATAATTCATCTGTACCCCTCCAGTCTCGAATCATGGACCAAGTCGTCGAGATGCTCACGCCGTCCAATCCCTCCGGGCAGCAGTGGAACATCCGAAATTTTACCTCCTACATCCATACTAGCATACAGGCACGCGACATGATAGGCCTCGTCACCGACAAGAGGCACAAAGCGACCGCGCCTGTAGATGACGACACAATCACCGTATCCGTGGCCATTGCCATCATGGGCGTGCTCATCGTCCTCGGTCTGCTTATCGGCGTCGTCTTCTACTGTGCCTACTGCTGCTCGTGCCCGTCCCGCCGCAGAAAGCCTGTTGATCCAGAGCAGGGCCAAGAACTCGATGATCTTCCTCGTCGACAAAGCACAGCCGACACTCTTCTGCCTCGGCGCGCTATGCCTATGCAATCCATCCTCAAGAACCGCGCAAGACCCAACACGACGGTATAGACCTTGTTTCGTCACAACAAGTTCCCAGCATCTGCCCCTGTCTCAACTTACACATGTTCGCATGCATTGCGAGTCAAAAGGCGTCAAAAAGGCATCGTTATTTTAGGTGGCAAGGATATACTATTGTTTCTCACGTGGTCAGATGTCATTCACTTTTCCAAAGGGTTATTAGCATTTATGGTGTTCAGGATACGAGGCGTTGTAGAATATCGAGATTCACCCACCTCATTGCAAGTCAACGAGCAGCATGAGGGGCTGGTTTCAAGGAGCCTGGATTGAGATTGAATTTGTTGTTCTTATCATCTTTCTTTTATTGCATGCGATAGTTTTCCGTGGGCCAGGCTCAGTGATTCAAGAATTTGCCGCCACACCCTCCGCACGTCTCGGCTGAAATCTGCTTTGCAGCAGCAGTTGCAGCGTCGCCAATGTCGTCTGGGAGCTCATTAGGCTTGAGACATTTGGAGCCGCAGACGCCGCAATTATTAGAAATTCCTGGCGCCAGGACGGGGATGCCCGTTGCCGCACAATTTGCTATAGAATTATAGTCAGTATACATAAGTCCTCGACCTCGTTGCTTGCATGCCAAAATTTGAACTCACCAAAGACATGACCTTTTGGACACCGTGATGTTCCAGCTTGTATTTCGAGCTTTGCACCACACAGGGCACACTTTACCTTTTCCGCAACATGCTTGAAGGCTCCCTTGAGAGCTTGCTGTTTCGAGGTCGTCTCTGCCGAGGTACCATTGAGCAGTCCGACGCCGGGAACCTGTGGAGCATCTCCATACATCCATTCGAAAGCCCGGGCTTCCGTGGACAATTTTCTCGTCGAGAAGAATGCCGGATCGACGGGCGCCAGGCTTTTACCAAACATGATTCTGCATCGCAGGCCGGCAAATGTGTAGCGCTCCGGCTTGATGGTACTATATAGGGTGGTGAAGACGGCTACGACGCCACTGCCGGGGCTAGCAGCCATTCCCCAGATACGCAGCCGGTTTGGGTTGATCCTCTCCATTCCCTCGAACGGGTCGTTAAGCTCGTCGACGAAAGTGGCCTTACCATTTTCTTCATCCGAGTCGAAGTCTTCAAACTCGTCATCTTCGTCATCGTCTAGCATGCTGTTATCATCCTCGTTTTCGCTGCCACCAGCATCAGATTCTGATTTTGTTGCCCCATCGGGATTGTAATATCGATACGCCATCGAAAGGGGCTCTGTTACTTCAAGCAAATCAGAGATCTCAGTCACCCACGCAGGTTTTGATGGAGCCTTGTCGGGATCCGCAGGCAGAGGCAGGTTTGTCTGATACCAATCGTTATTTGTGTTGGTTGCCGAGAGTCGGCTCAGAGAGAAATAGGGGATATCTGTTGACTTGGAGATATCTGGAGCATGCACAACGAGGCCAGTGATTGGATTCGAGTGGTTGCTGGCATGTCCATGTGATGGATATGCGGTACCGCACTCAGAAATTGAGTGTTTGGCAGTCGTCGCGGGGTCGATGGTGCTGTCAAATGTGACATTGAATGACTGTGTCGTGAATGGTGTTGCAATAATTCCACGGCACTCTTTTGACTGGCCTTTTGTCCATATCTAGATGCAGTTTAGTATATGACCGAGAACAAGCAAGGAGTATCATCTATACCAAGTCTTCCCATGTGATGAATGCGTCGGGGCCGAGGTGCAGACATGTACCACTAATGTCATATGGCTGTACTTCAACCTCTGGGGTCTTAAAGTCCCTCCATGTTCCCTTGATGGTGATTTGGCGGAATCCGACATAATTTCTGGTCACGTATGAGAGGATTGCCGATCTGCTGCCAGAGCGCTGCAGCCATGGACTCCAGCGTAGAGCGAAGGACGAACCAGAAGGCATAGAATCTGGATCGCATGGCTACGACAATACATATCAGCAAAGTTCCAATTCGACGGAGGTGCCACGTCCTTACATCGCTCTTCTCGTGCGGTCCGCCACCAGCAAACCGAGCCAGCTCCTCAACCCGCCATTCGCCCGGATCATTCTCTTCGCCCACAATCGTGTGCCGAGACTGAACCGAAAGAATCACAATCTCGTCCTCGTCATTCATGTAGGCCAACAAGGAGCCATTCTTCTCGAGGTCCCTAGCCCATGAAAACGATGTGATGTGCTCCAACGAGTAGGGCGAATCGTGGTACTTGGCTCTAGGCAGGAGGAGATTGCCGCCGACGCCCCAGGGCACCACCCAGGAGCTAATGGCGCGGATATTGCGACCTTTGATCTTGATACCTCCGGCGTCGTCGGCAACTATACCCTCGCAGTAGACAGTCAGCGCGCCGCTTCCCGTGAGCACGGCGAGCACCGATCTTCTCATCCGTCCCAGACCGTTGGGGGACCATTCGAGAGCGACCACATGGTTCAGAGAGCTGCCGAGATTAGCGACTATGCTCTGCCCGGCCTCCCATGTAAAGTCGAATTCCGGAAACGGCTGCTTGAGCCGCTCGAATAGTGGTCGATTCAGCTCGGGGACGCGCCGTTCCACTGCGGGAAAGCGCAGCGCGACCTCATAGTACTGTCGTCTTGTGTCCAGGTCGGCAAGCGAAGTGGATTTGGTCCTGGTGCCCTGCGATGGATATTCGGGAAGGTATAAATATATAGAATCATCCGAGGCAACGGCCAGCTCGGCATCAGGCGACCAGGCCAGGTTGTGCGTTGTAAGTGCCACTGCCCGGAGGTTCAAGGTCTCGAGTGGAAGGATGCCAGTCGGCTCTTCTGAGGTCTTGTTCTGAGCCGACATGATGAGTTACGATGCCGTGGCAGCCCCAATTCCTGGTGAAATAGACTCAGGCTGATTCAATGTGTCTAACAATGCTGTAAGTACCAAGATATCTCGATCTCATTGTCGTGTTCTTTGAGATTCACTTTCAAGCTTGCGCCAGTGTGTAGGTAATGCGGTGGGGAATGCCAACGACCTGAAATCTTGTCCGAAAAATCTCAAACGGTCAATCTTGAGTAGTGAAGCTTTTCATGCTGAGTAGTAGATGAGGTGAAAAGGAATATGTTTGGCAGCGCTCCGTCTCTTGAAACGAAGACTGCCTGGCACGAGGCAGGTACATGGGTACATAGGTAGAAAATTGCTGCTCCAAAGTGCTTAAAAAGATGCATTGTCGCCAACCACTAAAAGCTGCTCTGACAGGCTGGGGGCACACTATAAATTGTTATACGCGTAAAACATGGAAGATGTTTACATATCATTTGATCGCAAGATGTCGCGGCAGTCATTTATTTGTAATTTGGGTATCTCTAATAATTGAATATTTCTTGAAGCATCATTGATGGAACGGTCGGCACTGCTAATACGACCTACCTCGCCTTCTCCAAGTAGGAGCCCAGAGCCCACAATGCACTACATCCAGCCAGTGCAGTTGCGCCGACCAGCTTCTTTGCCCACCAATTACCATCGTCTAGGGGTCTGGCTGCAGGAACTTTTCTTTCAAACTTCTTTTCCGACTTGACGGGTTCACTGGCGTTTTTCTCGGCAGCTTCTTGCTCGTCGGCAAGCACCCTGAGCTGGGCAATGGTTCTGCTAAGAGCGAGCATGTCATCATCAACAGTGCTGTTCCTGGTACCATCAATCTCAACATTCTGCACATTGCCAAGAAAGTCGGTCAGAAGCCGGCTACGTGCTGCGTCAACGCCGTCTCTAAACAAATCGTAACGCACGCCTGCATGGGAGTGAATCTTCTCGTAGCTGTAACTGTCAAACAAATCGCCAATGGTCTTCTTGCTGTTCAGGTCCTTGACCTCAGACTCAAGGAACTCCAGATTATAGTATGTGTAGCGGTCGATGACGGCCACGCCCACATCGTTGTCGGCGTGGTGTGAGTATGACGACTGGTCTAGCTCGGAAGACCCTGTAGCAATAATGTTTGGCGAGTAGAGCTTGCTGTACATGGTATTGGCCTGGCACGTGTCGATCATGAACAAGATCTCGTGGTATCTGTTGGTCCAACGTTAGCACATCAATTGCAAATGCTGTCATGGCCCAGGTCTGGAGATTGCATACCTCCTCTTCTCCCACATTTGCTCAAATGCATCGGCCAAATCAAACGCGCCAATCTCTTCGGCATCCTGGAACTTCAGAAACTCGTTGCCGCCGTGCCCCGTCATGTAGACAAAGATATTGCTCCGATCGTCCGTCAATAGCCTCTTACTCCTAGGCATCTCATCGCCGACGCGGTCGGTCAACAGTCGAATGAAGTTCTCAACTGTGACCTCGTAGCCCCTGTAATCCACCTCGATGTTGTCGCCATACAAGTCGACGGCTCGATCGGCGTTACTGTAGACGGTGCCGGGGAAGGCGTTGCGCGGGTTGCAGGCCATGTCGTCCGGCAGCATGAGAATGATCTGCGAGTCTGGGATGCCCAACCGCTTGACCGTCCTGTACATGGACAAAACATTGGCGAGATGTCGATAATTGAACCAGAACCGCGACGTCCCGACGAGGACCGCCCAGTTGCTGGTGTGTTCCGCGGACACAGGGGCCAGCAGGCTCGAGGCCAGCAGCAGCGGCAGTTGGAGGACGTTTGCAATTCTCATGGCGACGAATATTCCAGCATTCGAATATATAACAAATACGGTGTGATGGTGGTGTTCTGGCAGAGGCGACAGTGCCTCAGAAGTGGTGTTCTCACATTTGGCGACGGGAATGGGAACCCGTATTTGTCAGGATGGTTGATGCACCCATCCAGGCTACACACCTGGTCTCAAGTCAAGGTACCTGTGAGCGGTACCTACCAGACTGTGTAATTGTCCGGGGACCTGGGCTAGGCTGCTTAGAGACTAGGTTAGACTAAACGCAGGATACCTAATGTGAGCTATGCCCCTGTCATTAGCAACCATAATACTGCTACCGGCATGCGTACATATTACAACGTTCAGCAAAGTCCATATCCCTACAGTCTTGCGGCATCGTGTTTGTACTTGAACATCGAGGCGCAAGACAAATGTTATTGAAACCAATTAATGGCTAAATCGTTCTGGAGATAGTCATTCTATGATCAATTCAACGACATCACGAGCAATGATTATTCGTATTATGAGGTCTTCGTAAGTGAAATGCAAGAAACATTGACTGCATGCTTGCATGTGGTTTGCTAGCACTGAGTTTTGAGAGTCTCAGTTGCCCGTGCCCGTCTCTTTCATGAATGCAAGAGAAAAGTGGTCAGAAAATACAAATGGGTACGGCTTAAGATCAATTTTGCTATTGCTATTGAAATTGGGGTACGCAACCATAAGTCAACTCACTTTTTCGAGATACAAGGTCTATTTTCGACATGCCTATCACAAGTGGCGAGGACTTCCTACATGTCTAACTTTAAGATCGCCATATCTGCGGCTCTTGGGTAGATTATGGTCTCATGCTTATCAATGAACAACACATTCGGTTTTGTGGATTTGACCCAGTCCGTTGGCAATAAGGAATCACGCTTGTGCCTCGTTAAGTTGACTCAAGTCTGAGACTTCCCAGTGCAGCCCCAGAATTGGTGGTCGAGGACGACCAGTCAAGCTTGGGAGTAGCCCACGATCTCCAGTATGAAAGTTGACCGGCCATCGATATAGTAAACATTTATGCATTGTAGGCCTGGCTGTAATTCGGAATCGAGGATGGCCGAAAGCTCAAAATAATGTTCGAAGCAGAGCTTCCGTCTTGTTATGCTACAATTATTTGGTACAATGTGATATCAATGTCCGTGAATTCGGACAAGTAGGTATCTTTGGTCTCGAAGCCTTTTCTCATGAAACCCCCGACTTTACATATCTTCTCCCTTATCACCGTGACTCCTTTATGCACCAACTGAAGCCTTCTTAGGCTTCTTGGTTCCGTACTTGCTGCGACTTGACATTCTGTTGGCAACACCACTCTGAATATATTTGTTAGCAGCTTATTGCGCTAAGGCTGGATTCTGGGCATCGATAAAGTGTGATATACATGTCGGATCTGAAAAGTCAGGCGGAACAAACTGGAGCCAGTGTTTCCAGTATCATTCCTTGTCCGACTTGTCCTATACCAGAACACCACGAACAACCCGACTCAGGAGTTTCGGAGCAATAGGCTTTTCGAAGAACTTACCAAATCCAATGCGCCTCTCACCAAGTGGTATCGCACACCGGGACAATCCTGACTGCGACCGCCGCGAACAAGCACGACGCTGTGCTGCTGGATGTTGTGACCCTCTCCGGGAATGTAGGCCGTGATCTGACGGCCAGAGCTCAGACGCACACGGGCCGTCTTGCGCTCGCCGGAGTTGGGCTTCTTGGGTCGCTGAATACCGACCTTGAGGCAGACGCCCTTTTGCTGCGGGCACTGTGTATCGGCGAGAGCGGGTGAGACGGCGTGGCGGGCGCGCTTGCCAGTTCGGATTTTCTGGAGGAACATGGTTAGAAGATATGAATCGCATCGAGGCTTGTAGGCATTGATGGCCTAGGACGGTGGATGCCATACTCTCATAACCTGGTTCAATGTCGCTTGCGGCGAGGGAGTCGTCGAGAAAGATCGTGGTATCGAGGACCAAGTGGCTTTGACTGGGACTGGGGCAACAGCCGGCCGCCTGGCCAGCGACGGCATAAGGTATCTGAGGATCGATGCCGACATGACTGATGTAGGTCGGGATCGTGTGGGCTGAAGAACGAATGGCAATTGCACCGAGACTGCCAAACTAGCAACGATGCAGCAGCTCACCATTCGCGATATTCTTTTTGGCGGTCGCTGCTACAGGCTTGGCGTTGTTGCGTTTTCGCGCACGGGCCATTCGATTCTAGTGGAATCCCCGGTTTCTGGGCTGGGTCGTCGGTGGTAGACTTGTTCCGTCTTCTGGATCAAGGTCCCCGTTGTCGTTCATCACATGCCACGGCTGCGAGCAAAAGCCAAGCCACTGCCACTCCTGTCAGTATAGCCAACGCCCTGGCACCAGCTGCCAGGCCATCGCGGCAATCGCCGACAGAGGTATGACCTCAGCTCAATTCCGCACTTTGAACCCCACGAGTCAAGATAACCATGGTTGGCAAGGTTGGCCCCACGGCTTCCCTCGGCTTGGGGTAAGCTCTCCGTGGCATGCGGTTAGAAGGATGGCGGCGCCGTCTGGGGAACGAGGCGATACTTTAGATTTGTTTCCTAGCCATTGATGATCAAAACCTGGGGTTTACTCCTTTATTTCTATCCGGAATCCTTCCTTTGATCAGTTTGCTCTTGATTCACGATACCACAGAAACTTATACCCCATCTGGCTCTTGTCCCGCATTGCCCGCCCTTCGCATATCCTTCACATTGTTTTTACGCTTGAAAACGCTCGTGCTTATCCCCAGATCACCATGTCTGCGATCGCTAGAACTCTCCGTCCCGCGCTGCGGCGGAGTTTGACTGTTATGACCAGAGCCTCTGCATCCTCCTCTCCAAGAGTACAGAACACTGTCAGAACATTCAATGCCCCTCAACAGTATGCAGCAATCCTGTAAACACCATACCATGCAACTCGCACTAACAACATGAAACCAGACTACGATGCCTCTCGTCCACGCCTCGCAGGCTCATGGACATCTCCGACATCCCGCCCACGCCCATTATGCATCTTTCCGAAACAGAGGCAGCCATGCAAGAGGCGGTACAAAAGTTCGCAAATGATGTGATATTGCCCAAAGTCCGTGACATGGACGAGGCAGAGGCCATGGACCCGACGTTGGTAGAACAGCTCTTTGAGCAGGGTATCATGGGTGTAGAAATCCCCGAAGAGTATGGCGGAGCTGGCATGAACTTTACGTCGGCCATTGTTGGTATCGAGGAATTGGCCAGAGTGGACCCGTCCGTCTCCGTCATGGTTGATGTTCACAACACCCTGGTAAACACGGCAATCATCCGATGGGGCAGCACCGACATCAAGAAGAGATTCTTGCCAAAGCTCGCCACCAACACTGTTGGATCATTCTGTCTGTCCGAGCCCGTCTCGGGTTCCGACGCCTTTGCCCTTGCCACAAAGGCAGTCAAGACTGCTGATGGCTACAAGATTAGCGGTAGCAAGATGTGGATCACAAACAGCATGGAGGCCGACTTCTTCATCGTCTTTGCCAACCTTGACCCCAGCAAGGGCTACAAGGGAATCAGCGCCTTTATCGTCGAGAAGGACGCCAAGGGCTTCAGCATTGCCAAGAAGGAGAAGAAGCTCGGCATCAAGGCCAGCAGCACATGTGTCATCAACTTTGACGACGTGGAGATCCCTCACGACAATTTGCTTGGAAAGGAGGGCGAAGGTTACAAGTATGCCATTGGAATTTTGAACGAGGGCAGAATCGGCATTGCCGCTCAGATGACCGGTCTCGCTCTCGGCGCCTTTGAAAACGCGGTCAAGTACGTCTGGAACGACCGAAAGCAATTCGGTCAGCTAGTTGGTGAGTTCCAGGGCATGCAACACCAGATTGCCCAGTGCTACGTGGAGATTGCGGCCGCTAGAGCGCTGGTCTACAATGCCGCCAGGAAGAAGGAGGCTGGACAGGACTTTGTCAAGGACGCTGCCATGGCCAAGCTTTATGCATCGCAAGTTGCAGGCAAGGTGTCCGGCCTGGCCATTGAGTGGATGGGCGGCATGGGCTTCGTGAGAGAGGGATTGGCCGAGAAGTTCTGGAGAGACAGCAAGATTGGTGCCATCTACGAGGGAACAAGCAACATTCAGTAAGTGACCCAGACGTGAGACGAGATGAAAATGAAGCAGCTGCTAACTATCATAGGCTCAACACGATTGCCAAGTTGTTGCAGAAGGAGTACACTTCATAGATACCTGACACGATTTTCTGCATTAGCGATGATATACTTCATGGTGTGTAGGCGCATTTGTGGTCGCTTGCCATGTGCGCTCCATTTAAAAGGGACGGAGTCGATTGAATTGATGTAAACTACTACCAATTGCGCAAGCTCTTGGACGGGTATTCCGAGATCGGGGCCATTTCTACTACTTAGGTTATGATCGCTAGCCAAAAAGAACCATGCCTTGTTATGTCTCGATGAGTAATGATCAATCAGTATTGTAGATCGCATCAAAAGTGCCACAGGCTCGTGACCAAGAGCCTCCATTTTCAGCCCAGTCTGCTCCTCGCATTGACAATGTCTAGAGTCCTTTCGCCATTTGCCCCCCTTTGCCCCTTTGACGGCGTGCTACGGTGGTCAGGGATCGGAATCCTATAATTGGATCCAGCAACTCAAAGCCATGGAGCGGGATCGCGGGATCCACGTGTTTATCGAGGAGCATATATATTGGGTCGATGATAATTTTATGGGGTTAGCTTGTCTATTTGCGTAGTGTTTTTTTGATCGCTTGTGGTTTTTTTTTTGTTCCAAACGTCGGTGAAGAAGATTTTGTGGTTTTCCGCCATTTGTTTTTCCTTATGTTCCATCCTACCTAGTAGATAGAGCTCGATGGCCAGCCCATTTGGTTTCCTCACCAAACACAGGGTCACAGAACAACCACTTATCTACCAATAGCAAGGGCTTCAACTCCCTTCCGGATATATGTCGCATTATACAGGGCTCCCAGGGAAATTATTGCATGACAATAAAGCAGTCCATTAGACCAAGATAGAGGAAGAGGCACGGATCGTTAGCAAGAGCAATGTTCAGTGTTTTGCTGTAATACAGAATGCCCAAGCCCTACAGTACCTAGCAGGTTCGAAGGCTATTTTTAGTGACAACCCACCTGCAGAATCTTATTTAGAGGCTGGAAGCGTGGATTGCAGGGGTCTAAGTGATCATATTGATTGTTGGGAATCCCCCACTTCCCACTTCCCACTCCCTGGCTACTGGGAATTCGTTTCTATGCCTGATCAAGTCGATACCAAGATGCGGAAATCTTTTGGGTATGGTCAAGTTCAAGTCTGCCGCCAATCTTTGCTTGTTTTCTGTCTAGAACACACAGTATGTGTATTGCGCTATTGCTCCATTCTCTCATCGTCGTGGATTGCTACCTAACTACTACTTGGCTACGCTGTTTTTGGCAAAGAGTCCAAATTAGAATGTCAGCACTTGAAAATCCAAGGTCAGTGTCACAATTACATACATGGGTGATTGTAAGCGACCCTTGCGTGAAGATTTCAATGTTGTCTTTTGGTTGTGATTGATGAAAAGCTTCATCGCATATTCTTTCCAATTAGGAGGATGCCAAGTGAAGGAGCAGTATATGATCCCTTCTTTAGCTACCAATTCCCAAGGGCCTGGGGATGGGGGTCGAAGGGCTAAGATTCTGTTCTCCATCGGCCGGGTCAAAAGTTCCAACGCACGAGCACTAGACCTCAAGAAGTGCAAATCTACACCCCAAAAACACTTTTCGTACTGGCCCCCAGAATAGAAAACAAAATCCTTGATAGGGCAGAAAGATTTCCCAACGGGACTTAGCTGAGCCCCCCCTGCTATAAGTAGTTCAGCCTCTGTTTGACACGGCCAATGATGCCCTATCTTGGTATACCAGGGGGGCCGCTGCAGAGGGCCTTGGCATTGTCTACCACTTGCACGCGATGGGAAAGATTTCACAATGACCAATGTCGCGGGTTGGATCCTTCGGGTCTCTTAGTGGCCCAGACCCCTCCAGATGTGGTTATTGTGGTCGGCAAAGTGATTCCGAATATCATCGCAAGGCTACCTGGGGCCGAGTATCTTTAAAGATAGGCCATGGCCCCCATTCATTGGAGCTCTGTGTATCGTCTTCCATTTCTGTCTGGTCATTCCGCCGGCTGGCGCTGTCATTTCTCCAAGGGCGGACGCGTTTGATTTTTTAATTCTTTTCCTTCTCTCTTTCTGGGGAAACAAATTATACCTGGCGATATCGAAAAATTTCGGCTGGGCTGTTACCGACGTGACCATGACTAAGAACGAATACACAACTGCTACGGAGGAGCAGCCAGAACAGGAACTCTCGCGGCGAGACAGCAACCTTCGTTTCATCTCTAGCCCGGTCGCGACTGGATTCAGTGAAAAGGCAGGGCACGAAAGAGTAGAAGCCGTGGGTCTGGAGTCGCAAGCACAGGCGGATGTCGAGCGGCTTGGTTACCGCTACAAGGACAACCATGATTGTCCCGAGTTCATAAAGCACACCAACTCGACAAATTACGAGGTATGTTGCATGCCGTGGATTTGATGGCAAGTATGAAACGGGACTGATCAGTTCAGCTATTTTATGACTTGTGGTTTGTTGCCAATCTTGAAGTTTTCTCATCCGTGAGTTTCTCCTTATGCCTCTTTCCACTCACGAACATTGACTCACATTTTGATGTAGTCCAAGAGTGTCAGTGAGGAAACCGACCTATACGCTTATATCGGATACTTGAGGTATGAAAATATTGTTTGGAGAAGACGGGGCAGAACGTGATGCTAATACCGATATCTTGTGCAGTATCCTCTGGTTTACATGGTTCCTAGTCGGCATGTTCGATGTACGATTTGTCACCGACAGTATTTTTGAGCGCGTTGTCAGGACAGCTCACCTGGGCGTCATGGTGGGATTCAGCATTGTTGTTTCGAATTTTGACCCGTCGAATCAGGATCAGTGGTCTTTCCAAACACTATCGTTGATCCTCATGTTCTCGAGGCTCATTCTGCTCTTCCAATATGGCACGATCATCTGGCACATTCGTCACTTCAAGCAAGGCAAACTCCCGGTCGCTATTGCTGGAGCTGTCCACTTTGTTTCCGCCATGATCTTCCTCGGCATCAGATTTCGATTCCATGCCGATAAAAACAGTCGCGTCTATATTGTGTGGTACATTGTGTCGGCATGCGAGGCCATCATTCAACTAGGATTGGCAAAATACTACAGAGTCTTGACCTTTTCCAAGACTCACTTGACAGAAAGAATGACGGTTCTTACTGTCATTATTCTTGGCGCTGGTGTGACCAGTATCGCCAAGAATATCGTACTCATTGTCAAGAACGCTGCTGGATGGAGTAAATTATTGTCAATTCTTGTCAGGAGTAGCACCATGCTAATATTCACCGTCAGCCAGCGCAACCATCGGAGTGTTGATATCCGCTATTACGCTCATGTATGTTTTCTTCATGATATACTTTGACTGGATGGAGCACCACCATTTAAAAGGGTGGCGCCAGCTGGGATGGAGTATCCTCCATTTTCCATTCCACGTTGCTCTCCTCTTGTTCATGGAGGGTGCTACTCAATTTATGATCTGGTGGAAAGTAGTGAGTGACCAAAACAAGCTTTATCATCAACCATAAGCTGGGCTGACACATGAACAGAACGAAGTCATGAATGATGCAGACTACCAATTCGAAACACTGCTCACGCGTCTCAGTGAGGGCGACGTCTACATTACGAGCGATCTAGTGACCAACGACCTGAATTCCACCGTCCAGAGCATCTTCTCAGTCTACAGTCCGACATATACCTTGACTTCCGAGCGAGTCGACTGGCTCCTGAACGATATTAAAGCTCTTCCACAAGAATTCTGGGACCGTCCGTCGCAAGATGCCTACCCTGATCTTCTACAAAGATGGGTGAATGATCTACAAGAACTACTCATCACAGTTACAAACTCACTATTTGTGAATTTCAATATCGACCCTTTTCAGGACATGGAGGAGTCGGACCCAGCTCTAATGCAATGGGTGGCCAACAATGACATCAACGATCGCTGGTACACGGTCTTTCAATACGCATATGTCACGGCCGGTCTGGTTTTGATGTTGATGACATTTATGTACACCGTCGGGCGCAAGCAGCCCTGGACACCATTCATCATTGCCCGCACCACGCTCTTTGGGCTCATGGGCCTCGGCCTTGCTCTGGTAGAGCTGATCTCCAAGAACGAGGAGCGTTCCCTCAACTATCTCTTGACACCGTGGCTGCTGCCCACGATCTGCATCGTCTTCTTTGTCGTCTTGCTGCTGACACACTTTCCGTACCCGCTGCCGCAGCTCTTTCGCCGGCGCGGGTCGAGGCCCAAGACGACCATGACAAACCAGTACGAGGCGTATAGGAGCGTCCAGGTGCGGGAGGTTCGCCCGGAGCAGACCAACACGTACGACTACCAGGGCTACGACCCACATCGATGGGGTAACGGACGCGGCAACGACGTCCACGTGCTATACCCGGCATCTGATACCATGTATCATAATGGGTACGGGCGATTAGATGATCAGGCGCCGGCGGGCTCTCCTTTCAAACACTGAGAAAGAGCTCAGTGTTGTCTTTGTAGCTATTCATTACGATATCCTGATGACATAGCAATGCCGTATATTTAAAAGTAGTTACGAGCATGCGCGTCTAAATCAATCCAGGATGCCAGGGTGCACCCTCTGAAGTTTTGTCCTTTTGAATTGACATAGCCTGGATTACCTGGATAAGCACGGCCCAGCGTGATCCAGTACAGTGCTCCAGGGCATCCCTGAGGATATATTTGTAACAATGCATCTCGCTTATTGTGGTCAAGACTCAGGTGATATTCATGATGGTGTTGATCCCATAATATATATACGCCTCTGACGTATGCCATGCGCTTTTCATGATTCCCATGAATTTGACAGGTCCAGAACACGTTAAATACACACAATTGGATTACCTCTAGCGGCTTGAATTCCTTAAATGACAACAGAGTTTACGCTTGACAGACAACGGCTCGGGAGTCATTATGGACTAGGTTAGCTCAAGGCTTACCTATCCCCTGAGTGGACATTTGGCATTTGCACGTACTACGCTACGTACCACTGACTGTCCATTTGCCCATGCCATGCCACTAAAAACCCCTGTGGCGATACTCCACTGAGGTCAGAACATATGGCTCACAGAAAATAATCATTGGTCAAAATGACCAAATTTAGACTGCTTAGTAACCTGGGTGCTACACGACGCCGAATCCTTCGGTTAGCCTGAAAGCAAGCATTTTGTGGCCGGACTGGAGTCCCCGTGCCGCAATAACTTGGAGGACAAAGATATAGGGACACTATACTCGGGCGAAACCTCACACATGTCGGAGATACCGATTAGTGAACCAAGGCAGGGTCTGACATTCTGACACCAGTCCTTCTGCATAACGGCAGTTGAAGGAAAACCAAGTATTCCGTACTCACCCCTAGCCTAATAATACTGTCAGCCTGACCCACAGAGACGGGTCGCCCGTCGACCGTGGGACTGTGTGGTAAATTTGCAAGCTGGTACCTCAACAGGGGTCACGGTGAGAGGAGGGATCGCATCTTTCTCTCTCTGCTTGTGGCAATGTAAATAGAAGAGAAGGCCGAGACGCTTTTCGCCGCACACCTTCGGTGGAATCACTCGGCGAGTTGCACTCTGGAATTATTGAGCCGACATTGACAGTCGCCTGGCAACAGCATTCTGATGATCTCCATCTATTGTTGTTCGTCGTCGTCATCGTCGTTGTCGTGGATGGAAAGTTGACCAGAGATCGCGGCTCCAGTCGCGCTTCCACTTGACTCAGTCCCCGAGTAGTACAACACAGACAGACAGGCAGGTATACAATGACGGACCGTCGCAGCAGCAGCAGCAACAGCAGCACCAAATCGCGATGGGCTACACCGGCGGATTGGGAGGCCCATCGGGAGCACATCACACGCCTCTATCAAGACAGAACCTTGAAAGAGACCATGGAGGTCATGCTACGAGATTATGGGTTCTCGGGAACGTCAGTCTTCTCCCCCGCCTTTTCTTCCCCTCTAGGGCGATCATCGACATCTCCGCTCGTCCCTTTTTAGAGGCCGCGCGGCACAATCGCTAACACGGGTGTATATAGTACGAGAATGTACAAATCGCGTATCAAGGCTTGGGATCTACGGAAGAATCGAGGATTCGGGCGCGTCAAGGAGTCACTCGAACAGTTGGTTGCCTGCAGTCAGGGTGACGCCGTGATTGACGTCAAGCGGTACAAGGAACTTGCAGTATACATTCGCCGCCTTCCCCTGGAGCAGCAGGGAGCCCTCGTACGGCTGTTCAACCAGATTCGACCTGATATCACGCCGCGGAGGAGCCTTGCGGGAGCCGACGACCTTTACCGGACAGAAGGATGTCTATATCATCTCCAGAATCACATTGTCGGCCTCTTCGACAACCACCTCTTCGATGGCGAGACGGCGCCAGTAAATCACATAACATCGCTCTATACGGAATGGTACCACGCCACCATCGTCGCTCAAGGGGCACTGCGCTTCGGTCGGACGGTGGAGGCGTTCAAGGTGATCCAGCCCTACTTTGACCAGTACCAGGAGGTGCTCCTCACCCACGACCCCCGTCTATTTGGGTGCACCTCGGCGTTTGCGGCGCTCATCTCGCTCTCGGGACCTGAACTCGGCAACGCCATGTTGAGCTACGCGCAGCAAATGGCCGAGACCATGTACGGCCCGTACCACCCGTACTGCAAGGCGTTGAAATCGCTCGCCGCCATGGCGGTGCCGGAGCGTCGCGCCGCGTGTGCCACTCTGCTGGTCTCGGGCTACCAGATGCTACGGAAACAGCTCACGCCAGGTGCACCTTATGAGCTCTACACGGAGCAGGACTGCCGCGCGGCCGAGATTTTCATCTTGCGCAACGACCTCGGCGCCGATCCCGGTAGCAGCCACCACTACCGAGTCTCCAAGGCGATATTCGAGATCACCGACTTGATCACGAGCCGGGACTGGTACGACGAGCAGGAGCAGATGCCCATTTCTGATGTGATTGACACGATTGCCGAGATCTCGGGCGAGGTGACGAGCCCGCCGCGCGACGACGATCCAGATGAGACGACCGTGGACTTGCAATGGCGGCAATGGGACGGTGGGGATAGCAGCAAGCCCGAGGGCAGCGCGACTGCCGGAGACGATAACAGCTTGGTTGAAGTCGAGAGGCGACATCATACCCTGGCGAAAATGTCCATGTTGGCAGACCTCGAGCAGTATCTGACGTTGAACGGCCAGACCAGCAACGCCCTCGAGGCCCGCCGATCTTTTGAGGATTCCCTCGTCAAGCACTGCGAGAAGCTCAAAATTTGATTGCCAAAAGAATCCCAGAGTGATCTCGGCTATGCTATAATGATTGGCATCAGAGAAGATTCGCCACCGTAGTGCACGCTCCGACTTGGGACACGAAGATTTTGCCAAACAAAGCAGTAAAATTATCTCCATTTGATCGGGCTTCTAAACACCAAATGTCGGCGGATTGCCTCCCAGCAGACTTCGCTACCATTTTGCCTGAATAGATGATGGTGCTAGAAGTGACGGAAGCAGCAAAAGACTCCTGCGCAACTGCATATACTCATCTTTCTCAGAATAAAGAAGGTACGTAATATTATCCCAGCATGTTACTAGATTTTTGCCATCCTATTGTTGCACTGCTAATTCCTTCTTTGCAGCATCCATACCGCCAGCGAACGCTTCTTATCAAGGGGCATGGGGGAAGAGACTTGGTTTTCAAGACTTTGGTTATTCTAGGCGACATGGCCTGGGTGCAGGGTCCTGGCAGTCATTCTCGGCTTGCAGTATATCGGTACCCTTTCAGGTTTAAACTATGATTTCTGATTTTTGGAAGAGAAATGCCCGCAATAATCGCTCACTGGTCTACTAACCACTGTGTACATAACTCGTGGCTGCGAGATTGTACCTGGGTAAGCGCCAAGAATACAATCACTCAATATGCCCACACACTTTTGGCAAAGTAGAAAAAGACAAGGTAGCTTGGTACGAAAGACACAGCAGAAGATCTCTTGATATGACCACGAAAGTGGGGTTGCCTTTCCAGGCTCAATGTTACTTATATGCCTGCATCCCATGTTCTGACACAGAATGACAGCCCAAAGAACTGCCGAGGAAGACGCTGCGAACACGAGATGAAATTATTTGTCCCCGAAAAGTGTCCGAGCTTCTTATTATTGCTATTCTGATCACTTCCAAACATGACCGAGATGCTGACTAGTGTCTCAATGAAAGTGACACAAGTTGGTTCAAGAGTAGAAACGACTGACCAATTCTGTTACGGCAAAGCCCCGCCTTTTTGGTTCTCTTTGCTTACCCCTGAGGGGGCAGAAGCGGGACCACTCAATCAACTTGGACTCTCATAATCGAAGTACATATTGAATGTCGTGTCTGGGAAAATTGTTTGTGTCAGATTTTGTAAATCTCAACTTGGCTTCTTCTTGAAGAGAAATCTTGCACATAATTATTTTAAATATTCACACAATTCCCTTTTTACAGCAATGGCACCTCTCAAAAACGTCGTAGTTGTCGGGGTATGCATAGTCTCCGTATAATAGAAATCGGACATCCGTTTCCACGGTCCCGTCTCCCCCCGCTAACACTGCCGAAATAGGCTTCCAAATCCGGCGGTTTTGTCCACCTGGGATCATACATTGTCGAGGCTTTGAAAGCCGACCCCGAATTCACCGTGACGGTCGTGTCGCGCAAGTCGACGCCGTCGAGTGCACACCCCGACGGTGTCCGCGTCGTCCAGGTCGACGATGGCTACCCGCCCGAGGAGCTGGAGCGGGCGTTTGCCGGCCAGGATGCCGTCGTCATGGCCACCAGCTTTCAGGTCTTTGGCCAGGAGGGCAAGTTTGTCGAGGCCGCCATCAAGGCCGGCGTGAAGCGCTTTATCCCTTCCGAGTATGCCGGTGACACGGCAAATGCAAAGACCGTGTCCATCTTTCCCTTGATTGGTCTCCGGGCCCAGCATATTGAGGATCTAAAGACCAAGGAGAGTACTGGCCTAACATGGACGGCTATCTGCACAGGTCTCTTTGTTGATGTGTAAGTATCGCCTTCCTGCATGCACCAGGAAAGCCATGCTAATTGCCTTCTCAAGCGCCCTACAAAGCGGATTCTTAGGATTCGACCTAAAAGGACAAAAGGCGACCGTCTGGGATGACGGCAAGTACAAGTTCTCAGGCACCACGCGGGAAAATGTGGCCAGGGCCGTTCTGGGCGTACTGAAGAATCCCGAAATCACGGCAAACCAGCACGTCTACGTCTCGTCCTTTGAGGCGTCGCTCAACGACTTGGTGGCCACGGCCGAGAAAATCCAGGACAGCCGTTACTCGATCCTGCATACATCGACGGAGACCGAGGCCGAGGCGGCCCGGAATGCGCTGGCCAGTGGCAACTTTATGGCGGCTTCCAAGCTGCTGTTGGTGGCGACGCTGAATCCGGGCTATGGAAGCAATTTTGCCGAGGAGGGTCATTTGTGGAATGACAAACTTGGCGTGCCACGCGAGAACTTGACGGATGTTGTTGCAAGAGTGATTCAGAGTTAAGCAACGAAAAAAACAAACATGATTACCTACTCTGTCTTTGGTCAACGACAAATCGTCTCTTTTAGTGGTTTGAACTCGGATAAGCGACATTGAGTTTTCAAGATTCTGATTCTTGTCGATTTCATCAAAGCCGGAAGATACGGTGCCATAAATCAATAAATAATGTCAATATGTTTTTTTTTCCCAGGCGATCTTATTTGCGTATACATTTTTGGTGTACACTGTTTTGAAACATCTCCACTCTGCAGCACTACTGTTGGAAATCAATACCAAGGTCTGGTACTACAGTGAGGGGCAGATGAGTCCTTCCCCATGCTGTGCCGCTGGTATTGCCGATCAGGTATGGACTTGGCCCTGTCCTTCGGCGGCGATGTTGATGCTTCTGATCGAAATTTACCAGATAGAGATAGAGATATTAGCATTCAAATCCAAGCATCTCAAGTAATGACTCGCCAGGAAGGGGGAACCTTGAATAGGTGTAAAAGTGACCGAATTTATGAGCCGATAATGATGGGTATGTACGTGATCAATGACCTCGTCTGTTATAACTGTCGCTACATGCATCGTGCAGGTCAAGTGAGCAATCATCACTACATTTCTGGCCAACAGCTGTGACTGCAATGATTTGAACCAACTGCGCAATGCAGATGCAGGGATCACTATTAATATAAGTACGTGTTATACGGAAAATGGAGGTAAAGGGCATGATATTTTCCATAATCATTTTGTGGTTCTTGAGAACATTGTCTTGCTTCGTGTTGCAGCCATCTAACATACATCGTAATTATAGATATTTTGGCTACTCGCACTATCGATGGGAATCAATATCATGTCCAACACGATCCGAATCGCCATCTCTGGTGGTGGCCTAGCGGGTGCTTCTCTCATCCACGCATTGCTCCAATACCCTCATCTGGACGTCCATATCTTTGAGTCTGCGGCAGAATTCAAAGAAGCCGGCGCTGCTGTGGGTATTGCCCGAAATGCCCTCGACGCACTGGATCTGCTCGGTCCGTCAGCGGCTGGAGCTCTGGATCGTGCCGGTGCCGTTCCCATGAGAGGAGTCCGCTTCATGCTTGCCCAGGGTCCTGACCAGGGGAGCGAGATTGACGAAGCAAAGGACCTGGAAGGGCAACGTCTCACCAGTATCGTCCATCGCGCTGCTTTCCTCAAAGAACTGCTGAGTGTCGTCCCTCTGGAACGTATGCATGCCTCCAAAAAGCTTGAGCGAGTTGAGAAGCAAAGCGAGGATGGCCCAATCACGATACACTTCACCGACGGCACCACGCATGAGTGTGATGTCCTCGTCGGCGCTGACGGCATCCACAGCACCATCCGCAAAGTTGTTCTTGGGGACTCCGACCCGGCCGCGCACCCTAGAAATGCTGGTTGGTGGGCAGTCATGGCGTTGAAACCCTACGCAGAGGCTCGGGCCAGTCTCGGCGAGGGTCCGGTCGATGCTGCCAATGCGCGTGAGCACATGTGGATTGGCGATGGCACATACCTGATGCACAATGTGCTGAATGACGGCCAACTGGTACAAGTCATCATCTCTGTACGTGAAGAAGCGGCCGTGGGCTCGGACAAGTGGCACCGCCTTGTCAGTGCCGAGGAGATTACGCAGCTCTACCAGGACTGGCCCCCGTATCTGAAGAAGGCGGCCAAGGAGGCAAGTCAAGCCCTTCTATTTCGTCGATACAGTTGACTAATCATGAAGGCAACAGCTACTTTGTGACCAACCCCAGCAGCCTGCCATGTATCTCTGGGACCATCCTCATGCTCGGACATATGTCTCGGGGAACATTTGCATCATTGGCGACGCGGCTCATGCCACTACTCCCTGGCAGGGCTCCGGCGGCGGCATGTCCATCGAAGATAGCCTCATCCTATCCACTTTGCTCGGGCGCGCAAAGACGACCAAGGATGCAGGTGCGGCATTGAAAATTTACGATCAGGTTCGCCGGCCCCGGACCCAAAGCATCGTCGAGTCGAGCAGAGAGACTGGTCTCATCATGACTGGGCAAGGCAAGGAGACGCAGCTAGATTTGTCGAGACTGAAGCAAAAGGTTTTGCCGAGATGGGACTTTATTCTCAATATTGACATGCATAAGCATCGAGATGATGCGGCCAAATTGATGGAGGATGTCATCTAAGAGCATGTGTTCCGCTGCATGTTGAACACAGCTGGATCGTGGGCTCAGCATAGCATTATACGCTCGCCTAGATCGGAGCACAAGGTTGAACGAATTCAGTGGAAGAAAGAGCTGGTCACGGTAGAGTCACGGAGCAACGGAAATACAAAGTCTGTAACCTTTTCAATAGGTATCATCAATTCTGTGCTGTATATACGTGTTGTCCACTACAGTCTTGCCGAAAATCCCAAACGATGGCCAACTTGCCTCTTATCATCCAGTCTTTTAGCCAACGCGTATCAAGCGCGACAAATAGAAAGGACTGCAATCTTTCTTCATCGTGAAGCTTTCGCTCACATCTCGCCATATCCTGGATTACCATCCAGTTTGTTCGCGCAGAGATAACCAATGGCAGGCTTGACGCTTGGGCACCTTACGGCCAAGCACGGTCATCGTCGGGAGCAACAGGGTTCTGCTGATGCAGACCATCTCGAGTTCCATTGTTGGCGTCATGGGGCTCGGAACGCTCGCGAGCGCGGAATTCCTGACCATGATGGCCCTGGATATTGCGCGGCTCGGAGGGCATGTTGTTGTGATGACCCTGAATCATGTTGGCCGGAGACAGGTTGCCCTGGTTCATATTTCCAGGGTTCATGTAGCCCATCTGGTTGGACATCATCTGCTGCATGCCAGCCTGCTGCATACGTGCATGACCAAACATGTTCATGAGGTTGGTAAGGGCAGTGTTGACATTGTGACCATTGCCCAGAGTGGTTGCGGGTGCCTAACCAGAGCCACTGGGAGGAGGGAACTGACCAGTCTGCTGCTGATTGCCTGCGTTCTGAGCAGCTTGGTACTGAGCCTGGGCCTGGGCCTGGGCCTGATTTTGCATGGCAGTGAAGAAGGCGGGAGGGAAAGCGGGCTGTCCATTCTGACCGTATTGCTGAAACTGAGGAGGCGGGGGAGGGACAAAGTTGGCAGGCAGATTCTGGGGCTGCTGAGGCCAAGTGAACGGAGCCATAGGGGCTTGACCGCCAGCGGCGCCGAAGAATTGAGGCGGGGGAGGCGGAACAAAACCCTGCGCTGCACCAACGTGAGGCGGGGGAGGGGTCCAGAACGGCATCTGCTGCTGCTGCTGCGGCTGCTGCGAGGGATATCCCTGAGACTGAGGCTGCTGCGAGTAACCAGCACCTTGGTGGCGCTGACCTCCGCGGTTACCACGGGCGTTGTTTCCGCGGCCTCTACCTCTTCCACCACGGCCGCCACGGTGAGAACCACCATCGTGACTGGTGGAGCCACCGGTAAAGGCAGGAGGAGCACCGCCTTGGCCAAAGTTGGCCGGACGAGTCAAGGGTCGGTAAGGACCATCGTCCTCATCATCGTACTTGAGATTGGCGGGAGCGGGAGTGGCATCCTGTCGGCCTCCACGACCGCCACGACCACCGTGGGTTCCATCGCCACCACCTCGAGCATTCGAACGGGCATTGCGCTTAGCCTTCTGTTCCTTCTTATACTCAATCTCCTTCTCGTCGTCGGAAAACTCCATCTCGTCATCATTGAGCTCTTCGTCGTTCAGGTTACTAGCGTCAGTTCCCTTCATGCCTTTAAGGGGTTCTGTGAAAACGAAAGTCGAGAGCTCCATGGTGTAGAAAATCTTGGTTCCGACCTCAATGTTGAAGGTCTTGAGTTCCTCTGCATCCTTGAACATTGCCATGTATCGTGGCTCACGCACGCTGCCAATGAGATCGGCCAGGGCTGCAACAACCGTTCGGTCCTCAGTGCAAAGGACTGAGCCAGAGTCGAGAACTTGGTACTCGCCAGACGTGTAAGCTTTGATGACGATAGCGCTGTCGACAACGTGCTCAACCTCACCAAGCACGTGAAGCTGCATCTCGGGCTTGATGATGACATCGGGTCTAGGAACGACCTCCTCGGGCATCTCGTTCTTGGTACGAAGGCCACCGGATGCAGAGCCCTTGGTCTTACCATCGCCCTCGTCATCGGATGCCGCCTCCATAAGGATGCGTGCCATTTCTTCAGGCTTCAGAAGCTCGTTGTCGTCGTCGGAATCATCATCGGAATCATCCGAGCTGCTCGAGTCGGAAGACGACTCGTAGGGAGAAGAGTCTGCCTCCCAGCCCTCGCCCTCTTCATTACCACCATCGGCTGCATCAGCGTCACGCATCTCGGCGTTCTGGTCTGCCTCTGTCTCGTGGGTTGCCGGGGCGCTGGCCAAATCAGCTTGTGCAGGTGTGGGATCAAGGCCGCCGATGAGAGCCTCCAAGCCCTCAGTGAGCGAAGGAGGACTGGCAGGAGCCTCGGTAGCATCGCTAGCTTTTGCGGCAGTCTCCTCATTGGACTGTCCGTCGACGTCCATAGCGCCATCATTGACAGTCGAGGTAATGTCTTGCTGGGCGTTCTGAGCGGTGTTCACGTCAGAGACAGAATTCTGCTCTGCGCCATTGTTCAAGTCACCAGGGGCGGTAACAGGCGCATTGCCAGTCGCGACAGGAACTGAAGTAGTTGCGATAGATGTGGTGTGCTCAGTGTTCTCGGTAGCCTTGGGGGTCTGGCTGTTCTCAGCTTGATTCAAGGTCGAGAGACCAGGAATCTGAAAGGGAGATGCCATGGTTGGCAGCAAGGGATCAATGAGTGTTCAACGATGGAAATACAAAGATGAAATGAAGAGTGTCTTGCTTTAGATGTCAAGTCCAAGAAGACAAGGTCCGGTCGTGAATGGACTGTGCTTTTCTGCCTTTCGGTAACAGCGACACCAGAATTTATCTCGCCTCAGCCTGGGAAGCAGAGCAGATCTATTAAAAAATCTGCAATATTTCCCGAGTCGAAAAGTCCTGGGGCCGTGGCAATGATGTTCACCAGTGGTTTTCGTTGAACAGCTTTTCCAAGAAAAGTTGCCCTCTGAAATGCTGGATTTTTTTTTTCAACCGCAGAAATGGTTACCTTGTATTAGAGCCGCCCAAGAAAAAATTAAGTGGGTACAGCCCACTGCTAGAGATTCATGCAGGGACGGAAGCTAGCGTTGGCGCCGCCTCGGTACAGAAATATCCTGCCCTGTGGATAGATATGACAGGAATAGGCTTGACTCGGAAATGTAGCGACAAGAGTTCACAGTGGTTGTTTCTGGTGTGATTCTCATGGTGAATCTATTATTGTGAGACATGGAAATATGATACCTGTATACATCGCTTTTATCCCCTGCAAACCAAAAGAAATGAGTTCCAAGTGCATGTCTAAGAGTATACCTATATTCTACTATCGGGGCTGGAATAGAATACCGGGATCAGTGCCCCGCCGCCTGCCGCTGGGCCACACGTCACAGCTGGAGCTGGCTGAGCTGGAAATAATCGCGACAGCTCGTTCAGCTCTGGGGTTGCCAAACTGTCAACACCTCGGATGCCCACAGCTGCTTCGACTGCACATTGCGGTCCAATCGCGCGCCAACATCTTCACAATGCCTGACGCCATTGAGCAGAGGCAGGACTTTGTCCATCCCTCAGCTAGCCATGCCAAAAAGAAGTGAGTGAGACAGATGCGCGCCTGTGGTCTTTTGTTCTGCTCTGCACCTAGCCGTCGCTAACTGATGCCGACTCTTAGAGCACCGTCCCACTTTGCGCTTGAGCCCATCAAGGCTTTTTACATCTTTCTTGCCGCAAACCTCATCGCCGCCCTCTTTGCTCCGATTCAAGATTGTGACGAGACGTTCAACTACTGGGAGCCTACACACTACCTTTCGCATGGCTACGGTCTGCAGACCTGGGAGTATTCACCCGACTATGCCATCAGAAGCTGGTTCTACGTTGGTTTGCATGCCATTGTCGGCAATCTGCGACGAATTCTCCCTCATCCGACAAAGGTTGGCGAGTTTTATGCCGTACGATATGCTCTGGCCTTTACCTGTGCCCTGTGCCAGGTTCTCTTCTATCGCGTCATCAGCTTCACCATGAACTCTAGGATTGGTCTCTTCTTTCTGATCGCTACCGTCATTACCCCTGGAAACTTCCACTCGGCCACGGCCTTTTTGCCGTCCAGCTTTGCCATGTACATGTCCCTTTTGGGTGCCGCCGCCTTTATGAACTGGCGTGGAGGTCTCAAGACTTCTTGGGGCATCTGGTGGTTTGCTGTTGGTGGAATCCTGGGCTGGCCCTTTGCCGCCGCCCTGTCTGCTCCGTTCCTTGTTGAAGAGGCCTTGTTTGCCGTGGTTAGCAGCAAGGAAGGCTTCTATGAGGCATTTCTGCGTGTCACTCGTGGCGTCACTGCTGCTTTTCTCTTGGTGGTATGTCTCAGCTGACGGAAAGCTTATCGACCCATTAGTGCTAACATGTATAGGTTGGCGATGCCCTGGTCAACACTTTTTTCTACAAGAAGTGGGAAATGGTGGCATGGAATATTGTCAAGTACAATATCTTTTCTTCGACCGGAGGCCCGGATCTGTATGGCACCGAGCCGTGGACCTTTTACTTTCGCAACCTGACCATCAACTTCAACATCTGGTTTGTGCTGGCTTTGCTGGCATTGCCCCTCTTCCTTGTACAAAAGGCCCTTTCGTCTCGACAATACGGTTTTCAGACTGGTCTCCGAACTGTCGTCTTCCTCTCGCCTTTCTATCTGTGGTTGGGCATCTTTACTTTGCAGCCACACAAAGAAGAGCGCTTCATGTATCCTGCCTACCCATTCCTCTGCTTCAATGCTGCCGTAACGCTGCACATTATTCTCAACGCGTTTGGAAACTCGGACCCAAAGACATTGGTCGGAAAGATCCCCGCAAAACTAAAGCTGTTCATTGTAACTTCGGCTATATTCCTGTCTCTTGACCTCGGCGTCGCCCGCATCCTTGGATTGTACCAGAATTACTCGGCTCCGCTGAAGCTGTACACGCCCCTCGGTGCAGGCGTTACAGGAGAAGAGGGACTGGGTGGACGCGGAGACAGTGTATGCTTTGGAAAAGAGTGGTACCGATTTCCCAGTTCCTACTTCCTACCGCGCGATATGCATGCCAAGTTCATCCGTTCCGAGTTTCGAGGTCTTTTGCCGGGCGAGTTCTCCGAAGCACGCACCGGATTTGGGCTTTGGAGTGGTACCTGGCTGCCAACGAGCGGTATGAATGATCTCAACCAAGAGGATATGGGCAAGTACACTGATATCCGGCAATGTTCATTCCTGGTCGACACACACTATCCTTTAAATAAGGATCCCCTACCACCGAATGAGCCCGATTACATCGAGGACACCGAAAACTGGGAGGTCGCCAAGTGTGTTCCTTTCCTAGATGCCGGGAACACGCATCTACTCGCGCGGGTGCTGTGGGTACCCGAGTCGAACCTCGTTCCTCAGAAATACAGGCGACAATGGGGTGAACATTGTCTTTTGCAGAGGAAGAAGTAGTTCTGCATATTTGTGATAAGAGTGGAATTGTAAATTAGCGAGATCTATATATATACTGGACGTCGTTCTATAGATAACTGGCAAAGTACCCCCGTGGAGGGACTTCTCTTTCAAAATCGAAACGATCTAGAATCTGTGGCGCTTCTGACTCTTGGATTGGCATTTGCTGTGAACGAAAAGAGCTCGTTTCGCCCAAGGCGCTATCCGGCATTGAGGAGGAGCCTGTGTTGCTCCCCGAAGCCAGAGTCGTGGATGAGTCCAAGGTGCCATAGGGAGTCCTTGCACGTCCTTCGATATGATATGCTTGGCTCTCTAGAACACTCATTGGGATGGTATTGAGTGTCTCGCGAAGACTTGATGCCGAAGCATCTGATATATCAACTTCAGGCTCCTCAGATGTCCTAATTGATCGTGGTCTTTCTGTCCTTTTGATCAACTGCAAAGAAGAACGGGAGACATCTGTTGGATTGAGGCAGTTCAACCTTTCGTTCGACTTTCTTGCCGGCGCAACTTTGACGCCTGTCGTCAAGGTGCCAGGGCCTACAGCCTCTTGCGCGTTTTGTTGGAGCTGTAATATCGAGTTCGATGTCCATTCAAGGTGAGAGTACTGTTTGTATCCCCATCTCTTGTGAAGGAGGGAAGACACTGGCTCCAGTAGATATGAAGTTAGGATGATGATGATGCCCACAACCAAGACAAAGTAGAGACCGAAGAGACTAAACGAGCCGTATGCCGTGCTCCGAATTTTCTGCGGTAAAAGTTAGCACATGCTGAGTTCCTAGAACACGAAGATAAAGAGGTATTAATACCTGGTTATTACACAGTTTACCCAGTGCTGGCCCGGTGAAGTTTATCCAGGCCGAGGGTACAGCCCCATTGATCGGTCCGTACGCATGTCGGATAGCCTCAGCTTGGATAGATGCCATCGAAATATCCCACAGGTGTTTCATGTCAAGCTGCCATTGATTCGTGGGCAATGATAATTGTATGCCCTCGTAGACTGTTCTCTGCGATAGTAGGCCCGCCGAGCCTAGAGTCGATAGCATTGCGTCAAAAGACTTGAGAGTGCCAAAGAACATGCTAGTAAAGTAGTCAAAGCGAGCGACCTGTGCAGAACTAGCATTTCCGATATAGTAGAATCTTTTCAGTTCTTCGTAAGTTGTGTTGTAGAACGGGGCAACACCAACTACGGCTTCTCGGAGGCTTGTCAGAGGTCCACACCCTTCAGTTCCAGGGAATTCAGCATTACAAAACTGATACTGCTTGGCACATCCCACGGGCGATGCCGGCTCCATAGAAAGATAGACCTTGAAGCCACCGTCTTCAGTGTTGAACCCGGTATATGGGTCGACAGGATCATCTGCTGTGCGGTACCAATCGCCCGATATTGGATAAAAATTCTAGACGCTATTTCCTGAAAGAAAGATTAAGGTGACGTCTGCGTCTACTCGCACGAGGTTATCGATGGGTTTGAAGCCGGAATTGTTATCATACATTGTGCTATTCAGCCTTGCTGCTGACAGGCAACTGGCATGTTCAGAATTAGTGCCGGGAATGAAAATTGCCACCCTCTATTATTATGAGAAACGGCCAAACCTACTTTACGGAATAATGTGAATTTGTTCTCATGGTAGTGTTAGAAAACAACTGTTGATATTGCGACACAACATCTGCGGCACTATAAATCTGGGGGAAATAAACGTATGTTAGCATATATATTAGGTTTCAAATCTATAGGACTTTTAGAACTAGCTGTGTATAGCTGCTTTGGGAAATGGAGTATCAGAGCAAAAAAATAGATTGAAAGCAAATACAGCCCCCACCTGCTCAGTATGAATACCTAGATTCTACGAGAAATGATTCAAAATGAAGACAGTGCAAACACATATAGAGCACTCACATAATCACAAGGTCCGTTCGCTGAAGTCCAGGAACCATAGTGATATCTGGTCAAGTTCCGAATCGGCGTGTTTTGTTGGCTGGTGAATCCCGAAGTGACCAGAGGGGCACAATGAAGAACGTTTCGCAAAAGAAATCTTTCGTCAGCAGGAGCATTGATTCCAAGGTGGTCGTGGCTATTTACATAGCCGCTGTCTATGCGTATGTTTGCCGTCTGGGTTCGACATATGCCATCACTAAAGGGACAAGCTGCGGCATAGTCAACAGTTGCATCAAGTCGGTTTTTGATCCAGACGTTGCAATCAAGTCCTATACTTTCATTTGAGTAACAATTTTGTGCGTAACTGACAGCCTGATCGACAATTTGGGTAGGGTAAGCGTCTGACTTGACAAGGCTGGCATTCCACGCCAGTCCTGGTGTAGCGAAGAAACCACAGTGCTGGCTCTTGATCAAGACTTCGTTGCCGACACCAGTGGAGATTCGCGAGGATAAAGCGCCGGATATTATGAAACCAGCAAGGCAGAAGCAAGCAAATAAGGCTGTGGCAAACAATTTCCATCCTTGGCTTGTCCGGCGGTTCTTCCAGAAAAGCCTCAAGAGCAACTCAACATCACCTTCTGGTGCTGAAGAGTTGCGCAGGATTGCTTGCCGCTGGTGGTATAGCACGTCCTGGCGATCGGTTGTCGAGAAGGATCTGTGCAAGGCGAAACAGATGATCCTCCAAAAGCGCGAGCCTACAAAAGCGACAAAGAATGCTGTCAAGGCTATGAGTAAATCCGCGTCTTGTCGTTTTAATGTCAGAGTTGCCCCCATGATGCGTCCTCGAGACCAATTCGTCCACGTCCCAATGTATGCGGGATAAGATTGAATCTCCATTTGAACCAGAGTTGTGCATAGATTTGATTGTAGATCTGCTTCAGATTTGCGGAAACACACTTCACATTAGGAACCAGACACACTCTGAAACACAACGTTTTGGAAAGCAGATATTCTCACTTATAATATTCTGGCTATCACATAGGTACGCAATTGAGGCAATGTTGATCGTTACGTCTAAAAAAAGGGATAGGCGGTTGTACTGCATTGAGCCATACAAATATCACCGAGAATACGATGATCCTGCATAATCGCAACGCTGACCTTTGGGTGTCATGCATGGATCATTGTCGAAATGGCCCTCATATCATCTCGATATGTAGGGTTCGGTCTTGGCTAACTGGCGAAGCGAGTACAATTTGCATGAAATTTGCACATTGCTGCCTGTCGGTTCATTTCCATTCAGGTCTTCATGTTGAGCAGAGCTGCAGGGCAGTGCGAGCCTTGTTGCCAATAACACACAAATTTGGAAATAATCCGCATTTATAGAGGGGCGAAATGCACGTTGCTTACAATCGAGGCATTATTCTGCATGATTGGGTTGGGCAGCATCCTGTGCGACACTCGTAATTTTTTGATCAGTCCAGCGCGATAGCAGGTAATTCATGAGGCTCGGGTGTCAGGATCCGCACTTTCTGAGCCCACTCGAGAAGTTTGCCAGACTTGTGATATAAATCCAGAGATTTTCCTTGCTTTTTTGGCAGAGGGCAGGGAGCTGACAATTTTGTGAACAACAGAATTAAGCAAACCTTCCAACACGGATCCTGATTGCGTACTGATAAACCGATGGCGTTCTTCCCAATGCCTCTCCTCCTAGGGGGACTCAGCTCATCTTGGGATGATCCGAAACCAGTGTGCCAAAAAGTCAAAAGTCCACCTTCGAAGCCTGCACATGAGAAGCACAGGTGTTAATAAGCACCCGGCTAGGCATGTTCGGATCTCATTTCCATGCAAAGTGGGCTGCGCCGCCTGTTTGTGTTGGCACCAGAATGATTCACAACATGCCTCACAGCTGCTGCATTTCATTATGAGGCCGAATGAATGGCACCGCCTTTCCTACTGTGATAAAAATATATACTTCGAAATAAAGCTTGCCAGGAAGGAAGGAGCAGTCAGAGAGCACCTGCCTGTTGTTTGAAAAAGTCTCTAGTGCCAGTCAACTGGAATTTAGGCCCGTCCCGACACTCTGGGACCTGGGTGCTGGAACGCCAAAAATAATCTACTGGGTGATTTAGGGTCACGTGTGCCTATTGCCTGCGATGCACACATATTCGAACAACATGATTAGCAAAACAACAAAAAGAATCATCAAAGCCTGCAAACGGGCAAAAAGAAGGTCCGCCTGGGGATCGAACCCAGAATCTCCTGATGTCAACTGATTACACTTCCTATTGCTAGGAGAGCGGTCGTAGTCAGACGCAATGCCAATTCTGCCAACGGACCAATGGCGAAGCTCTGAATCTCTTCAGCGCTTGTTGATAGCGGACGAATTATTGGAGATTATATTACAAGTGCGGGGCGAAAACGGCAGAGTTTTCATTGGCGTCCGAGGTGGCTGGGGATCGACGTTTGCCATGTGCGGATCGAGTCATTTTCACCGGAAACCAGGCCTGCCAGGGATCAGATATTGGTAAGCTAGAGCCGATTGCATATTTTCCTGTGTCGAACGTTCCGAGAAAAGATGGAAATTGAATCAAAATGGTAGGGAGTACAGATACCCACATTTTGTCCTTGCTGAACTTGTGTGAGTCTCCCCTACACTGTTAAATCCAACCTCTCACCCACTAAACCACCAGCAATGCAAACGACTCGCAGGAAAAGAGTGATCGCGATCGACTCTTACAACCTGCAGGTCCTCGGAATCAATCATAGCCGAAAGATAGCAGATTAAATCACTGTATGATTGCGATAGCAGAATATCCTTGAAGTCATCCGAACTCTTGTCTTGGGGTGTATCAAGTCGTGCTGAATCAAGCTTAATTCTTAGTCTCCAGTCTCAGCTTGGCGCAAAGGTCCGAGCTGCGATGCTAGCAATCTTCAGGACATACGCACGCCCTGATTGTGTATAATGACACCTTCTTGGCGTCAGTTGCACTACCCAATACTCGGGTCTACTATATTACCTTGTCCTTCCAACACCAGCAACGTGCTGATTGGCGCAAGTACAGGCCCGGTTGTGATGGACACCCTCACCAGGGATGTTTTCGTCACAGCGCTATTGTTTCTACCACGCCGCTATGATCGCCGATACCATAAAGTCTTGGCGACCACATCTCCTGCTCTGTGCTCAGACGAACATATGATTTCTTCACGTTTGGCTATTAGCAACGCTAGACCATGAAGCAGGCTCAGCTACTCCCGGTATTTGCTTGTACTTTTCCCTCTGTGAAATTTGCCGTATTTGAACAAGCACTCACCTGGAGCTATCTAGCCTAACCTAGTTGATCCGTCTTCCTTGGGGCACTACCCAACAACGGACGGCACAGCCTGCCACTCATGATATCTGTGCACCGGACTTGTGTATCGCGAAACATTACCCCTGGCAATCTCGCAGCGGCGCATTCAATTGCCGTGCAAACAACTTTGTTATAGTCCACCTCTTGATAGTAGTTATCATACTGAGACGGATATCATAGCTCATCCGATTTCATTTTCAGGTGAGAAGCATGTCAACTCCGGTCAGGATGACTTCCGCACCATCCGTTCCCCTTGACACAAGATGCCCCGGCTGTGCACACATTGGCAAGACATTATAAACAACGTCGCAGACCAAAGACTCGACTTTGAAATGTATTCTTCTCTAGAGGTACACCATAATGATTTGCAGAGATCTGATTAACGCCGCCGCCCTACTGGGGCTCGCGACAGCTTACGCCATTCCTTCGACTGATGGCTTTCCCAACCCCGACAACCAGCAGCTCATGCAGATACAGACGACAGCAGGCGGTTCACTGTCAAACTCAAAGCCTCCGATAGAGCTGAGCGAAGATGGCGTAGCAAATTTCCAGCTCATTGCATTCAATGAGCAGTTTGAAGTAGCATTTTTCTCGTCATTGATAGACAATATTACCAACAATGTGGAGGGGTATCAATCAGCTCCAGGAATGAGCGATACTGCAGAGATACTCGAGATACTACAAACAGTCAAAGCGGTAAGTATTCCGTACAGCATTGCAGCTTTCCAAATGATACTGACCTCTCGCAGCAAGAAGAGCTTCACGTGATAAGTGCGCTCGAAGTATTGAATCACTTCAATGCAACACTCATACCGGCTCCCTGCGAGTACAAATTCCCCTCTGTCGATCTGGAATCGGCCTTGTCATTAGCCGTCACCTTTTCCAGCGTCGTTCTGGGCACGCTCGCCAGCGCAGAAAAGTCCTTTGCCGACAATGGCGACGCCAGCGGCATCATTCGCCAAGTCGCCTCCATCATTGGCCAAGAGGGCGAGCAGAACGGCTTTTACCGCTTCATGCTCAAGCGCAGCCCGTCCGAGAAGCCGTTTCTAACAACTAATACGGGCCCGTTTGCCTTTTCCGCGCTGCAGCAGTTCATCGTGTCGTGTCCGTTTGACATATCGGCGATTCCTATTCCCACTTTTCCAGTGCTCGAAGTCATGACGACGCCCGAGGCCAAGGACATGACGCTCAAGTTTTCGGCCGATCTCAGCAGTGCCGGGATCAAAGTTGGCAGTATCTCGGAGGAGAATCTGTTCATCACATACCTCACGGGGCAACAACTGCCCATCTCGGTGCCCATTTCCAATGTTCAGGGCTTTGGAGATACCATTACGTTTGATGCTGAATTTCCCTACACGGAAAATGTTATGGACGGTCTGAGCATTGCGGCACTGACAAAGGCGTCCAACTTTGCTGACGCGGATGACATTGCAGCAGAGACATTGGCAGCGCCGGGGTTAATCCAGGTCAACAAAATGTTGGCAAAATAGATTTATATGTACCGATTAGGAGACCTCTAAGGGATAGAGAAATAATGATAATAAGCAGTGAGAGGGGCGATGAAGAGCGGAAAGGTCTTTCTGCTGTGGTGGTCACTTATTCAATTCAATTGTTCAATACACCCGAAGCTCATGAAGTTGACACAATCGCTGGTCAGACTTTGCAGATGGCGGCTTTTAATTTGCGACATCTGCTCTTTTACATTCAATTCAGACCATATTGAAGGCTTGCCAGCTATATTTCATTGCAAAACCAGTCTGTCACGTCTAGCCCTGGGTGAACTTGACAAAAGTGATAGCTTCTGTCATACAGACGCACGCTGCCCAAAACTCTTTGCCTAAGAGGCACAATGAGGCAAGGCTAAAGAATACCGCAATCGTTTTGTGGCCATGGATAAGCTCCAGCATGCAATAATTCACTTCTGCGCAGATGGAGAGACAACCAATGCCGTCGCAGACGCAAACGTCTTGGCATTTACCTCGTCTATTGGCCACACGATTATTACTCAATCACTGACTTTCCATGATTGTGGGGGAATTGAGGCGGAGCCAAGGCGTATAGTGCGCACTCTTGCGCTGCGAGGGCAATGTGATGATGAGTGCATGAGGCCCTACACAACGACGACGTGGTTATGCAGGGTGGGTTGACAGGCCTCGATTGCGTAGCCGCTGCAATACCTTGACCGAAAATCTCAAGTGCCCGAGTCCTGCATCGGTGGGTGATGTCTTGTTCTGTTGGCTTCGCCAAAGACCTCCTGTCTCCTATATCCGATTGGCTAATTCTTGGCTGTTCGATTGGCCTCAATGCGGGAGGCTTGGATCACCTGAGCGAATGATTGGATAAAATCGAGCGTGAGGCCATTTCTTGCATGCGTAGTGGTGGTGGCACAGCCCTGACCGAGCCGATTGGTCAAAGCCAATCATTCTCGTTGACCATCAGTTCTGTTAGGAAATCCATAAAAGTAGGCACGGTTCCATTTCATTCCGCACCAACAAATGCTTACGACAACGCCTGATGACAACGCCTAATGAGAACGCCTGATTACAACACCTTAACTTCAGACTCGACGACCATATCATTCCGAGGAGCTTACGTTACTGGTTCGCTAGAACCAAAAAAAAAAAAAAAAAAAAAAAAAAAAACTGAGAGTCATCTACACCTGCGTGCGCGGGTGGTATGATTTCTGCTTGCACCAATCTGGTTTTGCCCTGTTCCACAATTCAACGTTGGCATCTTCTCATCTCCCCGCGTCCGTCGTGATTCACGAAGAACGTGTGAGAAAACGTCCAATATTGGGAACAGTGGATCGAGTTTCATTTTACGTGGCAACGAACCAATTTCGACGTCGATATCTACCTACTCACCACAAAATTTATACGATAGCCTTGTGCACCGCATGAGTACCGGCAACACAGAGATTTTACAATATAGGAAAGTTTAGGAAGATCCAAGATGGATTACATGCAGTGCCAATGTTGTCGCTGCACGCAGATGCAGGACAAGCTATGGTTACCTATGACAGATGAAGTTGTATCTGGTATGGGATCGTTGATTGCCTCGGGTCTTGAGAGTAGTTCATTTCCACGTCACCTGACTGACGGACACTGGTTTGGGAGAGCCAGTCGTCCTGAAGTCATTGACACGGATTTGAACCACTCTTTTGACCCGGGCAATTCACGATCCCTGCCTGATGCACCTTCCATCTCGTCTATGGGTAACCTGGTTTGTTCTACGTCGACCGTGTCAGCTTTGCAACCTAGCAAGCTGCTTGAAACGGAGTTTTCATGGAATAATGATACTCTGTCTCAATATGGTCTACATAGTCACACAAGCCAGGCCCCAGGACGAGATGGTCAAGTCAACGACATCTCGCAGGGCCTGGTAAGTGCACACTCATAGTTATTTATTCCATAGTTACTTACCTCGGTCAATATTACAGACATCTATCAACCAAGAGCCCATACAGTCTTGCGTGGCCACAGAAATCTTTGACCCTTTAGATATACAACTGAAGTATGTCACGCCGGGTAGATCACTTTTTGAGGATGGGGAACTCCCGAACGGCAACACTTCAATGCTGCTACACCAAGCCAACCAGTTTCCAATATATCATGTAAGATATCTCGGCACACCCTAAGACCATCCATAATGTCTGACAAATACATACAGTCCGAGTTACTGGGAGAAAGCGACTTCATGAGTGCATCATCGGTCGCGCAGATTTCATCCTCCGTAGACCCGGAGGCTGCCAGCAGCCACGTGGATCATCAAGCCTCACTTCAAGCACTAGGCGCTTTACAACCTATGACTGGATATCCATCACTTTCTGCACTGACACCCACCGCTGAAGCAAGTCTTTCGTCTGACCGGATTATGTCCCCTGCACTTCCAACCAACTCTTCAGATTGGTATGATGCATTTCAACTGTCAATGGAGGCTCCACTGACACCGACACCGGGCCAACGAGAGCCATCCTTGTCGAGCACTCTCTTGATACCCTCATCATCCAGCCATCCAAAGTACAGAAAGAAGACAGTCAGCCTTTACTGCTGCACCCACAGCGACTGCGATTACACGGCCAAGAATTGGAGGGACGTGGAGCGCCATCTGGCCTCCCGAAAACACGGGGAATTTTCTTTGAGCTTCCCGTGCAGCATTGAAGGTTGCAATTTTCCAAAGGACAATCCACGAAAGGACAATCTCATACGGCACATGGAGACGGTCCATGGCCTCTCTATGCGTCGGATGAATAGGGGGCGCAGAGAGAAGCACCGCAATGTGCAAACGCGAATTTGGACGTGATGGTGATGGTGACGAGTAGGATTTGGTTAAGCTGTCTTGAGAGTGATTAGACTAAATGAAGCCAGGGGAATGGAATTTCAATTCAACTGTTCAATACACCCGATCCCCTTGTTGGACGTGTGGACAACTATTGGACTTTTCTTTCATCGACCGAGATTGGGTTTGCATGCCTCATTGGGTAAACTAGAAAATTCCGAAAAAAAACAAATACAGCAATTAAATAAGATATGTAAACGCGATAAAACTCATAATATGGACTATGTTATCCGATGCCATATAATATCTATCATGACAACTATCCCCTCTCCCAGGGGCATCGTCCTCGATGGCCGAGGCGGAGGTTGAAAACCAATCGCGTAGTCAGCCAATACAGCTTCCCATAATCACACCCGACTACTGGGCGTGAAAATGTGCCTGGTTCAAACGCGGATGATGCCAACGGCTCAATCAGAGTGAGAAGACTGATTTACCCGCAGTTCACAAGCTTCCTGCCTCGACTAGGAAGTGGGTGCCGCAACGCAAACATAGTAACCAGCCCAGAGATTGGCGCAGCCCGATCCGACATAGGGATTCCATTCGTTGAACTAAACACGATCAGTTTCTTCCCACATCGCAAAGAGGATCATGGGGACAGGGGCCTTTACCTGGTCCGCGGTGATGTCGTACTGCTGCTCGATGTCAAAGCACGAGTCGCCAGATACAACGTAGTGGTACGCCGTACAGTCAGATACCGTGCTTGGTTCCAATGGGGAAGGCGCAGTTGCCGTTGACGTCGCCGTTTGGGTTGCCGTCATCGCCGTAGAGGGCGTGCCGGTCGCGGGTGCGCCGACGCAGATGTATTCGCTCGCCCATAGGTTGGCACAGTCCGATCCGATGTACGGATTCCACTTGTTGAACTGTTTCGGACATGTCAGTATACGCCTTCATGCCACAGAGAAGGGGTGGAGCTGAATAACTCGGCACGTACCTCATCAGCAGTAATATCATATTCCTGCTCAATGTCATAACAGGAGTCGCCGTTCTGTACATAGTAGTAGCTGGTACAGCTGGGGTCTGTGCTTGGCATGATGGGGGAGGGGGCACTGCTGGTGGTTGTCGTCGCGGTGGCGCTGATTGTGGTTCCTGTAGTTGACGACGTGGACCCATCAGATATGCCAATACACACGGCGTAGCCAACGCCCAAGTACTGACAGCTTGATCCAACGGCCGGGTTCCAACTATCACAGTGTAAGCATAAGTGGACGGTGGATCCATTCAAAACAGCCGCAGGCGAGTCTGCTGGGATTCCTACCTGTAGAACTGGTCCAGCGTGAAATTTCCGTACATCTCCACGATCCCTGAACATGAGTCGTTGTCTTGAACGACATACCACGCATCACAGTCACTAGCGACACCAGTCTGTGTGGGCCCGGGTGGACCGCTCGTTGTCGTCGTTGTTGCCACCGATGTGCCTGTGGCTGTGGCTAGATTGTCCCAGTAGCTCGGGTAACAGGTCGCGTCGAAACTGGTACTGGGCGGCATTGTCGCGTCAGCCGGTGGTTGGCAGTAAGATGACAAGGCGTCGGCGCAGGTGTCAGGCAGGTCAGGAATGGTCCACCCGTCCATCGTGTCATTATATGATATGGGACAGTAGACCAGCAAGGAAACATACTAGAGCATATGTCAGCGTCGACTCGATTTTCAGGGATGGAAAAGGATGGTTGCAAAGAGTCAAAGCGAGTTGGTTGCATAGACAAAGTCCAGTACTAGGAGATGCAATCCACCTACGGATTCAATGGCAGTAGGATCGGCTGTTGCCGTGATCGTGGTAATGTTTATGGGTGTTGTCGGTGCCAGATAGGTGGTGTTGTAGGTAGGAACTGACGTCTGCTCTGGGAGAGTGGTGAAGACAGTCGTCGGCATCACAAATGTTCTGTATATGTCAGGGAAGATGCTCCTTCTGGGTGTGGAGAGGTTTCTTACACGTTCCAGCTCGTTGTAATGTTCTGTGGCTGAACATCCCAGGTAGTGGAGCCTGGCGGTCTAAAGCTCAGTCTGTTAGGGAACTTCTATGAAAGCCGTAAAGGGAGTTGCTTCAACTGACGATATGCAGATTTCCCTGCCGACCATGGAATCCAAATTGCTACAATCGGCATAGATAGTACTGGTGAAAGATTAGCAATCATGTTATCGGGGACGATGTTACAAGTAGACCCACGGGTTCCATGATAGCAACTGTGTCAGGTAAAAGGTTTCATCTGCCAGGATAGAATCGCAAGTATCATTGGGTTGGACCTCGTAAAGCGCGCAGCTAGCTCCTAGACAGACAGTGTTTCCCGTCTTGAGGGTTGTGCAGTTGTAATCCAGACTGTTCTCGCTCAAAAAGCGATCCGTGGCTATAGAGTTTGCCTGGGCAATGGAGCCACAGGTGTCGCTTGACTGAACAACGTAGCTCGTTCCGGTGCAAGTTTGAGTTGGCGCTGTCGTGGTGCTTGTGCCTGTGGCTGTCGTGCTCGTTGCTGGGGGGTCAGTATAGGGGTAGCTCGTCGCCGCAATGCCGCACGACGACAACTGCGTGGAGAAGGAGTCTGGGTCAAATCTAACTCTTCCATAGTCAGAGTTCAGCACTAAAGTATCAGTGGTTAGTATTTTCTCGGTATAGTTCTGTATGCTGAGAAGGAATTTCCGGCGTGGGCCCATCTGCCGGTTGTGTGACTTTGGAGGACGGTCCGGTCGGTCTCCATGGCTGCCCAAAGAGGTAGGAAGTGATTCTCGATATTACGTACTGGCTGCCTCATACTGGAGCAAGCAGTCTGAGCATTCCGTCAGACCACTGGACGCGTTTAGGACTGCCGGGTAGCAGAATGTATTGCTGCTCGATAGGCATGCAACATTGTAAGCCCATACCAGCGGATCCACGACGGAGGATATAGTCTGGTTTCTGGTCTCGTCAAAGGCGTAAGGGGCTGATCCGCATGTGCTCTCCACATCTTGTTGGAACGAAAGCAGCGACTGCGAGCATGTCGTTGTGCATAATGAATCCAGAGTTGCTACATCGATGTATTGTTGGTTGGAAACGGACGCCGCGGAGACGAGCACTTCGCAGGTGATGTTCGCTGTCAAGGCAGTAGCACAGTCTGCAGGAATGGAAGAAGGAACTGCACTGGTGCTGTCAAAGAGCTGAATACCTAAGCAGCCCGGGGCCATCAACAGTAACCATGGCGCAGCAATTCTGAGCGTAGAGCTCCTCAGCGAGGAACCTACACGAGTCGACATGGAGAAGGTTTTTTTCTTCTTTTCCTTGGGGGCGCCTGTGCTCACGAGAATGTAGAGACGGCAGTCAACATTGACAAAAACGGGAGAAGCAGTGGTCTAAAGGCTCAGATGGCCATCGTGACACATGGATAACAGGTACCTATGTTCTGCTATCATATGGACTTGCCAACTATGTATATGGATTTAGATCCGCAGGGTCTGGAGTCGTCCGGCCCAGCAACTATTCCGCGCAAGACCCTGGCATGGACAAGTCTCTCCAAGAATTTGGCACTACAGTAATTCCTCCTGTAGCCGTCCTCGACGGCGTATGCGGTAGAGCCGACTTTTTCAGGGCCGGAGATGAGCCCGGGTTCTGCTGAGGCCACTCACTGCACGGCATGGATAGGTACCTGCATAAAAGTTCCATAGCACCAAGTGTCTTGCCTTGACTAGTCATACCAATTTACATACCTATGGAAGCGCCTCAATACCCTAGATCATATACCTACCTAGATGCCTATTGGAGATACATCCACGAATGGACATGGGACCGAAATACCCTGACTTAATCCCTAGCAATGGAGCTAGTATAATACAGCGGTGGCCGGGGGCTCCGCTCCACTAACGAACACCCCTATTTCCGGTGCATGCAGGAACCCTAGCGCTAGGTTGTTAGCGCTGGACAGGCGGGTCGGCGCTTGCCAAAGTCCACCGACCTAAGCGCAAGCGCGTGCTTGACTTGACGACCCCAAGTTCACTACCGTCTCTGAGGTATAAGTCTTTGCCAGGCGTCTTTGCAGGATCTAATCATTTCAAGGACTTCTCGTACCACGATAGCCTGTGACCGTTTCGCCCTCTTGTTTGCATTCGATATGGCCTTCAACCCTGCGCAAACCCGCCTCTTCGGGGTGGACTTGTACTTGCTAGTGAGTGCGGTATCTTAGCCGAACCCTTTCGGTCCCTATCGGCCCTGAGGTCTGACACCTGGCTAATTTATTCTTCCCACCGCTAGGAGAAGTGGGATGCCCAATCACAGCTACCCGATGAACAGCAAGGTCTTGCTATTGTGCAGGAGTTTCTCCAGGCGGGCTATACTGAACGATGGGTGCGTCCCCCGGTGCATTCATGGTCATGTCTGCGTGCGGAACTGACCAACTTCGTTGTAGGGTTATGATCAGAAACTCCAAGAGCGTAACCTCTTTTACGTAGCTGACTTGCCGGAGAGTGATCAAGCTGTCCTTACCAGAGCTCGCCCCTCGGCGCACGAGCGTAGTGCTGTACCATTCATCTGGCTGCGCACCTGCTACGCACCAGGCACCGATGGGGCTTGGGCAGCCCTCTGGACGAACCTCCTCTGGAGCTTGGAAGACGAGCCGCAAAAGATCTTCAACGATCCCAAACGCTATGATTTCGGCAGTGATTGGCAACGCATCTTCATCCGCGTGCCGCAGCTACTCCATCCCTGGGGCTACAGGCGCAACCTGCAGATATATGAGGAGGAGAAGCAGGAGGGGTTGAAGGCGTCTCTCGAAGCTGAGAAGCTGGCCAGGGAAGATGTCGAAGAGGCCGATGAATCGTGGTCCGAGGATGGACCGTACTGGCCTGAACTCTACTCGGATTACCATGCCGCATGCCAAATAGGGTTCATCTTCATTGCCGATGAAGAGACCCTGACGGCGCTAGATCCGAAAGAGGCAAATTTCCTAGTCGTATGGTATGACCCTGACGGCAACGTCGTGCGGCAATACCGTTTGGGTGCATACGATGCTCAGGGTCTTGAAGCCATGTACTGCGGGTCGCTTCCTTGCGACCATACGGCTTGGGTGCAGGGTCTGGTCGGTGAGCAGTATGATGAGGACGCCCCTCTTGGTCCACCCTACGAGCTGGACGAAGGGGACGAGGCCGACTAGCCCCTGTAAATTAAACATAATTAGTAGATAGGAAAACGTGGTTAAGATCGGAAGGGCCTTCTCGAGAGCTCATGTTTTCTCCTTTTTTTTCTAGGTAGTCTTGAAAGACAGTGACCTATGCAGAACCTTACCGGGTACATCATGACTACCTAGGTACCTAAGGCATCTAATTCGGGATAATGGCCACGGCGGATAGGCTGACCCATTTGATCATTTCATAACTACCAATTGCCATACAGTCAGGCATAGTCGGGTCCATTAGTGCCTAGAAGCTAGGTCGCTGCTACTCAATCCATAGTATCAACAGAAAAAGCGCCGTGCCGCTTAGTGAAACTTGGTGGGAATTCCGTCCTTAATTAGTAATAGTAGACCACTAATTACTCGTATGTTATATGGGTAATTAACTGGCATACACTTGCCAAAACTTGTACTTATCAGGACTAATGTCCCTCGCATAGCACGAGGATTCTTTCAGCTCTGCGGTGGACCGGGTCTAGTAAAGGCCACTGCAGCCGGCGTTAGGCTTGATTCATTTAAGCTTTATCGAGTCGCCGTGACTGGTGCCCTAGCATGAACAAGCTTTTCAGTACCATGTGGATATAGAGGAGAATTACACTCGTGCAGAGCGGCTACCCGTCCGACCCTTGGCTCCGCTTGACCATCCCAGCATGCGCGCTATAGTGAAGAATCTCCTGACAAACCACGCATCTTAGCTTGCAGTTGTCTATACTTACAAGGGCTAGGTTCAACTTCCTGTGGTTGAGGCTCGGCGCTTATTTCCGCTCCAGCGGTTAGCGGATAGTGCCAGCAGGTGTAGATATCAGGCCGTCGTTCAGACCAGCTTGATAGATGGCCTCGCCTGTGGAATGAACCGGTCTCAGTCGGAATCGCGAGGGCTGATATTTTGGTGTGTCCACCAGCTAGACTCACAGGAGCAACATGATGGTCATTTCTATAGCTCACCTCTGGCCTCTGGCCTCTGGCTGCGGGACTGGGGAGACTCGAGTGTCTCCGTAGCCCTTCTACCCGGAGTTCTTTTTTTTTTTTTTCCAGTCATATATCTGACACTCTCCTTTTTTTTTCCCTGTCTCTCTATCATGTGTCGGTAGTTTTCCGCAAAAAGCTGATTCTCGTCCATCATGTATCCGGCCTTAGGCTACCTTACATTCTTTATTTTCTTGTTCGTTTACAACTTCCCCGCTCAGGGACAGCAAAATGCCGCCTGTTCCATCCTAAACCCGTGCTCACAGGGCTGTTGCAGTCACTTTGGATCGTAAGTCCGCGCTGACCCTGTCATCGGTATAAAGGGCTGACTGATGTGGCCAGGTGTGGATTCGGCCCCGAATTCTGCGGCGATGGGTGTTTAGGTACTTGCAATGCCACTGCAGAGTGCGGCCAGTATGGTTCGACCGCTCTTTGTCCTTTGAATGTCTGTTGCAGCCATTACGGCTTCTGCGGCACCACATCGGACTTCTGTGGTTCTGGTTGCCAGCATGGCTGTGAGGATCCTGAGTAAGTTGAAACTCAGAAAGGAAATAACCATCGGAACTTTCTCTCATCAGCTGCTAGGGTCAAGACGTGTACAGCTACTCGAGATGCCAGCACCCTGCAGAGAGTGGTAGCATACTACGAACTATTCGGCATTGACAGAGCATGTGACACGATGATGCCGGAATCCATCCCTGCAGGTGCTCTGACGCACATCAATTTGGCCTTCATCGAATTTGACGAGAATTTTGAGCTTGTGGACACGGGAGGCGACATCGTAGCGCGAGTGTCTAAGCTGAAAATGACTTATCCTGGCCTCAGAGTCAACGTTGCTATCGGGGGCTGGAACTTCAACGATCCGCCCACTGCGACCTACTTCTCTGACATGGCAGCTTCACATGAGAACCGTCAGACGTTCATCAGCTCGCTATCGGCATATCTGACGAAATATGGCCTTGACGGTATTGATATCGGTAAGACCGAAGAGTCTGCAGACAGGTCGTCTCGTTGTACTAATGCGTCCGTTCCTAGACTGGGAGTACCCCACTGCCACAGATCGTGGAGGCTCGCCTGATGATACAGATAACTACGTTGTTCTTTTGGCCGAGATGCGTGAAGCATTCGATGCAGTGAACCCGGGGTGGGACATCACCTGCACGATCCCCTCGAGCTATTGGTACCTGCAAAACTTCGATCTCCCTTCCATGCAAAAGTATATATCCTGGTTCAACATGATGTCTTACGACCTCCACGGCATGTGGGATCAGAAGAACCAGTATACAGGAGCCTATCTGCGGGGCCACACCAACCTTACCGAAATTGACGAAGGATTCAACTTGTTGTGGCGCAACGGTGTCGAACCCGAGAATGTTGTCATGGGTATGGGCTTCTATGGACGGTCTTTTACCATGGCAGATTCATCTTGTTACGGTCCCGACTGCGAGTTCTCTTCTGCTGGCCTGGCTGGCGACTGCTCCAACACAGCAGGGATACTCTACTACGCAGGTATTTCTCAGAATTTCCATGTCGTGATGGAGCTATATTAACACAATGACTTCAGAAATCGTTTCCAGTAATCAGTCCCTGTAAGTCACTTATGTGGTACACGGGAAGCAAGAGGAACAAAAGCTTGCGCTATCGAATATCCGTAGGCTGACTGTATGCAGGAACGTTGCGACATACTACGACCCCGTTACTACTGTGAAGTTCAACGTCTACAATGGTAACCAGTGGATCTCATATGATGATGCCCAATCCTGGGGTGATAAGATGGAGTATCTTACTGGACACTGCCTTGGCGGAGTTATGATCTGGGCTATCGACCAAGACACCGGTACATACGACGCCTTGTCCGGACTGCTCGGCGAATCCGCACTGCAAGGAGCGCTACTTCAAGGAGGCAGTCTTTCGGACACTCAGAAGGAGAAGCTTGTTGATCAGTATGTTAACGAACTTACTCTCCTCGGAGCATTTGGCATGATTTTCTAACTCATTCGACAGATTCGCTGCCTACACTGGCCAAGACTGCTACGTGACAGAAGTCTGCACAAACGGCGAGCCTGGCCAGCTGGGCCCCGACCAAGTCTGCCCTTCTGGGTATTCCTCTGTGTCAACCGCTCATTCACCAGTGCAACAGGTTGGAAGAGACATCAAAGGGGCCTGTTCAAAGGGCTGGTATCGTCACATCTGCTGTCCGACCAACGCTATGCCCAAGAACTGCGAATGGAATGGTGCCCCAGTGCGTTCAGTTCTTGGATGCTCGGGACAGTGTGGCTCTAACCAGTACCAACTAAACTCGGACACCTATAGCGACGCTGATGGTGACAGCCTATGCTACTCAGGGAAGCGAACCCTGTGCTGCGACAGTGCGGAGATCTTGACGCAATGCTCCTGGACCGGCTGCCAGGGACCCACCATTGACGACCCAGTCTGCCCTGATGGAAGCACTTTGGTGACCTCAAGATATGACGACGGAAATGGGAGTAAGTTGACATCTCGTGATGGAAAAAAAAAAGAAAAAATAAGAATTAGACTGTAAGCTAACATCCCCGTTAGAGCTTTGCTCGGTATCCATGGGCGATGCTGTGGGTGTCTACCATTCATTCGTCCAAGGTTTCTGTTGTCCCAACGACGGTAAGATCCGAAAAGACTGGCGTGATGACGAGACTTGCTCATATATGGCGTAGATGTACCGAGCAACTGCTCTTGGACTTTCACGGCTAATTCAAGGAGCTCTGTGAACATCAACGAGATCGAGTGTAACCCTTCTTCATGTCCATCGACAAAGGTCCAGTACACAACGGCGCTTGATCCACCCAATCCATACCGTGACCCGGAAGCGACTTTCAGCAAGAGCCGGTGTGACTCTTATCCGCCCGCTGCCGGGTCAGATCCTCAGTGGCCACTATGCTGCGACCCTCCCGAGTCATATAACAAGAAATGGCCCGTCGGTATGTGATTTTGGATGAATAAAAGGAACTGTGTTAATTTAGGATACAGACCCAAGCTACCTCTGGGAAGACTACTACGATTCTACAGGTGACGACGTGGAGTGGGCGTACCAGGACAATTACGGAAACAACAACGACCAAAGTTCGCCTGACAGCGGATACGGGGGCGATCCGTACGGTTTTATCATGCTGGACGGTCCCCCAGGCTCCATTGACAGCACATTCTCGTCGGACTTTACTGTCACTCGGCGCTCTGAGTATATCGCCCCTGTGAAGCGCTCGGTCATAACGACCAACCAGACCCTCATTGACACAAACTTTGATCACTCCGAGGAAACACTCTACGTTTTCTGCAACTACGTTGACACATCTCCGCGCTGCCAAAGACTGTTCTTGAACGGCGCAGAAGACACCATAATCCGCCTCCCTGATCATGTAGGAGAGGGACCTTTTGCCCGTGTGGTGTCTATCGAGCCCGCCGGGGACAGTTACAACCTTCCTGGCCACCATCTCCGAAAACGCAATTCCCAGGGCCTCCAGAGCACCGTACACAAGATGGTGATTGACTACAACTTCCATCTCATCAAGACACGCGACGATGAGCCGATCAATATGCGCGTCGACTACACTAATCTCATCTCCTACTGGGATGATGTGACCGACACTCCCGCTAAGGTCCGCCGTGATCTTCAGGATAACTCACACTTGACCTATCGGGACTGGCGTGGAAAAGTCAGTTCGGCCAAGCAAGAACATGAGCGCATGCGTAAGAGGCAAACCGAATTCATGTCATCTGGTTCAACGCAGTTCAACGCGACAGATCTGGCTGAAGACCAGTCGCCTCATGCAAAGCGATGGTGGGGTGCCTTCGGGGACTGGCTTTCCAGGCTCAACACCATTGAGCTGAGCAATGTCGGCAATCTGAGCCAGTATCTCAAGAAGAGCGTACTTCTCTACCGAGCTTTCGTCGGCTGCTCTCGAACCAATGCCCAGCTCAATATCTATCTCGACACCGAAGTGGCTCTGGAGTCTACCTATGCGTACTATTTCTCGGGAACGCTGGTCCCACCAACACCGACAGCAACGTATGCCTATTTCGGCATGCAGCCAAGCATCTATCTTGGATTGACCATCCAGGGCGGGGCACGATTAGAGTACCAGTCTCCGCGACAGCCTCTGATACCGACAATATCCTATCCTGGGTTGGCCGTCAAGGGAATTGCTGCTGTGGGTCCAACACTGGACATCTACGGTCAAATTGTGGGCGTAGTTCAGATCAGTGGTACTATGCAAGTGGGCGCCCGCTATACCTTTGAGAAGGCCGAGGTCTATTGGCCTCAAGACGACGATGGTGATGCCGCGTCAAAGATCCAAGATCTGCTTGGTAATCCCGAGCCGGTCGACAGCGGCCTCGTCCCAGAATTCCAGGCTTCCGTCTCGGCTTCAGTTGACATTGACATAAAAATCACACCAGAAGCGCACATTGGCATCCAGGTTGGCGGTGGCAGCTTCATCGGCGGCGTGTCGATTGTGGATGCCCAAATCGTTGGGTACGTCAACAACACTCTCAGATTCCACGCCGATGCAACCGGATCGGTCTCCACAACAGACGCGAGCGTAGCCTACAACTATGGCGTCTACCTTCTTTACAACATCGGTTACGGTGGCTGGGCATCGATTCCACTCTACAGCTGGCACATGGCGGCACGCAATCTCTTCGATACCCCAAAACAGATCACACTGTATTCCAACGGTGATGTGCTATCAACAACAAACTCGAAGCGAGACGAGATTTGGGCGATACATCAGCTGGAAGGGCGTGGTATTCTCAATGGTGGGAACGCTGAAGAGCTCAGTGAACCCGAATCCGTACTGGCGGAGGCTCGAGTTGTGGGCATGGATGGAACCATTCTTTGGTCATCTGGGAATGAGCTAATCAACATCACCGCAACTCCCAGCACTCTGCACACAAACCAGAAACGAGACTCAAGCTCGGATGCCGAAGCTGAGGACAATGATCAGGTCGCCGGCTTCAGCCTCGGGACGTTGACGTGCCCCGAGACCTCATGCTCTAGCGGGGGCAACGAAAAGCGAGCTTCAAACACCTGTGGTTGGGTTTTACCCGATTTCCGCTGTACGTGCTACTTCTATCCTCCAACCACCCCAAGTCATTGCAGGGGAGACGTTTATTATAAAACAAGACTGACCTCTAGACGCAGACAACTGCAACATCTTCTGTGACCGTCAAGTCAACGGCCCTGGAGGAAATCAAGTGGCACCCGGACTTTGCGCCAATGTCCAGAAGTTCTTTAACAAGCGGTCACTTTCTAGTAACGGCCTTGCTCTGACGTGGGATCCTGTGAACTCCACCCCTCGCCGCAGATTTGCCTGCGGCGTTCCCAAATCAATGGGTACAAGCTTTTGCCAGGTTGACAACACTGCTCTCGCCCAGGTTGCCGGCGTGAATGCCAACACCCAGATCGTCTCGTGCGATGAATTTCCCTTCGCCTCCACCGAAGAGGGTGGCTCTTATTTCGGCACCTTGGCCACAAACCCCACCACGGTCGCGACGACTTGCGTACCAGTATGGCAGCAGACGCTCCAAGGAAACTGCAACTGTACGTTCCACCCCCTTCTCCCGAGTCTTCCCCTCACGAAGGTGATGCTAAGACGTTGACTCTAGCTCTTCTCGGCAACTTGCAAACAAATGTTGCCTATGCAGATGACCCGTCTGCCGCGCCAAATTGGCAACAATGGGGAAGCGAGACGAGTGCGCCCCCTGGGTGGCTAACCAACTCTGGTTGGCAACGCCTTGCCAAGTACCCAGATACGATCCCCCAGTCAGCGGGAATATCCACCGCGGTAGGTTTTTTTTTTTTCTCCCTTTTATTTCTCTCCCCCTTATTGTTGGTAGGCCGAAACATTCAGGCTGGGATGGTATGGCCCATTTCACGACCTACCGCAATGTCGCTAATTACCTCGGATGTCCTACTGACTGTCTCCATTGCAGGATCACGCAGCCAGCTTGGGCTATTATCTCAGACGGAACTTCACAATGGGTTTGGCAGCGCCGTCGACAAGTACGGATGGGGCTGCGTGGGGTGCACAACCCGCATCGACTTGGTCGATAAGCGGTGCGGGCCAAACTGATGTCACCCAGATTGCCTGCGCTGTAAACATTTTCGGCCAGTCAGACATTTACCAATTCACTGGAACCCGCAATGGGTATTGCTACAATGGAGCCACCAACTTCGCTCCTGGTGAGTCTTTTCCCGAAGAAATTGTGCAGCTGCATGGTGTGAATTCCATGCCAAAAGAAAGCAGTGACTGACCTGATTGTGTGTCAATGACAGGCTATGGGCAAGTTCCATCTTTCAGCCAATGTACCATAACTTTCACCGGGCCGGTCCCTTCACCAAACAAACGTGATGTTGAGGGAGAAGAGAGCCACGAAGACATTGTCGGTATCTTTAATGGTTGGGGCATCAAGAGTCAGTATCTGCAATTTTGACCGCCCTCGAACATTTCAGCTAACTCTCAGCAACAGAGATTGACATCAGTCAAGACCCCAACGACATCATCCTGGCCCCAGGCTTTGTGCCGGATCCGGATACGTTGATGCCATTGGAGGTTATCCGGGGTGCACCGTCCATGTAATGGAAAGCCTTGACATGACTATAAATGTCTCTGGGTATGATTGGAATTTAGGGAATATTTTGATGGTGTCCGGCCGCTGCCACACATCTCCAGCCACGACTAGGCCCATTTATGGAAAAATCTGCCTGCTTATACTTAATATGCATTAATACTACGGCCCATGCGCTTCAGCATTCTCCAGTGCTTTTAGCGCCTGTAGAAGATACTAATATTGGACCAAGGAGCGACGAAGAGATGGATCTGTATGTATTCGCGGATCGATACGATTTCCCTGACGATGAGACACTGGGATAATTTCAGAAGAGTCATTAGGCTAGTCTGAAGATCGTCGTTGACGACTGTGCCATACACCGCAATCCATGGTATACTTCGTTCGATACCATCCTATGTTGGCGGTACCTGCGGCTCACTCACATCCGAGTTGTGGACAGTGAATTGCAAATGGTGATGGTATGGAAAACGTATGCTGTCTCGTATCAATACTTGCTAATGTGGCTATAGTTATTCGCAGGGGGGGGTCCAGGCTCTCTTGTCATAGATGCGAGTGACCATAAAGTGTACGGGCCGGTCATAGCAACACGGGCCAGTCATAGCAACAAGCCCTTTGGAAGAAGTCCACGTCATTCCCTTGAAAGATATTCTTCATCAGATTCAGCAAGTATTCCAAGAGAGCAATGATTCTCTACAAGCTACCCATGCGCATTCCGAAGATGATCCTACATCGAATGTAGGAGCACAACCACGGTTGTCCAAAGACAGCGCAATAGCAATATATCTGGATGAATAGAAGTACGACGGCATTATGTTAAGAAATGAACAGTTATCAAATGACTACCTTATATACGCGGCAGCCATTACGTTGCCGCGTCACCAATCAACGGCCGGCTTATATTCTCCGAGCGCTTTATGGACGGATGCTAGGTTGCATAAGATCTCTTCTATAATTAAGTTAGATTCCTCTAGTCTCTCTACCCCCTTAAGCTGGCTTTTGGCGGTATATGAGCTATTGCATCAATTCCTCAGCAACCAAGAAAAGCCTTACGTGAACAACTTTTAAAAAGTATAAAAGGCAGTGGTACGCACCTCCAAATCAGATCAGAGCCTCTCTGTACTTTACTTGCAACACAAGCGCACGAAGTCGACCTCAGAGCCCAAAGCGATCAAGAGACCAAGATTTACGACAGTCGAGGATAATCAATCCTTGCGAAGTAGGCTTGAAGCCATACACGCTCTGAAAATGGCTTTGCCTTCCGAATCCAGCATTATCGAGCAAGAAGAATATTTCTTCGGATTAGCGCAGTCCCCGAGGCTTATCGCCAGAACTGGTACTGACCACTGGTCTCCGCCAGTACTAGAAGGTCCTTTTCAATACACTCGACGCAAAGGGTTCTCCGCGATATTAGACTCGAATTTAATATCGAAATGGACTCGAGAGATTTCAATAGCCTTGATAAAGGCCCTCAATCAGTGCGCTTGGACGTACTTCTATCCTATCCGTATAGGATTGGAAGACGAACCTGAGACAAGGAGCAGACAAGTTGTCGAAAGGCGCGACTTTCCGATTGTGTTGCTAATCGCAGTGGAAAGGAATAGTCTGACCTGCAGAAATGGTATATCCATCGCTATGGATTGCCGCAAGATTCTTCAGCGACACCAAATCCTTGGTGTAGAAGTGGAAATTCGGGAGGGTCGGTATGAACCTTTTTTATTTGTCTTTCTATTTTTTTTTAAAAAAATTTCTTTCTATTTCTTTTTTTCTTTTTTTTTCTCTTAATATTATAATTTACTACAGTTTTCTTATTATAACCACGAAGGGGTGATCGTATAAGGCTAAAATCGGGGGTTTTCAATAGTTCGCCCTCTGGTGCTCCGTACCTAACAAGTACCACGGCATTACATCAAGAAATGAGTAATCATCAAGTGACTGCCTTGTAGATTTGGGAGCCGTTGCAGTGCCGCGTCGCCAATTAACCTTCATAGACCCCATCGTGATACAGAATGAGAAGAGAACACCTTCCTCGCCTTGGCCACTCCCCACTCCTAAACGAGAACGATATCCTGCAGTTGATCTGAGCTTTGGGGCCATGCCTCGCCATACATGACTCCGTGGACGTAAGCGGCTGCAACAAAAGTGTAGCCGCCATTATCATCCCTCCGCAAAATTATAGGCCACGGTGACCCAGCGAGCAGAAAGACAACGTCATCTACTTGAAGACTGAAAAGCGCAGTGCCCATATATCCATTGTCCAAGATGAAAAATGCGTGGTTGGCAATATTCCAAAGGTGCATCGAGAACCGTGTGATCATGCCACTTCTTTCGTCGATTTCCCTGTCACTCCATGAGTGACTTTGCGTATCATCAAAAAGCATGTTGTGGAGAGTTATAAACGACTCTTTCGACAAATCATGGTCGCCTTTGGTTCCTTCTTCCATGCTTTAACCTATGATGCACTCGTAAAAAGCCTCAATGGGGGTTTCGCCATTTGGGTACGAAGTCAACTGAGAAACCATGACGGACCAAATACAAAAGGCCTCCACCCAATCCTTCGAGAGTTCACTGAGGCTTGCCGCATCAAATAGCGCAGGGGACAAATCCCGTGAGAAATTCTTGGTTGTCACCCCTATTGATACCTTGCCCAAGAGCTTGCCCGAGACGGGTAGCTGGCCGGGTATCTCTATCGAGTTGCCTTTTTGAAGGTATGCTCTGCTCTGCTTTGATGCTTGGTAATGACGCTTTGATGCTAGGTTGTCCAGCAGAGGTTTGGTGGCCATGGAATCGAGCCATCGAGCCCTATTCGGTGGTACGTCTTGACCCCAATCAGGAACCCATGAAGGCCCCTCTCCATGGCTCGTCGGTCTCGCTGCAATCAAGAGGATGGCCAAATCTTGTCGACTGCGTATCCAACACCTCGTGGTTTCCTTGTAGGCTTCCAAGGCGGATTTGTTGTAGTCGGGCTCGGGAATTTTGATGTACATGAGCTCTAGTATACGATAGACAGAATATACTTTATCGATTGCTTCTGTTGCCTTGTGTACCATTAGGGACGACAGAACTTTCAATTCAAGACCTTTGTTCAGCTCTCGGCCTATGCGAGAAGGACCGCTTCGATCAAAAACCTTGTGGTACCATTTCATACGGAAAGTGAGCCACCGAGATGGCAGAATGGTGAACATGAGCTGAGTCAATTCGGATCTTTCGAGAACTTCCCAATTTTGCAACCCTATAGATGTCATTATACCGTGTTGCATCATCTGGAAGCTCAGCCACGACCACTCCGAGTCTCCTCGTCTGACTACACGCCTCCGGGCTAGAGCCATTTCTTGGATCGTCCAAACTCTGACGAACCAGGGATTCTGCATCATATCGATGAGCTCGGCATAATACTTGTTGGACAAGGTGCCTGTCTCCACATTGGCCGCTGAAACTGTTAGATTCGTGAATCCTGATCAACATCGGGAAGCTACTTGCCTCGGAAGACCGCTTTCCCTAATCTCTGGTTAGCTCGCTGGAGGGTCTTGATTCCAAACAATCGGCCGGCAACGCTTAAGAATGAAAGAGCCTGAGCTGTGGCCAATGTCGCCCATGTTGCATCGTTTCCCGGGCCAAGCCAAATAATGACCCTCTTGGCCCACTGGTACACTTTACCCATCAGTTTGATCTGTTTACTTCTCTCTTGTATCGCATCCGACGTGTTTCTCTGGTCAATACATATGGCGTCAACCCATAGCATTCGCTTGTAATACTTGTGGCGCAAATGCCGCAATGCCGACCAACAGTTGACGGTGACATGGAGGATGGCATCGTCTAGGACAACGGGCCGAACATCAGTCGGTGGCCCCCATACGTACGAAAGCGCATCGTAGGAGTGTCGGTTTTCTGTGAGAGCAAACTCGCGGATTTTGCAGTGAATAGGGGAGTCTCTGTCGCGTGACGGAAGTAGCTCGAGAATCCTGATGGACGCGGAGAGCAGGAGCGGCTTGTGAATATAAACTTTGGGGCCAGTTGATAAGAGCCCATTATCTGACATTTCCATTTTGTTCGTAGCACGCTCGCAAACGGTTGAGTGAAATTGCGATGGTTCTTGATTAATGGTTTTCATATGACGAGGCAGCTTGGCAATCATTAGTTCTTTGTTGCAATGTAGTACCACGCTAACGATAACTCAGCTATGAAAGTCATTGCGACAATACCAAGGCGACAGGGAGGTGTCATATAAAAGTTGTCGATTCTTCGTACGAGCAAACTTCCGAAGGGTATCGAAGGCTGTGCGTCTAAAATGGGATGGGACATTAGGGGTCTTCCATTAGCGTACAAAAGTTACCCAGTCAGCGCACATGATCAGGGTGTGTGTATCATTGAGGTTCAAACGGACACTCCTCGTTGTATAAGAGGAGCTGATTTGTCATACTCAGTTCCTATTTATTGACCGGCAAGGCTGCTGCGCCGTAAAGGAAGAAGCCTGGTCTGGAGGCATGGCACCCGTTCTCGTGCGTATGAAATCGGAGAAAGTACATAATCCGCAATGATGGCCGATGGAGAAGGGTAATCTGACTGTATTGCTATTCCAGGACAAAGTTGTGGTAGGTAGTGAGGAAGAAGGAGTGTCATGAGAGCTCCGAGCTAGAGCTACGCCCATTTATTTCTGTATATAGGTAGATACCTACATAACGTGTGACAACGTCTAAAGCAAACCTATGGACAGGCGCCATTCTAGTGCTAGAACAGGGGTGCAAACAGAATTACTTTGGCAGCAGGATCTCAGCTGTCCGGGCATCTCGGATATCAATGAAATTCTATGACTATATGCGGAAACTCTTCTAGTCTGTAGTAAAAAAAAAAAAAAAAAAAAAAAAGAAGAGAAAAAGAAATCTGTACAGAACCCTTCGTAAGCTAGTGTCACCATCGGGTCCTCCAAGTCTCTAATATAGTGCTGGCCAGTAAACGCGAGGGAGCACTAGGAAGACTCTCTGCGTCAACCGTCTCCGGGACGCGATTTTCCCCAAGTGCTACTCGATCCAGATGCTTGACCACCCCGTCCAGAATGTCTCCAGTAAGCTGTCTATATGCGTCAGCTTCCGTCTGTTGACCTCTACTCCGGAGCAAGTTCTCCATGTCGTAAAAGGCGTCCAAGGTCAGCTCATTATCAAGGGTGAAGTTGGCCGTACAAAACATGACGGACTGCCGCGTCATTAGCATTTCTTCCTCGGAATGTCCCATCCTGTTCGCGACTAGTGCCAGCAACTTATAACAGAATGCCTTCACCTCCAGGTACTTGTCAATGTCGTCGGATTGTAAGATTTGGGTCAGTAGCTGGTGAACTTCCTCAAACCGCCCTTCGTCAAACCGGATGCCGGCCAAGGCGGATTTCGTAACGACGCTTGCAACATTCTGGCGACCAAAGTTCTCGAAAGTCAAACGGCCCACGCTGATCAGATCATCTGTGGAGACAGCCGCAACTTTGGCATTGCGGAGCCGCGAAAGTATCATCGCTCGGGCCAAGACGATATGTGAATTGAGCGTATTGTCAACACTGACATGCTCGGATAGGACTTCGCAGTAGAGGTTGATGACTTGAATCGAAAAGTGTAACCAGTCTTCGAGGTTAGTCTGTAGCATTGGCTCGATCCAGCCCGTGAGGAACCCCGCATGATCTTGACTATTGTAATATATTCGAGAGAGCTGCTTGGTATGCTTTGACCATTGCAAAGTCAGCTCTGGCCAAATGCTGTGATAAACGAGCGCAGATGAATGGAAGTACACCAGGATGTCTGCAGACCCGTGTTGCATACAGGACTGGAGCTGTTTAAAGGTAAAGTCAATGATCCGAAAGGCTTGATCCGTGTGACCGTGGTCGGCGGCCTTTTTTGCAGTCATTGATAGATCGAATGACTCAAAGTTTTTCCCATACAGACTAGGATTTGACAACCAATGTTTCGACCATGCCTGGGAGCCGAACATTCCTCTAACATATTCATGTACGTTGCTCAGATAGCGCTCGGTGCTTGGGGGCTTGGGCCTTGTCGAATGGAGTGAGCGCGCAGTTTGTGTAGCTGAGAGGCCTTCATGGATAGCTGTGATAATCCGGGTGCGTCTTTCCTCAGGTAGACGGCGAAGATAGCCTTGTACCCTAGATTTGTCGACAAATCCTGTATAAAGATTGGAAAGTTCATCTAGTGTATGGTCGCACGGCTTGCCAAGCGCCTCTGCCACCTGATGAGACCTCAAGTTCTTCTGTACTCCCCAATTCCGAAGATGCTTCTTGTACATCATCGGACTTCACACACACAATATCAGTAAGAAGAAATACACTGTGGGATACTTCACGCGAAATTCGGCTTGGGGTACCTGGCTACAAAGTGGTGCTCCTCGCGCATAATCTGCATCACTTCTGGTAGTGTACGAACTGCATAAAGACTTATGATTTGCTTCTTGTATCGCGCCCAATCTGGGTACGCGGCAGGTTGAAGGTGTCGCTCGATCATATTGATCGCGCAGGAGTGTACGATACTTTGAGGTTTAGAAGCTGTGATGCAAAAACTTGATGGGGTATAAGTCTTGCCAGCTCTAGGACATGGTATAAGTTTGGAGAGCCGCAAGACGCAACCCGGGACCCCCAACTAGCTCCACTCTCGTGCAGCAGGATCATGCAGCGACAAGGGAACTTTTGCGCCCTAGTAGGGGGAGGGAAGTTGAGTCCTACATAGGCCAGCAGCTATCAATGATGTTGAAAGTGTGTGTACAGAGTACAGTGACTTTAGGTGCAGGAGTCCTACCCGAGGCCAGTTGCAGGTGGCATCACGTCAAACGGTGCATTAAGCTACTTGATGCGCAACAAGGTGGCTGCGTGAGTATGGCACATTACGGCTGACAAACCAGGCATCCACACAAAGTATCATAAAGTCAGCTTTTTACCCATTCTCTCATTTCATCAACCGATGAGAGGCATCTTTCATCTAACTCGATGCGCCACAGAGTGGCTGTGCAGTGTGGGACTCGTCGGATGACACCATGGAAAGGGTTATCAGCCTCACAATCCTCAGACAGTCGAGTATATGAGATATACTCGCACTTATGCTCGATGATAAGAAAATTGTTGGCGACGATCACAAATGTCTTATTTTAACTTGGCCGCCATAACATTCTAAGCCTCAACGAATGCCAGTCGACACTTGACTTACTGCGGCCGCTGCGTGAGCAGGAATCAAGAATTTTATAGCAATATAGCTTTTTACTCTTTACCATGTTCGAGGGAGAAGGCTGTGGGTGTGTGGCTATACTCTGACATTCGAGTGGGTCAAGTTGCACCCATGACTGCCAGCACCATTTTTGTGTGCTCCTATTAACGGATCACAATAACGTTGCATTGCATGCTTCAATAGCGTACAAAAGTTACCAGTTCATAATAAGCCTGAGATACCAACACCCGGGAGCCATGAGACAACAGATTTTATGTATACTTATTTTAAGAAAGAGATGGTGGATATTTCAGCTCGACGCACTATTATCCACCTATAAGGCTGTTTAATATTTCGGTGTGTAGCTACAGCATTGCTGTTTAGGCTTATATAGCCTGACGATGCTCCGAAATGCCATGATATTTCATGCTTACGAGCAAATTATTAAGTCCCGCAAATAGCTCCTGATTAAGCCACCAAAGCCTTACACAAGCAATTCAAATTATAATAGGATGGGCCTTTACCTCAATTGAATTTCGATTCGTATTGATACGAAATTCGCTGTTTCAATAAAACCCATTTCTTTACGGGTCGTGTCTCATAAATATGGCTTTTTTACAAGGCGACCAAACGAACCAGGGTGCTTATTCTCGCAAATACAGCATTCGACCATTTGATACTTTGGACACCAATGCTTCAATGTATCTAATGGACGACCGCCAGAGTGCTTTTCGCGTCAATGATACGGCTTCTTTGACTCCTGGATCATCCAGTAACGGACTTTTAAACAACATACCGAGGCTTGGAAAGCCGACAGTCAAGAAGATATTCTACGCTTCGGACATGGTAATCGCCGCTATATCAACAATATGCTGTACTTTTTCAATCATCGTGGTTGCCAACGAATCCATCTCTTGGCGTCTTGGCACGAAGAATAATCAGCTCATCATCGTCGGTTTTCTGATTAGCATTATGAATATGTGTCTCACCAGCGTCGCTCCAATATTGTTTATTTCCCTAGAGAATAGGTTCGGTTCTTCGACCATTCAAAACTACGATGCAATCCTCCGAAATATGCCTCTGGCACCGGGGCTTAGTGTTCCTTGGCGGGCCGCTCTTAGTCTCATGATAGCACTACCTATTGGCCTCAGTGTCTTATACAAGACTTTTATCGGCGGATATAGTGTCATCGAGATCAAGGGATTGGATTACATATCAAACGCAACATTCTACGGCATGTTTTTGCTCCCAGGCCAAGCTGGTGTTGCTTCGGGCAATTCATTGTTTTTCAATGCAACCCAAGAGTTCCTGGTGGCATCAAACGGAGGATCAGACAACTATGAGCCGCCTTTGCCAGCGTTTCCCGACACATATGGCCACAATGTTCTCTTGCTGAACGACACAAGTACAGCCATGCTTGATACCCTTAATCCCGAGTATCTTTCCAAGGTGCAAGAGCTTCTCGCTATCGGAGAGTCGTGGGCCGTGACCGCGCCTGTTATTGGGACCGTCGCCACCCGTAATGAGTCGAAAACACGCGACCCGACCGGATTTAGCTCTGATTTTATAACGGCGTGTGAGCTCGCGCGAGACAAGGACGACTATTGGACCTTCGACTCATCGGATTTATACAATCACTGGAGTTTCTTCATGATGGACAGGAAGTTGCTCTCGGATCAATCTACGCAGTACATCGGCTTATCCCCTAATAGCATCGACTTATCATCAGGTTCTATAGATTGCGAAGCTTTGCCAGACTATGTCTATCTCTTCAACATCTACCGACAACCTTGCAAGGGTACATGGTCAATCACTCGAGGGGGCTATCGACTGGTGAATGCCTCATGCGACGAGGACATGCTGCCATGGTCCAAACAACAGGTGATTGCCAATAGTATCCTTGTACTTCCGATACAATACATCTCTTCGTTTATTGGAATCTTAAAGACCTATAGTGGCAGTGGTGCGAGAGGGAATCAGTCCGTCTGGATGAATCCTTCAATGTCAACCGCTGTAGCGGCAATGATGTGGTCGCAGATAACAGCCATGAAATCTGAGGACAACCCGTTACCTTTTGATTCTACGGCTTTCAACATGAGTGCATACGCCATGACAGCAGCGAATCGCACCCGGCTCACGCAGGAAGAAAGTGGCACGACGTACCCCGTGAGTCAAGACGACCAGTCCTTCCTCTATACCCGACCGACATTGCAAAAGTCGTACTGGCTTTATCTTGTCTTTGCATTCCAGCCTGTATTGATATTTATCATCCTTGGAACGACGGCTACGCTGTATTCCACACCACTGGGCAGGGGTTTCGGTCTGGTCTCGATTTTATCAGGTATTGACCCTCAAAATCTGGACAGCTTGATCGGCGCCTCCTTCTCTGGGGTTCTGGAGAAACCAGTCAAGCTGGACATAACTCCTATTAATAATGGGCCCACCGGTTCGATTCTGTATCGAATGAACCCGTCCTCTGAGCAACCGCGTCGTAATGGAAAATTGATCAAGAATCTTGTTTACCATTGACATGTTATCCTAGATGCGTTCAAAACCCGCATGAAACCTAAGGACACTCCTAGATGTGGGCCAATCTCTTCTTTAATGTTCACATGGACCAAAAATTTCTATACGCCATTCTAATCAATTTCAGGCGCGCAAGGTCCAATTGAAATTTGTCTCATGTGTGAACCTGGAGCCAAACTGCCAAATCCCTCGAATTTGACGGTGATGGAGGAGCGACGTGCCAAGTCGCTGCCGAGACCATACCTCGTCCCTTGAAAATTGTTGATTGGCCCTCCTAGAATTGACTCTATCACACTTTGGAATGTCCATAGGCTTACGCACTGCATGATACTAATTAATGGCGTCACCCACACGTCATTGCAACCCCGCGATGCACCTCTATGCTCCAAAGAACTCTAAACGGCCATGTACGCTCGTCGAGTACATGCTTACTCTATTGTAGAATGTGGGAGCAGGAAGTACCTCCACAAAAAGCGGAATTGGGGACTGCGCAGCAATAATTGTATAAATAGGATGACCACGGTTTTGGGACTCAGATTTACCCCGCTCGATATTGTTGACATATAACACTTGGAAACAATTCTCCAGATACATCAAACTCGTATTTCAAACCTTTCCAAGTTCTCTGAATCATCATGTCGGACCGTATTGTACACCAGGACGCCGGACACAAGCTGGCAGAGGACTGTATGCCCTACCACCACAAATCCAAATTTCCTGATCCCAACTGTGAGATGGTGCTGACACGAACATGATTCCAGCAAAGCGTAATCTTGGAGGACCTGGTCCGGACCAGGGAGTGACAAAGCAGTCGGGTCACTCACACATAAGCCAGCCAGAAGCCGACCATGGCAAGGACCAGCAGAAGAAGGTTGGAAGGGAACAGTACCAGGACCTAAAGGACAATAACGAGCGCAAGTGAGCTGAATTGGGTCCTTGATCATGCCATGGTGCTGTAGATCAGTTGAATACAAACCTGTCCCTATATGCGATTCCCAGCATTTCGGAGTTGACGTTTTGGGGAGTTGGTCAAGCGTTGGTGCCGTTCAGATAACCCATCGTAGCATCAGACCCCCTCCCGAAGCTTGAAGTGAATGTGCGAAGATTACTTAGAAAAGAATAAGTGCTCTTGTGCGTGCATATCGTTGGATCCATCACATACATAGTAAAGCGTGCGGATCTCGAGGTTACAAGCAGGCGCGCAGATGAGCATGATCGTGCAAGCAATAGGAGCAATCACGGGGTCATAAGAATAGGGAGCCAATCGGCGATTATCACGTTGATCATATAATCCGAATATGTACTAGGATAGCGCGGACAAGATTGATTGAATAGATTGGGAAGTGCAGTCGGCCTTTTCATCGTGCTAGAAGATTAAGTAAACGCAGTTCGTCAATATCTCGGTTATGTCTGATACTTCTTGTTGTGCGACTCCATGATTCCAATTATTGAAATTGTCAATGTTGTCTTTGTGGCTTCCTGATCGACACGTGTGAACGATAGATGCCTTTGAATGAGCTTGGATTCTTGTAATAGTCAGAAGCTCTGCTGAAGCTACACGAGAAGAATTGTTCATTTGCTACGAATTGAGCTATTACTGCGATCAGTCCTACGAAGGCAACTTCCTTGTTCTATCAAAACTAAATGATTCCAAACTGTTTGCTGAAATGGTACATTATTGATTTGTTTGGATTGAGCCATTGTAGATGTGTCTTGTGTGTCGGCGCCAACGTTGCTTCGTTTTCAGCGCTTCATGGTTGGAGAGAGGCTTTGGAATCATCTAGTCAACAAGGGGCATTTCAACGATCTCAAAAAGACTAATGACCATTAAGATCGCAGGAATGCTTTCGGGAGAAATACATTATTGGGTGGGGGATTGTTTGCCCTGGATTAGGTGATCTATGTTTAGGCAGTCTAATGCAACATTTGCATTCTGTTGTTCAACACAGGTAAGATCGTGCTAGTGCTGACCATGCCCACGACTGAGATACCTCGTAGAACGGCATTGTTCAAGGTCCTACGTGCGACAAATCCAACGGAAGCCCAAGATTTGTGATTGGCCGTTGTTGTACGGAAGGGCGCACGCGCGTCATATTCGTCATCGGGGTCGGTTCGGTGACTATTCCTCAGGCAGCCTCCGTGTCGCATTTATGTAAGCAGACACCTGCTATACCTAGTATATCAATTCGTGCCTGCTGCTCACCGACTTTGTATTTTGCCTCACAACTTCAGTCAAGATAGATCCTTAATCTCAATCGTTCTCTTCGCGCCGCTGCCCATCATGACTTCTGAGCCAGAGATTATTCTATACGACTTGGCGTGTATCAAGAATGTTTGCTTCTCACCCGTTGTTTGGCGTATCCGTCTGCTGCTCAATTACAAGAACGTCTCTTACAAGACTGTCTTCCTCGAATTCCAAGATATTGAACCCACTCTCAAAGATTTGTAAGTTGCTGAAATGTTCCAATCACTACCCCAGGTCAGGCACGCATGAGAGCTTGACTAATATAAATCATCACAGCGGTTTGGCACCTAATGAAACAGGAACCAAATACACCGTCCCTGTCATCCAGTATGTGCCGACTGGAGCTTACATGATGGACTCAAAGCCCATCTCCGAATTCATTGAGAAAACGTACCCGAGCCCAGCAGTACCGCTGACTTCGGATCTGGGCCGCGAGATTGAGGCAAAGACACGCCAGGGACTGGCATTGACGTTTCGCCGGTCGCTGATGCCTCGCGAAATCAATATCCTGTCGCCGGGCGCGCAACAGTTCTTCCGGCGCACGCGCGAGGCAGCCATAGGTCATCGCCTCGAGGATCTGCTCGAGGGAGACAAGGAGGAGCAGGCTTGGGCAGAGGTGGCAGAGACCATGCGCTCGGCTGGAGAGCTGATTCGCACAAATAGCGCCGAGGGCCCGTTTGTGCTCGGTGCTCATCCAAGCTACACGGACTTTTTCATCGCGGGGTCATTGCAGTGTGCGCGGGTGATTGACGAAGAGGTGTTCCAAAAGTATTTACGAGGTCCTGGCTTCAAGGAAGCCTACGATGCCTGCCTGCCTTACATGGAAAAAAGGACCTAATTGTAATGGCGGTAGGATCCGCGGGCTGCAAGACATGGCTGCTAGAACAGAAGAATTCGTTCGACTTTCGTCTTCCGAAACTGCACTGCTGCGTAATCTGCGAGCTGAGTTGTGTTAATTCGTCTGCAAGTCGACGATTTCCAATGCGTGGCACCACTTGATGTGCGCATATCTAGTGTGGGCAAAGACTCCTACGCATGATCTTTTGGCTGAGGTAAATGACCATACTAACTCGTTCGCTGTCAACCGTTTTCAATGCGATGAGTACAGTGAACATTGCAGACTGCTTACTCTCAATCAGGACTACACTATCATGTTCGCAGCTAATACGACTTCTGACAAGCCAAAGCTGTGATTCACAGAATTGGTATAAGTTTTGTGAGCAGGGAATTCAGAGTTTCCCCAAAATCCCGAAGGTTATCAAGAAATAGATGAGACATGATAGAATGGATTTAGCTCAAATATTTCCCTAAATTGATGTTCCAGGGCTGAAGGCCGCTGACTTCTAGGACTCTCTTTTCGTGGCTCGATGTTTTTGCTTGTGGTCTAACCTAGGCAGGTGGGGCTGGCAACCGGCAATGTGGATCTAGCGGGTTTGTGGCTTCCAAAGTAAACAAACGCGGTCCGGGGACCAATGAGGGCCGCGCTTAACCCAAACTCAAGTGTCGCAGCAGCGTTAATTGGCATCGACCCTCACATCAATCTCATCCCGCTTTCCCAGCTCCAGGATTCCATAACTTGCGCGCCACGATCCACACCCCGTGCGAAAAGCTAGAAAAGTGTCGCCTTCACTTTGCTCAGAACTAGCTCCTCGAAACACAGCAGCAGCAGCAGCAGCGCACGGGGCTTGACGACCTATTGTTACTTTTGGCGCCGCGCATCGCCGTGCCCATGTCATTTTCTCCTTGAAAACGGCTCTTTTGCGACACTTCACGAGCGGCGACGCGCTGCCAACAAAGCAAAGATGGAGGACTACGAGGTCTTTGAACAGTTCTTCACTCAGGAGGGCCGTCTGGCCTCCTTTCAGTCGGCGCAACCCACAACAGGCCGCAAGACAACGGGGAAAGGCAAAGCCTCCAAGGCCTTGACCTGGCCGCACAAGGGAATCGATGCAGATTCTGTATGTCTAGACGCGACCCATTGGCGACAGGCGCATGCGGCAATGTACTGACCATATCATTTCACAGCTCGCCCGCGCTGGGTTTTACTTCAATCCTGCCCCCGACTACCCTGACAACACCGTATGCTTTTTATGCCATAAGATGGTAGGAGGCTGGGAAGATGGCGATGATCCAATCGTAGAACACCTGCGCTTGTCACCCAACTGTGGCTGGGCAATCGTCGCAGCAATTGAGGCACGTACAGGAGACTACAACACTGAAGACCCGAGTCTTCCGCACATGATAGACGCAAGAAAAGCCACATTCGGTGATCGGTGGCCGCATGAGGGAAAGAGGGGATGGAAGTGCAAGACCAAGCAGGTACGTTTGGCCACCGTCCAATGACGCGACTCCTGACCTCTAATGTACTTGCCAGATGGTCGACGCCGGCTGGAAATACACCCCGACTCTCGAATCGGACGACATGGCAACCTGTACCTACTGCCAATTGGCATTGGATGGATGGGAACCCAGCGACAAGCCCATGTGAGTACCCCTCAACATCCTGCCGCTGATCACCTTTTTCTGGTCTCTTACACGAACACTTTTTCGTAGGCACGAACATTACAAGCGATCACCCGAATGTCCATTCTTCCTTTTGATCAATCAATACCAGCAGGCTCCCAAGAAGACTGGCAGGGGTAAAGGAGCTAGAGCCTCCAAAGCATCACGACTGTCGTCCCAATCTGTAGCAACTGTTGCATCCGAGGCACCATCAACATTAGACCAGCCTGCCGACTACGAGGATAGTGTCATGACAACTGCATCAGTTGCAACAACTGGGGGCACAAAGAAAGGACGCGCAAAGAAGGCCACAACCACCGCCAAGGGTAGAAAAACCAAAGCCAAAAAGGAAGAGCCAGCTGAGGTGTTGGAAGAACCTCTCGAGGACGATCTACCTCCGCCACCGAAACCCGCGCGAGGACGCAAGAGAGCTAGCGACGCAATGGACGATTCCGTCCTGACCAATGCGGAAGCACCCGCACCCAAGAAGCGCGCAACTCGCGGCCGCCCCAGCAACACAGCAAATGAGCCATCTGTGATCGAACCTCAGCCAGTAGAAGATATGACGGACGCGTCTCCCGCCCCACCTGCAAAGACCACGAAAAAGAAGGGCACCAGGACATCAAAGAGCACTAGAAAGGTATCGACAGCATCCACCATGTCAAACAATTCTTTCCACAATGCCGCAGAGGAGTTTCCGGACGACGAGGAACTGGATCGACAACTGCAGGCGGATATGGAGAGACCGCTCTCCGACGATGAGATGATCACGGCCGATTCTGACTCGGAACGTAAGAAGGCCCCTGCGAAAGCCAAGGGGAAGAAGACGACAGCCAAGAAAGCAGCTCCGGTTGTCGAAGAGTATACATCGGATGATCATGCCATGTTTGAGCCGGCGCCCGCTGAGATGAACGATGCCGATGCATCTGCCGAGCTGAGACAACTTCAAGAGCAGATGGCTGCTGAAGAGCAGGAGCCATTACAAGTTCCCAAGAAGGGGCGCAAGGCGGGCACTAGAAAGGCATCAAAGCAGACCAAGGCGCAAAAGGCACAGAAGGCAGCTCCCGAGCCCGAGACACAACCAGATGCAGAGCCTTCCACCGTCCTCGAGGATACCACAATGGATCAAAACGATATCAGTGCTATTAGCAGTGGCACTGTTGTCAAGCAGTCTATGGTAGCAGCTCCAGCACCGAAAAAGCGTGGCCGTCCAAAGAAAAACAGCACACAAGCTGCTCCACCCCCACCTATCCCCCAACCAGAGCCTGAACTAGCCACCGAGGATACACAGATCAAGCTGCCCGCCGAGGTCGATCAAGTCGATTTTGCCGATCCCTTGGAGAAGGCTGCGACACCCAGGGTCAGCTTAGGGCCTAGCAAGCCGAGAAAGAAGTCACTGCCACCCCCACCGGTACCCGAGGACGAACTTCAAGCACCCACTACACCTGGGCCTGCTGTTTCTGCTACGCCAGCCGCCAGGCAGGCTACCATCTCGCCGTCACAGTCGCCACAGTCTTCGGACGCAGAAAACCAGCCACCTTCGTCTAGGCCATCCAATACATCTGCATCGAGCCGTGTTGGCCTGGTTCCCGAAGCCACTACCCCTGTCCAATCGTCGCCCACCAAGCGCAATGACAATTTCCTTGTCGCTCTTCAAAGCAACAAGCCATGGTCGCCTATTGACATTGACCTCATCTTTGAGGAGCTTGGAAAGGAGAATGCCGTTCCGGGATCAAACCTGCTTAAGGGGTTGCAGCTTACTAGCCCTGAACAGAAGATGACTGTCGAGGAATGGATCCATCACAATGCGAACCTGGCGGAACAACGGCTCAAGGTGGAATGTGAAATGATGGTGTCCAAATTTGAGAATGCGGGTGGACAGGCCATGAGATCATTAGAAGAGCTGATCGTGGAGCAATAAGAAGCAAGGCGCGGGATGCGATTGGCCTAGGGAGTATATATGTCAGAGTCATTAAAGGCGTTCTAAGGAGTATGCATCACTGGGGCATGCTATGATTCTTTTGCATACGGTACATGCATGGATAGCCATTTCCTGTTTGATAGCAATGGCATCATTTTCGCCTGTTCGAAGTGATTGGCTTTTAGAGGGATGTCTCTGTGCCATATTTTGACCTGGAGTCACTGTTTGTGATATGGCAGACGCAATACAATAAGACCCAGTACTCCCCTTGTGGAGCAATTCGATAGACCGTCATCACCATTTGGCGTTGGCTCATCGCAGTAATGGCCTGACCTTGGAATTTATCCGGCGCCAGCGATGGCCATGGAGACATTCATCCCTCACCATGTGTGGCTCAGTGGCTCGTTGCGGGTGATGAAACAGTCAGTGCATTTCGTTTTTCACAGGAACAAGATCAGTGAATAATACTGAACAATGGATTTGGTAGCATCTATGATGATGGGCGAGATCTTATCTATTGTGTCGGCGCATGTCGTAGCTTCGTGTACTGCACGTGTTTGTATAAATATTGTACCCACTGATTCCTTGCTCCCCGAGATGAAAGCTTTTTCATTCAGCCCTCCAGTTTGGAGATTGTCGATGGATTTAGAAGTCAGAGCTGCCAGCGGTGGTGATTAATGCTTTCGTTCCCGCAGAGACATTCGGCGCGGCCATTGAAAGCCCTTGATGAGACCGTGCGTATGGCGGTTCTTGCTTTATTGCGTATTGGGAAGCCTGCGATGGCTCAGTTGCTGAGAAGTGAATCCTGGGACTCGTTGATGTGCCTGGTGGAGTCGTGACTTTGGTGGTGGTGGTGATACTCGGTGTGGTCGGCTTGCGAGTCCGGGTAGTCTTGCAACGAGTCTATCGAGAGCGCGTCCATCTCCACAGAGCTGAATATGTCCTGCGGGGGATAGACGGCTACTGGAATTCCTGACTTAGTAAAGGCCAGTCGCGGTTTGATTGTGGCGTAGCGGATACGCTCCCGGCGCCGTGATGGGTACTGCCAAAGATGATGCCCAATAATGAATATGCTGAACAAACTTTAGTTGTTAGCATGGAGCCATTAACTCAATGCTTTGTGCTTACACTAGTGGAAGTTTCCATAGAACTTGGTATCCTGGCAAGAGGAGGGTAGGATAATAAGATATATCTTTAGCCATATCGACCAGACACATTTGCATGATGTATATTTCGAGCAGTAACGTAATCTCGAAATGGAATCCTGGAGGACGTAGATAAAACGAGTGAAGGATCCGGAAGATATCCCACGAAACAAAGAACGAAGCGAAAAGTATCTACAGTTCAAGATTAATGGATTACATTGAATTCAAAGGGAACACTCACCTGTCTTGGAGCGAAACTCTCGTAGAGTAAGATATTATTTTTCAGTTCCTCGTATTGTGTATTTAGACGCGAATTTATTGCACTAAGGACAGCATCACCATTCCTTGGTATATAATATAATGTCCAGAGTAAAGCGGGTATCGTTGCCACAATACGTAAAAATCGCGGGGACTTTCTCCAATTTCGTGTATCAAACAACGCCTTTCTTACGTCTTGCATTGGGTCATAATACATCAAATTCGTCTCAGAATCTTGAAGTATTGCGTTGAGACCTCTAGTGGTCGTTTCATCCGCACACACATGAATATTACGAGTCTGGGGAGTACGTCTTGTGGAAAGCCCCAATACTAAGGTTCTCTCAGGTCGTGTAATTTTTGCTTTCAGCCCGTTTCGAAATTCTTCCAAGATAGGAAGAGACATTCTCGGTGTCAGGGTAATCCTTATGAAGAAATATTGAATAAGTGAATGAATGAATGAATTGGAAATCAAATTGGGAATTTGTGGGTAAAGAGCTGGATGGGCCTGAAATCTTTCTTATGTATTGTTTCCCCACCAAGAATCTTCGAATATGCAATGCTACAGTAAGATTGAAGAACCAATACAGCCCCATTTCCTCATCCGACAAGCTGCATCGTTGTGGCCCCTACCTTGGCTGCGGTGCTGACGCAGTGGAGGACTGCAGGGCGAGTTCGTATCTGAACAGTACTCTACATAGGTAGTCAATACTAGAAGTAGTGTAACACTCCTTCACAATTAGCACAAATAGGTCAAATGCCGAAACCCACCTAGGATATCCATATGCCTTACAGCCCCTCTTCGAGGGACTTAATTTCGGTAAACATGAGTATCCCCCATAAGGCTGAGATTCATATTTGGATCAACTCCTGTCCTTCCCCACCCGCCAGAGGAATGCTTTCAACCGCCTTCCCACCAGATACACTTCCATTCATTCATTGCATCTATAACTGTATTATTGACATTGCTCAACCATTTCTATGTGGACCTTCAGGCTTCTTTCGCAGCGAGGATGGCGCCAGGCAGGTGGCATCAATGTTCTTCTTGCCGTCATCTGTGAAATAACTCTGCTTGTGTGTCTCGCAATATCTGTACCAAAGCGCGAGGCTTCAGATATAAGCTTAACCGGGCTTTTTAAAGGAAGCTGCGAGCACGCCTTTAGGCTTAATACCATCCTTTATTTAATTTTGAATATTATATCCACCGGAATACTGGCCTCGTCCAACTTTTTTATGCAGATCGTCACTTCTCTATCCAGAAAAGAGATCGATAAGGCTTACGTATTTTTCCGATTTCTGAAGATCGGTCTGCAGTCGCCGACTAATATACCCGCTTTGTCACGGATAAAGCAAATTTGTTGGGTGGTTTTATTTCTGAGCAGTATTCCTATACACCTTTTCTTTAATAGCTCTATTTACAGCATAATATACCAGAGTTTTTATTGGAATGTTACCATAGCGATAGATTATTTTGCTTAAAATGGGGTCGAAAATCAAACCTATTGGCTCCCCGGGGCTAGCCTGGCCGTCAGCGGTAGCTCTTCTCCCGTGCAGCAGTTTGGATCATTAGTTGCTTATTCCGGCAGCGCTTCTCCCGTGCAGTTTGGATCATTAGTTAATGATTCCGGCAGTTCCCCAGAATATATTCTTGGTTTTGGAGATACTGTTAATTGGAGTCAGTCTGGCACCGATCACGTGCGACGTGAAATTGCAGCAACAGCGCAGAACTGCACCAACTGGGTCAAGCTGAGTCCAGAATCATGCATGGACGAATACAGACCTTATAAAATTCACACCATGTACAAAAACGTTGTCATGATTGTCCTTCCGCCTGAATCTGAGGTACGAGGTTGGAAGCGAGAACAAATTTTTAATCTTACCCTTGGGAGTTTGAGAGATTATTGGGACTCCAAAGTCCCACCCGGCGAGGTAAACTCTCTCTGGTTTTGGGCGCCTTGTACCCTTTCGAAGTCACCAAGATGGCCCGGTGCTGCTGATTACGTTGATGGAAGCGAAGAGTCCGACAAACTATTCAAGAAAGAGCTCAAGGCATTCGACCATTCGTGCGGGCGACTCTTCGGTCTGAACACGTCTCAGCCACCTTATATATTGAAAGTGGATGGCGTCGCACCATTGTCATTTACAGATATTGGAATAAAAAGGGACATCATAGCAGAAGAGGCATTAAACGGCTATAATTCTCAACCGGGGGTAAGGAATCTGCAAGTCGACCATTGCCTTGCGGAGCCGGCACCGTGTCAGGTCAGGTTATCTAATGCCCTGATCTTGGTTGTCATGGTTTGCGTCCTGGTAAAGATCATGGCCTGTGTCTTTCTGCTTTTCGTTCTGACAGACATTTCACTCGTTACTCCCGGAGACGCCATCGAGTCTTTCATCTCGAACCCCGATCCTGTCACAAAAGGCCTCAGTACTCTCACTTTCTCCGCGGCGCAGAACCTCGAGTGTCAACCACGGGAAACATCTACCACTGCAGGAAGTCTAGATCTTACGTTTGCCGTAAGGCCACGCCGGTGGAAATCTAAAGCTCACCGTTTATATTCTGCCGTATCCCGTGGCATTTGGATTCAAGTATACTATCCTATTTTCATTGGAATGGTTGCTGTTCTTGTAGCACTAATTACTTCTAGTAGTAGTACTGGGTGAGTAATCTTCCATTAGAGCTTGAGATTAGTGAGAAGAAGAAAACATCGAGTGGCTTTACAGCGAGCCAAACCCGTGACTAACTCCATGTAGATTGAATACATTCGGCCCCTCCCAAGATTACAGTCTCTGGGATTTGGGTGAAAGCATGGGCTACGTTGCTTCACTCCTGGTCGTTAACATACCTCAGCTCATTCTATCTTTTATGTACCTGGCGGTCAACATGCTTTATACACAATTACAAGTTGAGCTAGAGCTGAACTCTTACGGTCGTAAGTACACGCCTCTGCGGGTGTCTTATCCAGTGGGTCAACAAGTGTCGACCTATAGACTTCAACTGCCTTTCAGATACAGTGTCCCATTGATCGCAGTGAGTATTCTACTTCACTGGCTTGTCTCAAACGCACTTTTTTTCATCGTGGTCGAAGGGGGTAAGTATACATTCCTATGCTATATTTTGTTGATAGGGTTCGCTGACCATTGATAGGTGCTGGCTCCGAAGGCAAAACTGTGCAAGCCAGACCAGACTTGGCCGAAAGTATGGGCGTTCCTTCTGATGCCGTGATAGCAATCAGTTACTCAGGACTGAGCATTCTCATCTTCTTCTGCGTTGGCCTTGTCGTTGCTTTATCTCCACTTTTCTTCAAATACCGCAAGTTACAGAATGACATGGTCGTGGGAGGTACCAATAGTCTCGTCCTGTCAGCTGCTTGTCATGTTCCTCGGGTCCCAAGGGTCTCAGGTGAGCCGATCACAACCTATTGCATTGAGTATGATGTCTCAACTAACGCCAAGTCAAATACAAAGTGAACGACTCTGAGTCCCATTTAACAACAATGCAAGATCTTGACGAGGAGAAGGAATACCTTCGAGAAGTTGCGAGAGGTAAAGTGCGTTGGGGGGCCATGCCATTACCTCTCGATATCGCTGCCAAGATCGTCGTCGAGGACGACGAGCCTGTCATGCACTTGGGTTTTGGCACAGAGGATCACGATGTTCAAGCTCCTCAAACGGGTATGCTTTACGCATGAGTTTGGTGCTGAGCTTGGTAATTATAGTTGTGCAGCCAAGTATGTATTCTATGAATTGCGGCACTATGCTTCTCTAACTGACGCTCAGTGTAGTGCACCGTGCCTATAATGAGTGGAGCAAGGTCTCGGGGCGCCGATTCTCTCGAATTGCTATTGCAAAGACAAATTGAATGATGGGCGTCGCTGAGTCATGATTTATGCTCAAATACCCAAATTGCAGTATTCTCAACGCTGCAATTTACTACGATTTCATCTTCCGACTTCATCCTCCGACAGCTTCCTTTTGACTGTTTTGCTAAGCGCCGAACTGTGGTATAAAATAAGATGAAATAAGCGCCGCAGCTATTGGAGTGATGCACTTGAGGCACAGCTCGCTTCAGTTTAGAAACAGGGGCCCTTGGCTGCTGAGGAAAAGCAAAGCGTAGAGAGGCACGAGATTTGAAGAAAATATAAAAGGTGACATGATCTATTGCTTTGGTGAATCGATAATCTTACAACTATCAATCCATCTTTTACAGGTTTGAATGATATGCGATGCATCATTCCGAGAACAAGTCAAAAAAAAGAATTGACCGAGTCAGTGGGTGCAGACGCAAATGGCAAAGAGTCAAGACGCCAGCGGCAGCCGCTAAAATTTGATTGGCTCAGAGGATGCAGCGCTGAAACCATCCACTGATCTTCCAAAGGCCCCCACTGACCATCTGGGGTTTGGTAGGGGTCCCAAAGCCTATCAACTTTATTGTCGACAGCGGTACCGTTGTGAAAGTGGGTTTTCGCTTGGCTGGGAGAAAAGCTTGAGAAGTTCACGCCACTGAATAGAGAAAAACACTCGACGTATCATTTGGAAAAAAGATGCTGCAGATCCATCTCTGGCTTCTGGGGGCAGATTCCAGACCTGGTCCAGGTCCGGCTACTTCGGATTCTGCTGGGATCAGATTTTGGGGTCTCCATGAATGGCCACTTCAATAGGTGTGGTGCCTGCTGCTGAACAATTCTTCACAGGCAACTCACAAAATCTGTAACATTCCTTTCTTTGCATCTGATGATTGTCTTTGACTTCTTTTCCTGACAACAAGTGTGAGGGATCGATCGCCTTGGGTTTTGCCGCCTGCTTTGACTATTGCGGCGTTTGCTTCGTCACCCATCCGACTCCATCACCTTGAATCTCTCGACGGCTGGACCTCACCTACACGCATTGTGAATAGAGAGTTGTTGCTCCCCAGTCAACGCGCTTGACTCTACAGACGACCCAGCAACCAGCTCGACATTGCATCTTTGTTGGCTCTGTGCATTGCGCGTTACTGTTTTTCTCTCTTCTTTTGTACATCATTTCGGAGAAAAGAACGCCGATCTTGGGCAGTTCTCACAACCGGCCTTTTTCGACCTTTCACCAACTCTCTGTCAACTGCATCACTTCCATCACACACCACGGTGATGACCATCATCGGCGACACCAATCTATAAATATTGGCATTTCGGCATTTTCGTCTCAATTTTGCTAGTTTCGTCTTTTCTCACATCTACCAAATCACCTAGAGAGTTTGGAATAACGTCGCGACACCATGAGATCGCTACTATTGATTGCTTGCGCTGCTGGCAGCACAAGCGCTGCCTGGCTGAAGTGGACCGACCACTCGACCCCGACTTGGAAGCCGCCCCAGGAGACGGGCGTCGCAGATATTGCTGGCTCGACTACCGGCTGGACTCCAAAGCCGACGCAGGGACCTGGCCACAGGTCCAAGAGTGAGGTTGTCCTAGAGCTGCTTCGCCGAGATGCCACGACCGACTGGACCAACTCGAAAACCTGCGGCTGGTTTTCTGGAATTTCATGTGAGTCCAAATTGCTTGATTCCAGCCTTTCAGAGCAGCTTTTCTGACCAGTTGACAGCACAACCATGGACTTGTGACGGCAATCAAGTCTGCGCGACCAACAGTGAGCATGCAGTCGCTTGCGTCTCTGGTGACTACAACCCTTTCTACGTCACCTGCCTCAACCGTGAGGCCTATGAACAGGGATCGTGTGCCGATGCGGGTCCAAAAACAGGATGCTGGTGAGTTTGACGATATCCATTCTCTCACCATTGAACGGGCACGACTAACATTGAACAGCTCGGAAGCCACAGCGTCCGAGTGTGTCACTTACATGTGGACCGGATCGCCAGTCCGCTCGCAGTTCAAGTGTGGAACTGCTACGGCCATCACCACATTGTTGGATGAGCCCCAGTTTGTCATTGACGCCTCCATCTCGGCATCAAAGGCGTCAGAGTCGGCTTCCAAGGCGTCGGCATCAGCAGCGTCAGAGTCGGCATCTCGAGCCACCCTGTCCACGTCGACGCTCAGCGACGGCACTGTAGTGGTTACTACGGCCAATCCACTCACCTCGGCACCCGTCGTCAGCACCACCAGCAACAACACTACTAATGTTGGTGCCATTGTTGGTGGCGCCGTCGGTGGTCTGGTCTTTTTGATTCTTCTCTTGCTGTTGTGCTGCTGCCGCCGCCGCAGAAAGTCCAAGAAGAACAACTACAACGTTTCCTACAAGCGCAGCAACAACGAGAAGACCACTGTGTACAACAATCAACGCCGCGACAAGAGACGTGGAGAGCGCAGCCGCAGTGAGCGCAGCCGACAGCACGATCGCAAGGCCAGCCGCGGCCGCAGCCACAAGTCCCGGCCCAAGGAAGTCGTTAGCGACGACGAATCCTATAAGCTAGGATTCGTCGACGGCTTCAGTGGCCAGAACCCGGCTGCACCCCGCCAGGCTCACGTTGTCGATGACGATAGAACGGTCTATGCTCCCCAATACCACTTCCACGTTGCAGGTGGTGCTAGACCTGGCCGAGAGAGCAGTATTGTCGAGACCACCGAGCAGTATCACGCCATGTAAGCCGGCGGTGTCTTTGGTCATCCAGTATATACCAGCATACAGCACTAGGTCCCCATTCTGAAGTCCCGAAAATGCCGTGGCTCTTCTGATCTAAAGACTTTTTGTCTTTCACATGTTGGACTATAATTCACACCCAAGAAATGGATCATTGTGTAGCATTGTTTTTTTCAGTATACCCATCTCCACCAATAGGTGGATCACTCGTACAAAAAGTATAGAGACCCCAAGTCGCGCTTGTAATTCAAACAGCAGACGTCATAATGAAGATATGATTCATGATTTTTCGGCTTCTGGCAACATGATTGTACTGGTCGATGTCTTTTGTTTCATTTCCTGATTCTGATTTCCCTGCAATTGATCACTCAGCCATCCAAAGGCTTCCAGCAATCCATCTCCCGTGGGAATTGCTGTTTCTGCCACATGCTAGAGGAATTCATCAGTCACCTTCATGGCAGCTTTCCTTATTGACTATTCTTACCGAGTTCATTCTTTCAAGTACATCTCCAAAGTGTCGTTGGACTTGTTCAAGTCCTTTTGATTGCTGGGTCGAGCAAGTCAGCCAAAGGTTTTATAGGAAAACCAAAAATAGAACATCTTTTCCCTCTTTCTGTGTTCTCGGTTTCAGACTTACAGGCGAATCAGACTTGTTAGACAAGAAAAGCAGCGGCTTGTCAGGCCCAAACTCTTCGCCCTCGTGGCACAAGAAGCGGTCAAACTCTTCACGGCTCTCAACCATGCGCTCCCAATCGATCGAGTCGACAACCCAGACCACGGCGTCGGCCTCGGCGACCATTTTGCGCGCCAACCGGCGGAGGCCACCCGGCGAACAACCGCCCACGTCGTAGGCGTACACGGTCACGCTGCCGTAGCTGACTTGTTCAACACACATTCCAATGGTGAGGATGTACGTGACTACATCGCCGCCGCCTGGCTGGGTCACGTCTTGGGAGAAGCATTTCCGCAGCAGCTCCGTCTTGCCGGCGCAGTCGAGTCCGGTCACGAGTATGCGCCGCGGGGTGCCGGGGTCGGGGAGGCCGTCAAAGAGCCGCGATATGGGGGTGGCCGAGGACCGGAGGCGGCGCCGGATCAGCTGGTCGCGCAGCCAAAAGGAGACCGTCTGTCGCCAGGTCAGTTTGGCGGGAAAAGGAAACATTTTCCAGTCTTTTGCGCCCGACATTGTTATTGCTTGTTTAATGTTTTCTTTTCCTACGCTCTGCGTCTTTCTGATTTATTGACATTTTTGGGGATCTGGAACTTTATTATAATAGACGGTGCCAAAATGGCTGCCTGCGCCATGATGAAAAGTGTCATTTCGATGGTAGGAATGGATCTAAAATCAAGAACGCTAATAACATGGCCGAGTTGCTGACAAGGATCCACCCTCAGAAAACATCAAGACATTAACAATAGTCAGATCACCAGATCCCCGATGATTCATGCTCAAGATTGAATTAGTTGTTCATTTCCAATCAGGCAGACGAATTCAAGTATCGGCACTGAGGCAAAAACAAGTTGTCATGAACCTGGGTAAATGCCTGCATCGTGTCTTTCAAACGTCTCGACTAATCTCACCAGCGGCCGCATCCCACTTGTTTAGATCGTCTTTACAGTGGCTTGCTAGTTGCGATTCTACTGCTTGAGGCTATGCTACTTTTGTGCATCATTCATGAAGTTATGAGTATTTTGTAACAGCATGAATTGATTCGGGCACGAAAATTCATAATTCAAGCATGGACGAAAATACTTCTGATTTGTTGTGGCCATACAAGTGGACTCGGAATCAAATTTGGACATGATATTTGATAATATATACAATTTTTGTTTTTATAATGAGAACAGTATTCATGACATGCTACAATTCCCCTATCACGAACCCGACATCACAGCAGCGCTCGACTCCAATACCAGATCATCGCTTCAGTCAAACGTTTGAGAGAGCGCTTACTGGTAGCTGGCACGGTAGGCGTTCCACTGGTTGTACATGCGGGTCTGCTGGCCAGCGGTGAACTCCTCGTAGCAGGTGCTGTTACGGAACCTTGTCAGCAAATTTGTGTCTTGAATGTTGAAGAGCATAAAAAAAGCAAATACTTACTCGTCAGAGTAGTCCATGTAGTTGTGGATGGGGTCAACGCCGCCACCAGTGCAGGTGTCACGGGTAGCAGGGCATCCGGAAGCAGCAGTCCTCTCGGGGGGCGTGTCGGCAACCGAGTCACCGACGGTGCCGCAGCCGCCCTGGAAGGTGTGGTAGAGACCGAACCAGTGGCCGACCTCGTGGACGACGGTGTAGCCGTAGTTGTAGTCGGTCTCGGCGCCGCCGGGGACCGTGCTGGCCAGGATGGTGCAGCCGTCCTGGACCAGGATGGCGTTGCTCGACACCGTCTGGGGCAGGTAGCAGTAGCCAAAGGCGTCGAGGTCCGACACAAAGTAGATGTTGACGTCGGCGTAGGTTCCCTTGCGCAGCGCCGTCTTCATGGCCGTCTCAGCGCCGTCCCGGGCCCAGACCGAGTTGACGGTCCAGTCGCGGCCGCCGTCGACAAACGAGATGCCGTGGGGAGCATAGGCCGTGTTCATGACATCGAGCTGGTCATCGAGCGTGGCATTCTAAATTGTAAACCATGTGAGTATTTGAAAGGCTTGTGTGTATGTGTGTTTGTGATCTATTGATGCAAAGAACTGCCAACTTACGCTGAGGTAACCAGCAGCCTCGGTCGTGCCAGAGGCAACAACGTGGAAGTAGACGTTGGTCTCAATGGTGGCCTGGGCAGAGAACTGCTCGCCAGTAGCCGTGAGGTGGTTAGCCTCCTGAATGGCCATCTGCCTGGAGATCTCGAGCTGCTCCTCCGTAGGGTCGGGAGCGGCGCATCGCTGTTTAGCCGCAGCCGTGGCCACAAAGGCCGAGACGACCATAGACTTGAGCTGCATGATGTCTGATTGGCTGGCTATAGAGCTTCAAGTGTTTTCTTGGGAGGTCTTGGTGGGGAGGGGGAGATGCAAGTTCGAGTGCTACTTGGGATGACCTTGATGGCCATTATGACGCCCGAGAGCTCTCTTATACATCTTGCACCTTTGGAGATGGGACGGAATATCTTTACAGTTGGGCACCTAATAGGAAGGTTGCTCGAAGACATGTCCAAGAACACTAACATTGTTGTCGCTCCCGAGTTGGTTAAGAATAGCAACTGTCCTTCCTGATACGTCTCAAGTTCATGACGACCACGAGATCGGATGCCGCCGGTCGACATGAGATTGCCATCATAAAGACTAAACAAAAGTCATTTGCCAAAGTGACAAAGCGCGTGGCGAATGGCCGGTAGTCAAGGCAAAGAGAGCTCATAGGTTGTGTATTTCATGCAGGGGAAGCGAATTGGTGGTGGAGAGTCAAGTCTTAGCTTTTTCCTAGATAAGGTAGTGCGACCTCTTGGGGATCAGGGCGCGTGCTTGGCAACTATAACAACCGAGATGGTAGAGTATAGCACTGCTGAAAACCTCAGCAACCCAAAGAATAGTGTTTTCTATAGTCTAATGGATGGCTGTATAACCCGTATTTACATAGACTCCTTTGAGACCACTATTGTTCCAAGTCTAATAAGTTGTGTCTTCTTCTGGATATGATCAAACATTAGCGTGCTGTTTCTGGTGTTTGAGTTGCCAAGTAATGCCAAGTAGAGTAGCGGCGGCAGTGTGACCTACCCACAATGCGGCAATGAGACCTCCCTAATCTGGTAATCGCCATTGGCAACTCGAGCTTGGCAAACTAAAGCTTGATCTTCATTGAACTAGAACCCCTGAGAGGATATGAGTCTGGGAGGATATTCATATAATTGGTGGACTTGGTTGAAGATTGAACTTGGTGAATAGCTTGTGGCGAAGAGAACACCACTACTGACTAGTAAAGCCATTGGTCACTACGTAGCCGGGCTACAGATATTGCGCTCACTCTTGATGAAACAATGTAATGTGATTGGTTTGAAGTTGAATCTTGGTCTGCGGGTCTATCTGAGCACTCTGTTCACCGGTGTATCGTAGTTTGCGGTTCATACGCGTCTATCAATGATAGCCTTGGAGAAGAGCCTCCCCGATCGGAAAATCGGCACCTCAGAGACGCAAGTTACAGTCACACTTACCTAAACTTGATCATCCTGTCTGTATCTTTGATAAAAATAGAGTTCTTGACTTTGACTTGATAGTTTGGCGACATGTTCATTTGCGACGTCACGAAGTTGGTGTTCTCGAATATAGCACCAGCTCCAAAATTGCTCCGTTGGCTTCAATTCGATTTTCATCACGAATATGTGTTCGACAGTCATGTTCCATAATCTAAAGTTTCAATTCGGTATAGAGGCTCTATTTTATGTATAAGTCTTGCTCTACTCTAACATGCTCTTCATCTCTTTACTCTTTCACTTGAAGGCTGTGTTCCATCTCAAGCTTGTGCAGACAACCACTCCTTGCTGAAGGGATAGTCAATGTATCCCACAGGGCTCTCGGCATCATAAAACGTATTGCGGTTGTACTGGTTGAGATCCAGACCCTTCTTGATGCGAAATGGAAGATCAGGGTTGGCCAAAAAGTACCGGCCAAACACGGCCGCCACCTCGACATCGTCGTAATCCTTTTCCAAGAGCGCCTTTGCAGTGTTGGGCTTTAGGCCGCCGGCAACCAGGACTGGAGAGGCCTTTTGCCACGCCTTGAAGATGAATTCGTTGGTATCAGCCGACTCCTTGTCGGTGTTGCCCGAAATGCGAGCCTCGACAATGTGCAGGTATGCGAGCTTCAGTTTCCGGACCTCGCTCACAAGGTGGGTGAATTGAGGGACCGGGTCAGCCATGCGCATACCCTGGAAATCGGACCACGGCGATAGACGCAGACCAACTCTGTCAGAACCAACGGCTGCGACTAGGGCTTCGAGGACCCGCAGAGGGAATCGTGATCGGTTTTCGATGCTGCCGCCGTACTCGTCGGTGCGCTGGTTGGAAACGTCTTGGATAAATTGGTCGACAAGATATCCATTGGCGCCGTGCAGTTCTACGCCGTCAAAGCCAGCCTCGATTGCGTTCCGGGCGGCTTGGGCATAGTCTGCGATAAAGGACTCGATGTCCTCGGCAGTCAGCTCTGCGGGCGCTGGCAAGCCGTCGGTCGGGATGGAGGAAGGGGCTTTAATGGTGAAACCCTCGGCCTTGGCAACATCTGGCTTCGCGACGCGACCCAGGGCCCAGAGTTGCACGTAGATATAACTGCCCTTGGCATGGACGGCGTCGGTGACTTGCTTCCATCCAGCAATCTGGTCCTTGGTCCAGATGCCCGGGACATTGGCGTCACCGGCGGCCTGTTGGGAAATGAAGGTGGCTTCTGTGATGAGGAGGGTGCCGGGAGTCGACGCGCGCTGGCCGTAATATTCCTTCATGAGAGGGAGGGGGACGTGTTGCTTGTTTGCTCGGTATCGCGTGAGTGGTGCCATGACTATTCTATGCTTCAAGTCCATGTTGCCAATGCGAAGGGGCTCGAACAACTTTGAGGTCGCCATTCTGTCTGTCTGTTTGCCCTTGTGCCTGCGTATGGGCGTGTGTATATGAGAAATGTATGATAAACTGAAGACTTTGGTAGTCGTGGTGTAAGAATGCACTATGCAGAAGATGTAGGCTTTGAAACAGGCGCACCTCAAGAATTGATGTTGATATTGATGAGAGAAGAATGGATTCATTTCCTCAAGATATTAGACGGTTTTATACAAAGAAAAGCACACAAGTCCTAATCAAATCTGGAACTACCAAGGCACTGTGATAATCAAGTCGAGTGCATCAATATGCGGGGGAGAAAATCCCCCCGGCTTAACTAATCTGCAGAGCATGAGAATAGCCAAGTGCACCATCGCTAAGGATATTATCTTTTACAAAGCCCGGAATCATGGTGTTGAATCAGACAGGACAGTAAATCTGCTCACGTAAGGCGCAAATCGATGCGCGGCGCCGTCAACCGAGGCTGCGAGTCATGCAACTAGACTCGTAGTGTGGTGGTAGCTACACCCAGCGCCAGCGGCATCTGGTATATCAAATCCCGATAGAGTTCTGACTATTGGCGATGTGCCCTGTCAGCATGTGGAAAGCTGTGGGAAATTTCGTAGGCCAAGGAGAAACTAGGATGAATGACAGGTAGAAAATGGCTAGCTTCCACTGCCAGAGCGACCACGCCCTACACGCCCTACGGCGATATCCAGTAAGGCGTCCATCATCAAGGTTCTCGGTTGGGTCCCGTCCAGAGATGGTGGAGAACCATGCATACCGAGTGAGCAAGTTATCTCATCACTCACTTATGTCATGGCCTTGGATGACTAAGGCGTTTCTAGAAGAGTACGGTGCAACAGAGCTCCAATCCCCAGGCACGGAACTAGTCAAAGTCTGCCAATGCAGGATCGTCAAGCTCTGACGGAGAAGTGTCGGGTTCCAACTATGAAAAGCTGAATTTTTGAATTCGCACCAGGAGCTCGGTCGTGCCGTCTCTTCGGGATAGCTCAACAGATCCCGGAATCGTGCCTCCGCTGAGACCCCGGCCGGTGTCCCCTGAGTCAAGGCGCAACAATAATCATGCGGGTAAACTATGACCGGCAGTCGCTTTCATGCCACTCGATGGATTTAACACCTCTCATAGAGACACTTGAAATACATCTCATGAATCATTTCAGCAAAGTATCATAGTCTTTATGACGTACGAAATCATCTCATATCGGGGCCTACGCCGTGCTCCCATTTTCTTCGAAACAACATTCCCAATTGAGTTCCGAGGCACGATTCAACAAGGATCTAGGCATTGCCATGGAGGGCCACGATCTGGATACACTCCAAGATCAGAGCGAACCGACGAGAGGCATCAGTCAGCACGATGACCACGACGATACGGGAGACCTTGAGCATCAATATCACGCCAAAACACGAACCGTCGACAATGGTGCTGCCACGAATGGCTTGTTCGCATCTCAGGCGTCACTAAGGGCGATGAGACGCATCCGTTCAAACAATGGCCATGGGTGCGCAGATCTTCACCACGACGCCGACGAGACCGAAGCAGATGGCGCCGAAAAGACGGATACTGAAAGGTTCCTGGTCCGCTGGGATGGTGACAAGGATCCCTTTTGCCCGCGAAGCCGATCATTACTGCACAGGTGGATTATCGTGATCATTGTGGGAATGGGGAGTCTCTGTGTGTAAGTTGGATCTATTCAAGACGTGCTCGGTCCCATGATAGCAAATTCAGTCTTTCGACAATTCCTATCTGCTATGCTAACAAAGTGAAGGACATGTGCGAGTTCGATTTACACATCTACATATCACCAAATCACCGCCGAATTCGAGATTTCGACCATCGTAGCAACCTTGGGGTTGTCCACCTTTGTGCTCGGGCGTCAGTAGATACTTGTCGGCACTTATAACATGCCGTTACTGAGGTACTAACGGATTCTCGATACCAGTGTCCTTGGGACCGCTTCTTTTGAGCCCCCTCAGCGAATTCTACGGTCGCAGGCCCATTTATATCGCTTCATGGTACGCGCAATGATTTAATTTGGCACAGGATAAGAAATTGATCGATGGGAACAAAACACAGGGCCATATTTTTGATCTGGCTCATTCCATCTGCTGTAGCCAAAAACGCAGAAACCACCATTATAGTAAGCCGTTGAACAATCGCCTTGATATGATACATGGAGCTGATTAGGTCCAGGCTAGATTCTTTGATGGCTTCGCCGGCAGCGCGTTCCTGAGTGTCAGCGGCGGCACCGTCAGCGATTTATTTCGGCCAGACGCTATACAGGCTCCAATGATCATCATATCCATGAGTCCGTTCATAGGTATAATTTGGTGTCTCGTATCTTGGGCTCACGATTAAGGTACTGACTGGAATAATAGGCCCGAGTTTAGGTCCCTTGCTTGGTGGTTTTATCAACTATAATGTTAATTGGCGATGGACGTTTTATGTTGGTGATGGATGTAACCAAAGATTATTTCACCGTTACTGACTTTTTCCACTTTAGTTTATGCTCATATGGGCTGGCGTCATGATGGTCTGCATCTTTGTATTGGTGCCCGAAACCTATCGTGAGTGACGAGACCAAACAACTAATCAAAGTTCTGGTTTGCTCATGTCAACTAGACCCAATCAAGCTACGAGAAAAGGCACGTCATCTACGGAAAACGACCGAGAATAGCAGATGGAAGTCACCCATGGAACTTTCACAAAAGTCGATTCTCCAAAGCATCACTCGCTCGTTCTCTCGTCCATTCCAGCTTCTCATCTATGAGCCCATCTGTTTGTTGCTGTGTCTCTACTCGGCAATATTGCTTGGCATATTGTACCTCTTTTTTGGCGCCTTTAGCCTTGTATTCGGCAACGTTTACGGCTTCAGCCTGTGGCAGATCGGGCTTGCCTTCATGGGCATCTTTACGGGAATGATTGCAGCGTCCGCCACAAAACCCGTGTGGCACCGTATCCACATGCGACTACTCGAGCGTAATGGAGGAGTTTCGGAGCCCGAGTTCCAGCTCCCATCTGCCGTTGCCGGAGGGGTGCTCGTACCCATCGGCTTGTTTTGGTTTGCATGGACCATCTACGCTCAAGTCCACTGGATAGTGCCGATTATCGGCTCCGGTGTCTTCGGAATGGGGTGAGTATGCCATCATTCTTTTCCAAGGCGAACATTAACTCACTGTAATGACACAGGACCCTACTCGTCTTTACTGGCATCTTTACGTTTCTCGTCGATGCGTATCCAGCCTTTGCGGCATCGGCACTCGCGGCCAACACATTCACTCGATGTGCATTTGCTGGTGAGTGTCAACATACTTGAAACACCTTAATGAACTTGGGCTCACTTTAATACGTACAGCGGCGTTTCCTCTTTTTGGATTGCAAATGTATAACAAACTAGGCTATCACTGGGCATCCAGTTTGCTTGCGTTTCTTACCGCTACCATGATGCCATTTCCCTGGTTGTTCTTCCGCTATGGAAAACAGCTCAGAAAGAGAAGCAGATTTGCCGAAGCTTAAATTTGTAAGGCAGTCTTATAGGCAGATTAGACACCATATATCTCTCTACTAAATTCCATCATTGTTCATGTCAACACCAAACTGTCACCTGAACCAAGCTCGACAAATTCATAGTCTGGCGCTTGCTCGCCCATTGACTTGGTCTCTTTCCTCACAGCGTCGTTTACGGTGTACTTGGTCCGCCTCAACAAAGGTGCAATGAAGCCACCGCCCTTCTTTACCTCATCGTGTGTAGCAATCCAATACTTGGCGCCGCTCGCACGCACCGCTTCGAGCCCGTTGAGGGCGCCCAGGTTGAGCTGCTTCGTCATCCATATCCTGACGTCGTGGAGACCGTGGAGAAGCGCCAGTGTTTCGATGCCCGATTTCTTGACCGCGTCCAGGTCGGAGCCTTTAATACCGTGAGGGGAATAGAGGACAGCACGAGGGGCCAGGTCACCCTCTAGTTCATTTTCGACCGGCGATTTGAATGCGATAATGACGGCCGAGTGGTAGTAGAGGGCGTTGCCCGCAGTCACCACACGGCCGATGCCGACCCAGGACGGAAGCGGCGCCAAGCTCAGAGCCTTTTGCCAATCCGACGTTGACGACGAGAAGCCCGGAGTGGTCACAACTCGGTCAAAGTGCCTCCAGGACTTGATGAGCTCGGCGGCCTTTTCGGTGGCAAAGACGGGCGTGGTGCGTGGGAGCTCTCTCAGCGTTGCCTCGTGACAGTGGTCTGTGAATTCGTGTGATATCGCCACCACGTCTATGTAAGTAGCATCAGAGTGCCCCGCCTGCTCCGACTCGGCCAGCAGCGTGTTGAGCTCTGCAATCGTCTGCACGCTGGGAGCCACAAGGTGCCATTGAGTAGAGAACCACGAGGCAACGTCCGACTGCGGGCCCTGAAGCCACGGATCGAGCAGGATGTTGAACCGTGTCCGGCCGGCTGGTCGCTCGGCCAATGGTGGATACGGCAGGCTCAGCAGCCAGGTCGTGTCGGCGTTGAGGTGGATCAGAACCGGCGCGCCGGAGTCTGACAACGTTGACAGCAACTTGGCGCGATCGCTTACGCTGAAGACCTGTGGTGTATTATGGACAGTCGTTGTCTCAGAAACAGCCATTTTTGGCTACTATAATCCAGAAAATGACATGAGAGTTGCACACGGAGCCGCCAAAAGTTTACCGCTGCGCAACGTAGCAAACCATTGCATTCATTCACTGTTACAATGTCCCCGCAATCTATGACGAACAAGCATTGAGTTTCCCATTCCTCGGCCTGCTCCAAGCTAGAACTGGCATCGTTTAAACCCGGCATTATCTCCGAGCGTCCCGAAATACATTTGATGTCAGTATTAGCGGTCATCTCTTACGCAATCTGAATACCTGTAATTCCCCTTCCTCTCGCCGAGCATCAGCGTCGAATGTTAAGATTTTCCGCACGTCTTTGATCGAATCGGGACTTTGGACATGAGATGCAGCTGCAAAGAACATTGGGGGCCGGCGCTTTTATCCAAGAGGGTATTTCTATAAAGCTGCACAGGGTCCTATGTATAGGCTTTTGTGTCCGTACGCAAAGCTGCCATTAATGCCTGCTTTTTCGCGATTCCTTGTCGGCATACCCACCTGAACCTCATCAACATGATCGTTCAATGCAGGTTGTGAGCGGTAAAACGAAGTCAGGTGCGGTGCCTTAGCAGCCATGTAGCATGTTGTACCATGGATGAATACTAGATGCAATAACAAGACGCGACAAGTCAAGACTCGCGGCTGACTGGTGGAGGGAAACAATCGAATAAAACTGTCTCGGCTGCATGTAAATTCATGATCCAATCACAGGCGCGTTTGCGTAGTGACCTAGACAAGGGGGCTGAGCTGTGAGTAAGGAGCTTTCTTTGCTTGCTGGCATGGCTGCAATCCTGCAACTGTATTAACTGGGGTGACCACGCCTTTATAGAAAAATGAGTTACATTGGCCACAAACTTAGTACTTGCCAGGGGCGAGAATGGGCCGGAAGCCATGGTGTCAAGGCGTGACAAGCCAGCCCAAAGCCTGTTTGTTCAGGTTACTGGATTGTCATTTGCATAAGGCTTCTTCTCCCTTGTCAGTCCTACGACGCGATTCATACAGTCGCCATCACCTGAAAGAAAATACATAATATTTAAGGTCCGGCTTCCTTGTTCTATCAGACTACGTACTCATAATACAACTAGGTGATGTGACACTCGAAATGCCTCATCATCGTCGGAATTATTACCCTCCCGTCAATGGAGCTAACCGTTATTACGGTGGCTCAAGACCGATACCACAACACAACCATGGCAACATGCATGGATCATCTCATACACCTGAGCATCCAAAACTATCTTACCTCGCTAGGTTTCTCCAGTTCGTTTTCGCCCTCTGCCTCGTAGGGATCGTCGCCATAGTCATTGCCATGTTCAAGACCCGTAACAGTATAGGAGGGGGGGCCGCCTACGGAACTCCAGAATACGCCTTATTCAAGAACACCAACTTTAGTCAATGTGCCAGCGCACCACTTGAGGCAGTTGACTGCGCGGCACTCAGGGCAAACGGTTTCGGGCAGGGAAATGTATCTTTCCCAGGAGTCGAACAGGGCGGCTTCGTCTTGTACTCGCGGGCGAAAAACTATACTTCCGACGACGACATCAGCTCTGAAACGGACTCAACCCTGGGTTGGTGCGAGATGATGAGCTGTTTTTCTGACTTCAAAGTTCTTCCATCTACCCCAAAACCTTCGGCGTTGAAGCCCTCAAATATCAGCGTGTGGATGACCATCAATATCACGGCACTGGTCGCAGCTACGAACTTGCGCAAGTTTGCTTCTGGCGACAAGGCACTGCGTCCTGGGGATGGCCTTGTGGTGAGCTATGTGGCGTCTTCCACCGTGTTCTGGTGGGCCATGTTCTTCCGATGGGCAACGAATCCAGCTTATTACGCCGCCAATTCCTTGGTCTCGTGGATATCTGTCTGGCAGCAAGCATACATATCGGAAAGACTCGCCGATCGGCGCAGTGTCAGGACTTGGATCCTATGGATCTTGACCGGGCTTCAAGCCATCGGGGCCTGTGTCCAGCTTGGATACAATTGGGGCCAGTTCAAGCCCACTGGTGTCGATCTCGTTCCTCGGTACGACTGCCTCCAGTCGGGGATCTTGGGGGCGCCTGGGAATTCGTCATGCTCTGCAGAACAGCTCTGCTCCAAGTCATGGCTGTATAGCGCTCCTCAGTGGGACTTTGACTTGATGGCCTCAATGTCGGATGGTTCATCAATGTTAGCATTCTGCTGGGGCTTCATCAAAGTCATGCTTTTGTGCGTCGTCATACCAAGCATTATTCTTTTTGGCCTGCCTATACTGGCTCCTCTTATTTTGTTTGTTATCCAATTAATTGCCAAGGGACCGAAAACGAGAGATGAACCAGGCATGGTCGTCAAGGTCAGTCGAGTTGGGGGTTATTTTTTCGCGCTGTTGTTCGGCTTGGTGGCTGGCATTGCAATGTTTGCAACAATTCCCAAAGGCTGGAACGCAGATGCTAGGGAAGCTACAATTGCCTACGACTTGAACTGTACTGCTGTGCATGTCACAATAAGTCAGTGGAGATCCTATTACGACATTCCGGATGACCGCGTTCTCCGGATCGCTCAGGAGTTGCTTAATGTTTAGTGTGGAGGAGTTACTGGCTCGACGGCGTTGCATGTGAAGGAATCTACTCTCCTTGTTTTGCAGCTTTGGCCTCATATCATCCTGAGTTCTCTCGTCGGGCCTGCTACAATATTTTTTATGCGCAATATATGTATTTGTATGACAGAGTCTATTGAGTACTATGTGCCAGTCTTTCTACGGGGCGTATATGAAGACGCCATCTCCACAAGCCTGAATTATCAAGTAAAAACTAGACCTACGTGTTTTTGTGTAGCCTGGTTCAAGAAGACGTATATGGCCACTAGAAGCAATAAAGGCACCATGATCGCCAAAAGCCTCATTTGCAGGACAATGAGGAACTCAATAGCCGGCAGCAGTCTCTCAGTATCCCAACATCGCCTCCAAATGGGCTTGGCTCGCAACGCCTGTGGATGAAAAGGGCGGTTTGCTTCAAGATCAACGTCAGTGCTTTGCGGAGATTCATTACCATAATTCCATCGCGGATGGTGGTGGTGATGGTGCATGACATCGTTTTCTAGGCAATATTCGCAGTATGCCGAACCTAGCGTTCTTGTCGAACTTGCAGCAGACATGGAAATAGGTGTATCCTCAAAGCCAGCTCGACTATTCCCTTGAACACTGTCCATGTTCAATTTTGGTGATAGAGCAAAGAGCTGCCGAGTGTCCACCGTGATTCTTGGTCTACTCATAGTGTAGTACGAAAGCGGCGCTGGTTTGACCAGAAGTGGTGTATATTCTTCTAGTGGCATGGGCCGGACTAGGACTGCCATTGTCTGCGGTAGGTATTATATAGATGTGATTGGTCTGGCAGCAAATAGTCCCTGCCCACTTTCCACAAAAACAGGTGAAAACAAGACGAACGACAAACTTTGGATTTGCTCAATAGGATTGTTCTCTGCAGGACCAACAGTGCCTCTTATATTTGCTTCCAAACAAAGGCTTTCTGCCGAACAAATTCCCTGCAACAAGGAAACAAGCACCAAAGATTCATTCATGCCACCTCGCATCACTCTTTGTCTGGCTAACTTGAGGCTACAATCACTAAACACGGCCTAATCTCTCAGGCAGCGCGCAGCAAAGGACATTCCAAGGCATACTGGAAGTTGGCACCAGGGTCCATGAATCATCAGGAGAAGGGTTCTCGAAATCAGGCTTAGGTCACGATCTTCCACACCCTCAACAACTTGTCTCTGCACAACATTTATACGTCATATCTGCACGAGTGATCAAATCCAGTAATGTTTCGGTTTTAATGCAGGATGTCAATTCAAGTAATTGCATATATCCGTGCACGCGACACCGAAATGATAGTACCGGAGTTAATAATAGAAAATTAAAGGAGTTAATAATGGACAATTGAAGGAAAGTGCCGGAAATAACCCCATGTTGCGAAACCCGGTCGCATTCGCTTGCGTCTCCATACCCAAAAGGTCAACCAAAGTCTATGAGCACGGGTGGGAGTTAAAGCTTGCCAATCAAAACGCAGTCTTCTGAATCCCGACGGATGAACTTCGTGCCGCCTAACAACATGATGTATTATCTACCGTTCTTTAGGGAAGACAAGTGACCCCAGTAATAGATAGTCAGAAGTCGCAATACTTCATCCACGTCATGCGTTATGCAAAGGAACGGAAATCGGTATAATAATTTGGCAATATGACCAGAGCTAAAAGGGTTCAAAAGGCCGCAGAGCCGCGCAGCAACATTTAGCAAATCTCTCTGGTTTTCGTGTCATGATCTTGATCCCTTTTACCCATTGCACGCAACACACCATGGTCAATCTGGATATTGTACGCAAGGCCAATGCCGAGCTAGTCAAACGCCAGCCTCTCGTGGCCATCTTCATCGGCGGGACAGCCGGCATTGGCGAGTTTGGCGCGCAGGGATTGGCAAGAACGCACGGCAACGAGGGCAAAGGCCTTCGCTTGTACATCGTGGGACGGAACAGAGCGGCTGCAGAAGAGATTATTTCCTCGTGCCTCCAGCTCTGGCCCCACGGCCAGTTCATCTTTATCGCCGCGGAGAACCTGGCACTCCTCAAGGATGTTGATCAGGTCTGTGCCGCCATCACAGCCCGAGAGCGAGATGAAGCGACGAGGACGGGCCAGGAACCGAGAATCGACTTCCTGGTCATGACGCAAGGGCTGTTGAATTTGAAGCGAAAAGGTAACGTACAAACAGTCCAGATTGTGTTGCACGGCAACTATGGCTCACACCGCGATAAGATACCCAAGAGGGCCTCGACGAGACAATGTCCCTGGCCTACTATTCAAGGATGCGCTGTATCGTTCAGCTACTGCCCTTGCTCCTGCAATCATCCCTACCGGCGCGTGTCGTTTCGGTTTGGAATCCGACTTTCGAGAGAGACTTTGCCACCGAAGACATTAGCTGCCGCAGGCCTGAAAATGCTACCCTTCGACGTGTGTCGTCCCAGGTGGCCAACATGACGGCCTTTTTCCTCGAGGAGCTTGCCAAAAGACATCCCGGAAAGCTCGCCCTCGTGCACCTCTACCCAGGTTTCGTCAACACCAACTTTGGCCAGAATGCATTTCCGGCGTGGTTCAACTTCTTGTATCGATATCTAGCGATGCCCCTGATACGTTGGACGGTAGCAATCACGCCCGAGGAGACCGGTGATCGCATCACGTTTCTGGCTACTGATCGATACCCTGCACGCGGGACCACGCCGGAGCAACAGTCCAAGACTGGCAATGGCATTGACGTTGCCATGGCCGCTGATAATACCGTCGGCGGAGGCTTTTATAGAGTCAACAAAGATTCGGAGATCCTGCCTCCATCTTCCTTCAATAAGGAACTCCGAGAGCGAGGTATTGGTGGGGTTGTATGGCGACACACAATGGCAGCGTTTGAGACGATTGCGAGTGGGCAGGTATTCGAGGATTAAACAACCCTAGAAGACCAAAGGATGTTCAGATAACCATCTTCCAAGAGATTTGCATCATCACATTTGCCGTCATCATCAGCCGTATAATCGTCGATCTTTGAAGCCAGCCACTATTACATACCAAGTACCTACATATCATAGTGTCAAATCGTGGGGACCCCGCAAGTCTCGAGGCCCCTGAAGTTATAAGCCCTGTAATAAGCCTTGTTGTACCAAACATTACTCGTCAACTAGGCAATTCTTGTAGATCAATATAGATACTAAATGCCTAGGAACAATTGCAACTAGCCACTACCATTGAGAGTAAATCAAATCAATCGGCAATTCTGTCGCAGGCTCATAAATCCGTAAATCCGCGATGCCGTACGGAATAGTCAACCACATGACCACTGTCATAGCGCCGCGCCCGTCATGTGTTTACTGGATTTGGACATCGCTGGGAATTATACTCTTGCCTAAACTTCTTGGTTCCATTTTCCCCAGACCTACCCAACTCGGTCTTTTTTGTCGCCTATTCACACCACAGTCCCCTATCGAAACCAAAGTGGGACAATCAAGTTCTTCCCCCCGCAGTTCAACGCTTTTCAGGAGTTCATCTTGGCGGAGAAGAATCCTGGACTATTGCCCCGCTCGCTATCACCATTCTGTACAGGTTCCATACTTCTCCCCCCATACTGGCTGACTGATACCAATGCAGAAATTGCAACCGTTAAAGAAAATGGGGTCGTAACACTAGACAATATGAGAGAAAAATGGTACGTTGGATTGCCGATCAGCGGGCAGTGCCTCGATAGTAAATGTGTATATATATGATACGTGGAACCACCATGAGATGGTAATTGTCAACCTGTTGTTCTCCTCTCATTCTCTATTATAACACTAGAATTTTATACTCATCCCGACAAATAAAGACAAACATTTCCCCACAACGATAAGGAAGTCTTCAAACATGGCCACCAACCCAACTTTCGTTTTCATTCCTGGCGCATGGCACCAGCCAAGCTGCTACGATATTGCCCGAGATGATCTAGCTTCGCGAGGCTACGAGTCCGAATACGTCTCATTGCCCACAGTCGGTGCCCAGCCGCCCAACAAGGGGCTCGCCGACGACGTAGCGTCTGCCCGTGCTGTACTACAGAGGCTGGCGGACGAGGGCAAACAGATTGTGCTGGGCGTGCACTCGTACGGAAGTCTCGTTGGCGCCAATGCCGTGCAGGGCCTGGGGTACCGGCAGCGGGCCCAGGAGGGCAAGAAGGGTGGAGTCGTCATGTTTGTGTACATCAGCGCATTTGTAAACTCCAAGGGCGTCAGCATCTTGAACCAGCTGGGTGACGCGTGGTTGCCGTGGATGGCGCCGTCAGAGGTAAGACTTTCCCCTATCAAGTCCAATAATGCACATCTCCCTCCACATTTGCCATTCACGTGGACTGACTTGTCGAATAGTTGGTGGGCGACCTGGGCAAAGAGGCCGGCAATGTCACCATCCTCGATCCCGAGACCATCATGTATCACGATGTTGAGCCCGAGCTGCAGAAGAAGGCCGTCTCGGACCTCAAGCACCAGTCCTCGCCCGTCTTCAGCGGCATCGTAACCAACGAGCCGTGGCACGAGGTGGACTGCGCGTATTTCTTCTGCGAGGAGGACAAGGCTCTCCCCATCCAGGTGCAGGAGATGATGTCTGGCTTGCTCCCCGAGAGTACCCTCAAGTTCCGCTTCCAGACTTCGCACTCGCCTTTCCTGTCAAAGCCCAAAGAGTTTGCCGATGCTCTGGTTAAAGTGGCCAAGGCTAGCCAGGAGTGAGCCAGTGCTTGAATGGGAGAAGTTGGATGAGTTAAGCGAAAGAATCTTGAAGCGTCTTGCTTTGCATATAGTTGTCTACTCTCAAGCATGTAGAATCTCAGGAATTTATGAGCATTCATCTCACAGAATAGGCCGACAGGCCCAAGAACCCAGTCGAAATCCGTATGTGCAATGCCCGTGCTATGTTTACCTAAGATGAGTAGACATGGTGGCTTATGTAATAGCCCGTGCAAGCAAGATATCTCTTAGACATTCCGCGATTGCTGGTAGGGGGTGGGGGCGAGACAATGTCATTATCCGTTTTACATCTCAACGCATTAGTGTACATGGCATCCAGAGTTTTCATTTGGGTCCTCTTTCAAGTTCCGTATCCTCAATCGTGCAAATGGACCCTATGAGGCATGCTGAGAAAAGACAGCGAGAACGAGGTTCGATAAGTGCTGAGTAAGATTACTTTTGTTCAGCCAGCCAGGATGTCGAGTGTCCGTGGTCGAGGTGAGATTGGAAATTTCCTTGGCTTTTCGACAAGAGTTGCGATTCCCGGCGGCCAATGCTCTCGGGTATCTTGCCGAAGACTGGGGAAATCGCCCGTGGAGGGGCATCTGCATGACGAAAAGCCCAGGGTCAGAGTCCAGATATAAGAGTGGCCCAAGGGGCAGGGCAGTCGACGGACTGTGCTCTTGGTAGCCACCGATGTGAGTCCCCAAGCTCCTCCAAGGTCTCTCACTTTATCTGCAAGCACTGCCACTGCCAGGTCTGCATCGATGCGATTCGTTCATACCACTCGATTCGTAAGTGCGCTTTCCCAACCTTGGAACACACAGGCAGACACTATGATCGATATAAGCGACACTACGTAGTAGTCAGTCATGCCATCTTGGCAATGGGCTAGTCAAGCCTCTCTCTCTCACTCTGTCTCTCACTCAAGGGGCCCATTGGGGTCCGAACTCTAGACCACGATGGTCATGGTTTATAAGATACCCCGCAGGTGGGCGTGTCTAGGGAAAGAAGATCGTGAAATGAACGCTACTTTGCCACATGGCAACAAGCATCAAGGGATGAATTTCTGATCTACTGTGTAGGGTCAAGAAGACCGGGCTCGGAACTCCTGTCCAGAACTGTCATTCTTCACCGGTCAGTGTGGGTCTGGGGGTCCTGCGGGCCCTTTCACATGTCAAATCTAATGGCGAAACTACCACAAATCGAGTCGGTCACATTTTAGGACAAATTTCTCTGCTGCTGCCCTTGGAAATTTCAAATCACCTTTCTTTGTATCTACCATTTTTTTTCCGTCTCTGTAATGGTACGACGGTCATTCGACTTGACTGACCTGACTCTTTCCTGCCCATCTCTCTCTATTTGCCGATCTACTGTCAATGCAAAAATAACCAGAAGCGAAAACCGTGCTCCAAACATTTCCCAATCATCATTTCACACCTTGACCTGTACCTAATCTAATATATATACAAGGAGGAGACATTACACGCGTGCGCAAACTCAGAACGACGAAACCGCAATGGCGATTGACTGCGACTCCGAGTGCGAGATGGAGACGCTAATCTCCTTGACGCCAGCCTTCTTGGCAGCTTCGGCGGCATCACCGTACAACTATAGTCATGTTAACTCACTGTCGACTTGGAGCTAGGGGCAAGGAAGTACTTACGCTCACAATGGGCGCGCCGTTCTCATCGGGGAGGACCTCAATCTGCTTCAGAGCAGCACCGCCTCCCTGGCTCTTGACACCGAGACTCTTGAAAACAGCCTCCTTTGCACTCCAGCGGCCAGCAAATGAGCTTTGCGGGCTAGGCATCTTACGGCAGTATGCAATCTCCTTCTCGGTAAAGTTGCGCTCCACAAAGGTCTCATTGTCAATGTTGATGGCAGTAATGTCCTCGACATCAACACCGACCTTGGTGTTCTTGGTTGTCTCGAGGCTACGGGCGAGTGCCTCAATTGACTCCTTGGTGGACTTTGCCTTGGCTGCTTGGGTAGCAGCAGCGCGCTTGGCAAAGTCGGCAGGGTAGGTGAGACCGGCAGTCTTCTTGTCCTCGGTGACGCGAGCTTCGGGGTTGAGCAGGACGGAGCTCAGCTGGTCCTCAGTGTAAGGTGAGCTGGCCTTGGCCTGGAAGAGCGCGTTGTTGATCATGCCGTTGTGGAAGTAACGGTAAGACTTCTTCTGGCGACCAGCGACCTTGTCGGCGTAGGCCTTGAAGGTCTCCTCATCGAGAGTGGCATAGAGGTACTTGGGGTGAATACCGATGGCCTGGGCACCCTTCTGACCGAAACCAAAGGAGGTGACGGAGAAGGCCTTGACGCCATCCGTCTGGATGCTGCGGCTGGGGTAGACAATCAGGTCGAATTGCTCCATGATGGAATCAACATTGTCGGCGTTGCGGTTACCGGGCACCAGACCAGTGTTGAGCACCTGCAAGCAACCGTTCAACATCCAAGCACCGGCAGCACCCTTGGGGTGACCAGTGAGGTACTTCTGGAATATACCCAGAACAGCGTTACCCTTGGTACGACCCAAGTGGCGAAGCTGCTGGCAGATGACAGAAGACTCGTTCTTGTCGTTAGCCTTGGTAGAGGTACCGTGGAATGAAGCAACACCGAGGTCATCAACAGTGAGACCCCATGTGGCCAATGCACCGCGCAGAGGTGCGATGCTGGTGTCTTGCTTCCAGAAGTTGTTGCCGAAGCTGCGAAGGGCCTCCTTCTCTTGACGGATGGCCTCCTTCTCAACATGTGCGATACGGTCGGCAGTGTACTCCTTCTCGTTGAACTGGTCGTTTCCAGCCTTGATAGCAGCAATCTCTTCATGCAGATATTCAAGCTCAGACTCCTTCCAGTTGCGGATCTGCCTCTTGCGAAGCTCAATCTGGCGGCGACGGTACTTGATGTCGAGCAGCGGGGAGGGGAACTTGCCAGGGGTCTCGCGAGCAGTGGTCAGAACACCCTGTCCAGGAGCAGGCACCGATCGTCCAATCTTGTCACTGGCGGTGGTGGTAAGGGCCAAGATACCGTAGATCGGCACACCCATATCCAGCGCAAGCTTGGCGGTCATGATAATCTGGACACCGGAACCCTGGGACTCCATGAAGCCGTTACGGGTGGTAGTCGTGGGACGCGACATCTCCTTGGGAGTGCGGCCGTGAGCAAACTCGTCAACAGCGTTGCTAGTGGCCTTCATGTTGGCGAACTCGTAAGAGCCTTCCTCGCCAAAGTCATCGAAACCACCGACAAGACAGACACGAGCCTTGCCCTCCATGATTGTCTCGTAACCAATATCAACAGACTCGACAGCAGTAGCGCAGGCACCGACTGGAGTCTTGATGGGACCAGAGGAGGAAAGCAGCAACATGTTAACCCAGGCAGCCATGGTGTTGATGAAGGACTCCTGAAGAATGTCATTCTGAACAGGCTTGTCCAAGAAACGGTCACGGTGCATACCACGCAGAGCACCAGCACCACCCATACCGGAACCAATGCAGTTTCCGACCTCGGAGACGTGGACATACTTGTAGAACTCATAAGGATCAGTGATACCGGAAGAAAGCAGGGCCTCAGCGACGGAAACGAGGACGAAGAGAGTCACGGGGTCGACCTGAGAGATGATGTCCTCGGGAACACCGTACTTCTTGGCATCCCATCCTGTAGGAATCTGACCAGCAACGAGACGGTCGAATCTGAGAGCCTTGGGGATCCAGAGAGAAGCACCCTTCTTCATGCGGACAGTGTACTCGCCACTGTCAGGAATCTCGAAGATCTCGGCCTTTGCGCCGTGCTCGCGCTTGAACTCCTCGGCAGTCTCCTTGGAAGCCTCGAAGGGCTCCAGGTCCTCCTCAATAACAACTTCGTGAAGAAGCTGCTTGTTGTTGGGATCATAGCCGCCGAAGAGTTCGGGCTCGATCAGACGGATACCAGAATGCTCCAGAATCTGCTTCTCGTACTTGGTCTTGATGTCCTTGTCATCAACTGGCTCCCCGGACTTGGCGTCAACCCATCCAGAGTAGGGCTGGCCCTTGATGGGGCCATTGTGATTCTTGATGAGACCCATGATCCAAGCCATTTCAACACAGCCCTCCAGGGAGAATTCGCCGTGTGCTTCCATCTCCCAGCGAGTTCTCGAGTTACCCCAGGGACCGACTTCGGCAAAACCGGTGATGACAACCACCTTGTCGAGGTCGACCATACCCTTGAGGTTCTCATTGAGAGGCTCAATGTCCGACTTCCAGTCCGGCAAAGCAGGGAAGTCAAACTTGATGTTTGCACGAGGCTCAATCAACTTTCGCTTGTACAGAGCTTCGGTCTCTTCGCCATTGACAACCTTATTCTCAATGGCAGTCTCCTTGGTCACGGCGCGACGAATTTCGCTCGAGCCAGTGATGTTGGCGCGCTCCTTGGTCATGAGCTTATTGAGCTTCTTGATGAACTGAAGTCCACCGTTCAAGTCAGCAAAGACAGGCTGGTTCTGGCAAAGGTCAACAATGTCTGGCGACATGAGACCCAACAGGTTGAAAGCCATCTCCTGCTGCGAGAAGGTGCGGGCGCCCTCTTGTTCGACACTCTCAGCAACAACATTGTTGCCCGACATGAGACCTGTACCACGGGTCCAACCAATGACGGCACCGCAGATAGTGAGGTAGTTACCCCAGTCCTCCGAGCGCCACCTGTTGAAAAGAGTCTCAAGACCAAGCTTGGACTCGGAGTAGAGACCGTCGCTACCAAAAGTACCGTGGTTGGGGGAGAGAGGCAGGACGACCTGAGCTGGACGGGTCTCGAAGCCACGCTCAAACTTCTCGGACTTGACACATCCAAGAAGACGGAGGAGGTTGGTCAACATGATACGGTGAGCAAGCTCGGACTTGGAGTCAATGCCATCGATTTGACGGCCCTGCTCGGAAATGGCAGCGAACGGAACAATGTAGTCCAGATCCCAGCCCAGACCCTTCTTAGCGTCGTAGATGTACTCGATGAGTGCCTCAACATCTTGCTTGCTACCTTGGTTGAAGGGAACAACGACGAGTTGGGAGCCACGAGCACCGTACTTGGCATACATGGCCTGGTAGTACTCGGTGACCTCGCGAGAGAAGCGACTGGTGGTAACGATGACCTTGGCACCTCCGCTAATGAGGCCTTGGAGCACCTCAGCACCGATGGAACCAGCACCAGCACCAGTCATAAGGACGTACTTGCCCTCGTAGCTAATACCATCCCTGGCAGACTCCTCCAGGCAGTCAAGGTAGACCTTGGAGAGCTTCTTGTCGTAAGACCAACCGGTAAGTTCATCGTAGCTCTTGAGGTGAAGGAAGGGCATGGACTCGGTCTTGCCCTTGTTAGCCTGGCTAGAGGTCTTTACGCCAGACTTCTTAACAAGTCCACCCTTTCCGTTCTCCTTGGGAAGAATTTGGCTCTCGTTCATGGCCAATGACTGACGGACATTCTGCGAAATAGTCTTGAGCTCAGCCTGAGTTGGCTTAGCCATGTTGTGCTGAGCCTTGATGAGCTTGACCAGGCGAGCCAAATCATTGTTGACCTTGGTGCGGTTACCGTACTCAGTGATCTTGCCACCCTCTGCCATCTGCTTGACGTAGTGCTCAAGCTTGCGGCAGCTTTGGCGAGGAACCTCTTCATACTTGATGTTACCCTGGTGGTCAACGGTTGTGTGGGGACCAGTTGGGACTGCCACATCCTTGTAGACTGGAGCGGTGTTCAAGACCTCCTTGCAGTTCTCGATGAGCTGCTCACCAAGAGACTTTGCAAGCTTGTAGGTCTCGCCGCGCTCAGTAGGGCAGTTGTCGATGTGGTACTGCATGAACTCCAGAAGCAGAGGGTTCGACTTGGTCATGATGCGAATACACTGGCTAACAATCTCACGGTCAACAACCTGAAGTCTTCCGAAAATGACATCGTAGTACATGCTAAGAGCATCCTGGCGAGCCCAGTTCCACGAAGAGTCGTAGGTACGAGCCTTCAATGGGCTGAAAACAGGCTCAATGCCAGAGGCGTAGAAATCACCGTGCTCAGCAGCCCAAAGGTCAAGCTGAGCCTGAAGAACCTTTTCAGATTCCTGCGAAACTTGGGCAGCCTTGTCTCCTGCGCGCAGATCCATCTTGAGGTATCTTGCCAGAAGCTCGAGTTGCTGCTTGAACAGAGCACGCTGGTCCTTGGTCAGGGCGTCGATGGCAGCCGGGTCCATCATCATGCCGCCACCGCCACCGGCAGCAGGGCCTGCAGCAGCAGCTGTCGAGAGGCTGATTCCGGCGTTGCTGGCGTACTTTTGAGTAACATCGTCAAGGAAGGCCTTGGCGTCATTCTCAGAGCCCAAACGAGCCGCAGGCTCCATGGTGATTGCTAGCAAGAGAGCGCCGTCTTGGCGGCCAGCTCCAAGACCCCATCTAGTCTCCAAGTATTTCCTAGCTGATGTGATGTTGAAACCTCCGGGCATCTTGGAAGAGACCAATCTGGCGATGAGGGACTGTGACTGCTTTCCAAGCTGACCATTGAAAGTAGCTTGCATGACGGCGGCAAGTTCGTCTATCGGTGTGTCTTCGGGCTTCTCTGGTGTTGAGCCGAATTCCTTGCCTAGATCACCTAGGATTTCATTCTGAAGTGTCGATTTACCTGTTTACATGTTAGTTTCATCAATGGTTGTGAGCATGATGCGATGATCGGGAATACATACCGCCAACCAAATCCTTGATAGCTTTGCTGAGGGGAATCTCGGCGAAAGGCTTCTTCAGCTTCTGGGCGATCAGGGATCGCACAATCTCCAAAGCTGATACAGGCGCATCCTCGACTGCAGCTGCCGGGCCAGCGCTGGGTGCGGGCGCAGCAGCGGCAGCGGCGGGTGCGGCGGCGGAGGCTGCTGCTGGTGCAGAGCTCTCAGCCGGAGCAGCGGCGGGCTCTGGTTCCTCCTCAACAGGATCCACGTCATAGTAAATCTCTTTTGCGTCCTTGTTATAGCACAGAATCTGTCTCTGCACAGACTTGGCGGCATCGTAGGCTTCATACTTGGATGCGAGTGTGCGCTTGGCCATAACACCAAGTGTATCGGCAGGACCAATTTCTACAATCCGCTCGGCAGTCTTCTCCGCGAGGAAGACATCTTGTGTTTCGATCCATCTCACGGGGGAGGCGAATTGATATGCCAGAAGCTCAACAAGGAGCGTGTGTGCAAGTTCCTGCTCGACTTCGGGACGCATGGCGGGCAATGGTACAAGAGGCGAGTTGCGTCGGTAAGGGGGATGGGCTTCGTAATTAGAGCTAAAAGGCAAAGCTCAAGTGAATTGCTTCACCGGGTATCTCTAATGGAAACGAAACACGAGGAGACGGTCGGCAGGTGAGGTGAGTTGGCCGATTCCGTGATTTGCCAACGTGAAGAGAAGAAATTATTTCTGCAGGGAGAACTTGTCAGCTTGGTGTCGGTTTGCAAAGTCGTAGTCAAAGCAATGGGGGGCGGGATTCCAGAGTGGGATGGATGGGAATACCTGCTACCTAGCTCTAGAGCGCGGCGGTGGGCACTCTGGTGAAGCTAGGGTAGGTGTGGTGATCAAGATGGTGAATATGGTATTATTTCAAGAAAGCAACTTACAGACAGATGGAACAAGCAAAGAATGCCTTCTCCCAAAGCACCTTGCTGTTGAAGTGAATTGAAGTGAAGAAACAGGAATTAGATTTTGGAACCTCTCGATCAAGGAACCTGAGGCCTGAAATTGCAATCACCGTTGTCCGGGTCTGGGGGATGCAGTCGGTAGCTATGGGAAGATTTCGCGTTCCCAAATGTTGAACCGGCAGAAAAATTGGCTGGCCCGAACGTTGCACTGAGGCCGTTACTCTCGCTACTTTGTGTCGCACCCACCTTGATGCAGGTTCTGCGCTGGTACTGCAGCAGAGCTTCCTTGCAGCAGAGGTACGTACCCTTCTTGGCGTTTCTTACAATAGATGGACTCCCCAGCAGACTTTCCAGTGTTATTTTTCGTGGTTTTTTCACCAACGTCCACTAATCGATCACCATGCCACGCTGACCAGGCAGTCCAACGCTGACTGGCCAGATGCCTTTTGTGCCCCTGCTTCCTTCTTCCCGGTGGTCCCATCAACTCGACCATTGGCTGCCCATCCCCAGTACGGATGCTTCGACAATTCACCGGCGGCTTCTGCTCCTCAACCATATCCACGCCCTAGGCCTGTTGAGGGCTAGCCCCGTCGAGGACCCTTTCCCCACACAATCTCCCATCTTCACGCGTGATCCCTTGTCCCTACTTTTTATCGAGGCGCGCCTCAAGGTCGGTCAATTGAGTTCCAACGTCTTGTCGTTGGCAAAAAAGAAAAATCAATTGGAAGCTAGGCAACAGATAGAGTTTCCCGTCTGCAGATATTTGGGAAATCTCGATACATAGGTCTGTAACTGCTAGCTCACTATTTGCCATTGTATACTTTATTTGTTCGGTCAAATCGAATCAACCTGCATATCTTATCAGTGACGAACCGAACAGTACCATGTCGTCATGCTCTGTGCAGTTGCCAATTGGGTCGACAAGGCTGTGCGTTATCTTTGCAGGAGTTTCAAATTCCGGAAGCTTTTTTTCTATTTTTCTTCGTACCCTCCGGCTGTTCTTCCCTTGGGGTTCAGTTGCTTGTCCCGCTGCAACCCCAATTCTGGACGACCCCTGATCAGCCCACTCTTTCCGTTGCCCCGTCGCGGGTCGCAAGTAGAGATACTTTCAGTGCTTCGGGTGTATTTATTTGAGCGAGAAAATATCCATCCTAGATTTGATCTCACTCTTGCAGCCATTGATGTCCGTAACTGGCTTGATACAAGTTGAAATGAAGTGAACATCCAAACAGCATAATTGACACATAGATAGTAAATGTATTTCTCATAAATCAGGGTTGTTGATGGCAGCAGTGACGGCTCGAGGGGATGGAAAGTTGAATCTGCATGGACAAAACTAGACCCCGCCATCGACATCGCCATTGAAGTAGGTACTTGTTGAATCCAGCTGCATCGCAGGTCCATCATGTCAACATAGCCTTCAGTCACTTGAGCTAATCGACTGCCTCGGACGTTCATGATAGTTGTCAAAAGAAGTTCACAGAATATCAAGAGTCCACGTTGACTATCAATTATTTGGTTGGTCCCATAATGACCCAAGGTTCTATTTGTGCCTAGCCTGAATGGCCATTGACAAATACTCCCGCCGCGTCCATCAACATTGTTACTCGAACGGACATGCGGTAAACATTGAACCCGTGCTAAACGGCCTACTATTTACTTCCATTGAGCCTCATACTGGGAGCTTCCTTGCTGAACCTTTTTCTTGGTATGGAGTGCATAGGGACGCGTCAAGCGCGTGTCCACCCGTGGTGGCATCATGATACAAGGCATGTTTATACCATAACCAAGAGACCATCATGCCATCGGCATCACTCGAAGAATCCTGGCCACAAGCGGAAATGTTGATATTCTCTTTCATGTTACAATGTCCAGCTCTCGATTTCAAAAGGTTCTGACACCCAGGTTTCACCTCACAAAAGAGTGCAAAGTCGTGGTAGGCATCGGGTGATCAAGAGTCCCAAAGTCAAAACCAAGGTTGCATTCGGGCCACGGCCAACCATATCGTCATTATTGCTTGTAATCCATGATATCTCGCTGTTTCAGGGACTCAACTCAAGACTCTCACTTGCAAAAGCCCGAACAATGGTTCCAGCGAATGTCCGTGGATTGTCTGATAGAAAGTTTTGTATGATAACGGCTAGCCATGGAGGCAAAGTAAAATGTCAATAGGTACCGCTACTTTGGGCCGGGATGCTCCTCACCCTTGTCCAGGATCTCCATTTGGTGCACAATAGCATGCACGTTCATCCCCCAACAAGACGACTAAAATTTTGGCGAGGTTACTAGCTAGCTAGCAAAGCTCCTACAGATCAGGCGTTTGCTGACCGGACGGTAAATTCTCATCTTCATGTTGAGGACGCCAGCAAGCAAGCAAGCAGACAGTGAGAGCCACACACCAATTCACTCCCTGACCGGAAGCTCGCCGTTTTGTTCTCCCCTTGACAAATTTACCCTGATTCCGACAAGTTGACGGCATCAAAAGTAGAACTTCCCATTCTCAATTTGCATTCACGTTGCCAATCTTCTACTTTTGGCCCAATTCCTGTCTCTGCCTTTCCCTGCCGTTCCTCCTACCAAGTAATTTCTTTCGATTCCCCCCCACATCCCAGAGCTCATTTTCTGCTCTTTCTACTCTTGCCTCCTGCTCTTTGCTGAGTCTACGGAGACGACGACGACATCAATATGTACGGCACAGGAACTGGCCCTCAGACGGGCGTTTCCACCCCAAGATCCAATTCTTCTCTCCGACCGCTCACCCTCAACCATGGTTCACTAGAGGCTTCATTCTTGGTGCCCACTGGCATCCATTACCACGCATCACAACTGAAAGACCGATTCACCTCGGCTTTGCCAGCAGCCACAGACGAACTTGCTCAAGATGACGAGCCTTCCTCGATACCCGAGCTCGTCGCCAGATACATGGGCTTCGTCGCCCACGAAGTTGAAGAGGGCGAAGATGACGGCCAAGGCTCGTATGAGGAGGTCCTGAAGCTCGTCCTTAACGAGTTCGAGCGCATGTACCTTCGTGGCAACGACGTGCATGCTCTGGCAAGAACACTCCCAGGCATCATCGAGAAGCAGATTGCCGTTGTGCGCTGCTACTATGCTGCACGTTCAACGGCCAACAGAGCCATTAGACCCCACGACTCTGCTCTGCTCAGAGCCGCTGATGAGGGCAGTGCCCACATCTACAACATCTTTGGTGGCCAGGGCAACATTGTCGAGTACTTCGATGAGCTGCGGGAAGTCTACGAGACTTATCCCTCCTTCGTAGGCGAGCTTGTCTCTTCGGCAGCTGAGCACCTGCAAACTTTGAGTGTAGACCCCCGCGTTCAGAAGTTGTACGCCAAGGGCCTTGATATCATGGCCTGGTTACATACTCCTGACGCCACACCCGACGCAGACTACCTGATCTCTGCGCCCGTCAGTCTTCCCTTGATTGGACTGGTTCAGCTGTGTCACTACCAGGTCCTTGGTAAGGGTCTCGGCCTTCACCCCGGTATCCTGAGAGACCGCATTTCCGGTGCCACCGGTCACTCCCAGGGTATCGTCGTTGCTGCTGCTACCGCCGCTGCAAGTGATTGGGAGTCGTTCGAGAAGGTGTCCAAGGATGCTCTGACCATTCTGTTCTGGATCGGCGCTCGCAGTCAACAGGTCTTCCCAAGGACCTCGTTGACGCCAAAGGTTCTCCAGGACTCCATTGACAATGGCGAGGGCGAGCCGACACCCATGCTTAGCATTCGCGACCTTCCCCAGAGCGAGGTGCAAAAGCACATTGATGCCACCAACCAGTACCTCCCCGAGGACCGCCACATTTCCATCTCCCTGATCAACAGCCCGAGAAACATGGTCGTCACCGGTCCGCCGATCTCTCTCTACGGTCTGAACCTGCAGCTTCGAAAGGTCAAGGCCCCGACAGGCCTCGACCAGACAAGAATTCCCTACACCGAGCGCAAGGTCCGCTTCGTCAACCGCTTCTTGCCGATCACCTCGCCCTTCCACAGCCAATACTTGAAGGAGGCCACCAAGCTCATCGATGAGGACCTCAAGGACATCAAGATCGACTCCAAATCTCTTGGTTTCGCTGTCTACAACACCTGCAGTGGCGCAGACTTGAGAGAGGAGGTTCAAGGTGATATTGTGCCCTCGCTGATCCGCATGATCACCCGTGACCCGGTCAACTGGGAAAAGGCCACCGTCTTTTCGCAGGCCACTCACATCCTAGACTTCGGCCCCGGTGGCATTTCTGGCCTCGGTATTCTTACAAGCCGTAACAAGGAGGGAACCGGCGTTCGCGTTATTCTCGCCGGTACCGTCAACGGTACTGTCCAGGAGGTCGGTTACAAGCCCGAGCTCTTCGACCGCGATGAAGAGAATGCCGTCGTGTACGCCAACGATTGGGTGAAGGAGTATGGCCCGAGACTGGTCAAGACCTCCAAGGGCGAGACATACGTCGATACCAAGATGAGCAGACTCCTCGGTGTGCCGCCAGTCATGGTTGCTGGTATGACTCCTAGCACTGTGCCGTGGGATTTCATTGCGGCAACCATGAACGCCGGCTACCACATTGAGTTGGCCGGTGGCGGTTACTACAATGCAAAGACCATGACCGAGGCTCTGACAAAGATCGAGAAAGCCATTCCTGCCGGTCGTGGTATCACCATCAACCTGATCTACGTCAACCCCCGCGCCATGGCTTGGCAGATTCCTCTTGTTGGTAGACTCCGCGCCGAAGGTATCCCGATCGAGGGTCTTACCATTGGTGCTGGTGTTCCCTCTCTTGAGGTTGCCCAGGAGTACATTGACACTCTAGGTCTCAAGCACATTGCCTTTAAGCCTGGTTCCATGGAGGCTATCCAGGCCGTCATCAACATTGCCAAGGCTAACCCGACCTTCCCCATCATCTTGCAGTGGACTGGTGGTCGTGGTGGTGGTCACCACGGTTTTGAGGACTTCCATCAGCCCGTTCTTCAAATGTACGGCAGAATCCGTCGCTACGACAACATCATTCTTGTTGCTGGCAGTGGTTTTGGTAGCTCTGAGGATACTTACCCGTACCTCACTGGTGAATGGTCCAAGAAGTACGGTTACCCGCCCATGCCCTTCGATGGCTGCATGTTTGGTAGTCGCATGATGGTGGCCAAGGAGGCGCACACCAGCAAGAACGCCAAGCAGGCTATCGTCGATGCACCAGGTCTTGGCGACGAGGACTGGGAGAAGACTTACAAGGGCGCTGCTGGCGGTGTGATTACTGTTCGTTCAGAGATGGGCGAGCCTATTCACAAGTTGGCCACCCGTGGTGTTCTCTTCTGGGCCGAGATGGACCAGAAGATCTTTGCCCTGCCCAAGGAGAAGCGTGTTGCGGAACTCAAGAAGAACCGTGCATACATTATCAAGAAGCTGAACGATGATTTCCAGAAGGTCTGGTTCGGCCGCAACTCTGCAGGCGAGACGGTTGACCTGGAAGACATGACCTACGCCGAGGTTGTGCGACGCCTTGTTGAGCTCCTCTATGTCAAGCACCAGTCCCGCTGGATCGACCCGTCCTTCATGAAGCTGACTGGTGACTTCATCCACCGCGTCGAGAGTCGATTTACAACCTCTTCGAGCCAGGCATCCATGTTGCAGAGCTACTCTGACCTGAACGAACCCTTCGGCGCCGTTGACAAGATCCTCGCAAGATACCCCGAGGCTGAGTCTCAGACCATCAACGCCCAAGATGTCCAGCACTTCGTCATGCTTTGCCAGCGACGTGGCCAGAAGCCCGTTACCTTCGTTCCCGCACTTGATGAAAGCTTCGAGTTCTTCTTCAAGAAGGATTCTCTGTGGCAGTCTGAGGATCTCGATGCCGTCATTGACCAAGACGTCGGCAGAACTTGTATTCTCCAGGGTCCTATGGCCGCCAAGTTCTCGACTAAGGTCGACGAGCCCATCAAGGAGATCCTCGATGGTATCCACCACGGACACATTACCCATCTCCTCGAGGATGCTTACCAAGGCAAGGAAGAGTCTGTTCCCACCATCGAGTACTTTGGTGGCAAGCTCGTTGACACCGAGATTCCTCTTGACATTGAGGGCTTGACCGTGTCTTACGATGACCACAAGAACACTTACCGCTTGTCTACATCTCCCACCGTCGCTCTGCCACCCCTGGAGTCTTGGCTGGCACTACTTGCTGGCCCCAACAGATCGTGGCGCCATGCCCTCTTCATGTCAGATGTCTTGGTGCAAGGTCAAAAGTACCAGACCAACCCCTTGAGAAGAATCTTTGCCCCTGTTCGTGGCCTGTTTGTCGAAATCCAGTACCCCAACGACCCTAGCAAGACGTCCATCATCGTTCGGGAGCAACCCAGACACAACCACTACGTGGATGTCATTGAAGTCAAGCTGGACGGCAAGGATAACATTATTGTCAACATGATCAAGGATACCACTGCTCTGGACGAGCCTGTGTCCCTGCCCCTGCGCTTCACCTACCACCCCGAGGCTGGATACGCACCCATCCACGAGGTTATGGATGACCGCAATGACCGCATCAAGGAGTTTTACTGGCGCGCGTGGTTCGGCAACGACAACCTCGACCTTGATGCTCCAGTTACTGGCAAGTTTGATGGTGGCAAGGCTACCATCACTGCTGAAGACATCAACGACTTTGTTCACGCTGTTGGCAACACCGGCGAGGCCTTTGTAGACCGTCCCGGCAAGGTCGTCTATGCTCCCATGGACTTTGCAATTGTTGTTGGTTGGAAGGCCATCACCAAGCCAATCTTCCCCCGCAAGATTGATGGTGATCTTCTCAAGCTTGTCCATCTCTCCAATGGCTTCCGCATGATGCCTGGTGCCGAACCTCTCAAGAAGGGTGATCAGGTCGAGACCACCGCTCAGATCAATGCTGTCATCAACCAGGAGTCTGGCAAGATGGTCGAGGTCTGCGGTACCATTACTCGTGATGGTGAGGCTGTCATGGAGGTCACCTCGCAGTTCCTGTACAGAGGTGTCTACACTGACTTTGAGAACACCTTCCAGCGCAAGGTCGAGACACCAATGCAGGTGCATCTCGCCACTGCCAAGGACGTCGCCGTCCTCAAGTCCAAGGAGTGGTTCCTACTGGAGGGTGATGAGGATCTTGTTGGCAAGACTCTTGTTTTCAGACTGCAGTCTCTGTACAAGTTTAAGAACAAGACTGTCTTTAGCAGCATCGAGACTCGCGGCCAAGTCTTGTTGGAAAGACCCACCAAGCAGATTGACCAGGTCGCCAGCGTCGAGTATGTCGCCGGTTTGTCTCAGGGCAACCCCGTCATCGACTACCTCGAGCGTCACGGATCCTCGATCGAGCAGCCCGTCAGCTTTGAGAACCCCATTCCTCTGAGCGGCAAGACCCCTCTGTTGCTCAAGGCGCCTGCTTCGAACGAGAACTACGCCAAGGTGTCTGGAGACTACAACCCCATTCACGTTTCTCGCGTCTTCTCGAGCTACGCCAACCTGCCCGGCACCATCACCCACGGCATGTACTCGAGTGCTGCTGTACGAAGCCTGGTCGAGACTTGGGCAGCCGAGAACAATGTCGGCCGTGTTCGTTCGTTCCATGCTTCCCTGACTGGCATGGTCCTGCCCAACGATGACATCCAAGTCAAGTTGCAGCACGTTGCCATGATTGGAGGTCGCAAGATCATCAAGGTCGAGGCCAGCAACAAGGAGACCGAGGACAAGGTTTTGCTTGGTGAGGCTGAGATTGAGCAGCCCGTCACAGCCTATGTCTTCACTGGACAGGGTTCGCAGGAGCAAGGTATGGGTATGGAACTTTACGACAGCAGCCCTGTTGCCAAGGAGGTCTGGGACAGAGCTGACAAGTACTTGCTTGATAACTATGGTACGTGTTTTCCCTACTTGAGGCCAATCGCTGCGTATTTGTTAACACTTTACAGGATTCTCCATTATCAACATTGTCCGCAACAACCCCAAGGAGTTCACCGTCTACTTTGGCGGTTCCAAGGGTAAGGCTATCCGCCAGAAGTACATGGATATGAAGTTCGAGACGGTCGCTCAGGACGGATCGACCAAGTCTGAGAGAATCTTCAAGGAGATTACCGACAGAACAACCTCGTACACCTACAGGTCGCCTCAGGGTCTGCTCTCGGCAACTCAATTCACACAGCCTGCCTTGACTCTGATGGAGAAGGCCAGTTTCGAGGACATGAAGGCCAAGGGTCTTGTTCCCCGCGACAGCACCTTTGCTGGTCACTCCCTCGGAGAGTACTCGGCCCTGGCTGCCCTTGCTGATGTCATGCCTATTGAGTCGCTCGTTTCGGTCGTCTTCTACCGTGGTTTGACTATGCAAGTCGCTGTCGAGCGTGATGCTGACGGCCGTTCCAACTACTCCATGTGCGCCGTGAACCCCAGCAGAATTTCCAAGTCTTTTGACGAGGAGGCTCTCCGCTTTGTCGTTGGCAACATTGCTGAGGAGACTGGCTGGTTGCTCGAGATTGTCAACTACAACATTGCCAACATGCAATACGTCTGCGCGGGTGACCTCCGTGCCTTGGACACGCTCACTGGTGTCACCAACTTCCTGAAGGCGCAGAAGATTGACATTGTTCAACTCAAGCGGGAGTTGAAGCCCGAGGAAGTCAAGGAGCACTTGGTTGACATCATCAAGGGTTGCGCCCAGCAGACCGAGTCCAAGCCCAAGCCCCTCGAGCTCCAGCGTGGATTCGCCACGATCCCTCTGCGTGGTATCGATGTTCCCTTCCACTCGACCTTCTTGCGCTCTGGTGTCAAGCCTTTCCGAAGCTTCCTCAACACCCAGATCAAGCAGACCAGCATCGACCCCGCCAAGCTTATTGGAAAGTACATTCCCAACGTCACGGCCCGACCTTTCGAGCTCACCAAGGAGTACTTTGAGAACGTCTATGCTCTGACAAACTCTCCCAACATCAAGGCAATCTTGAACAAGTGGGATTCGTACCAGGATGATGCGCAGCCCAACGGCGTCAACGGTGTCAATGGCGTCAACGGACACGATGAAAGCGAGGTTAATGGAACTCACTAAAAAAAAAAAAGCAATGGAATGAATGAGGGAAAGAGTAAATGATATCCAGGAATTGTGAACGTTTCGTTTTTTGCAGAAAAAAAAATGAGGGCAGGCTCATGTGTTTGTGTACAATACGGCTTCTGCTACGGAATTTGGACGTTGGGAATTTCATGAGACTGGTGTCAATGTGTTTTTTTTGGTCCTGTTTTAGATTTATAGAGTTCGAGGGTTCAATTTGAACCTAATCAAGAAATAGATTTCAGTATCGACAATTGTTTCTTCAGTTTTCGATTTCGTCTAATACGTGAAGCTACTATACAAGGCATTTGATCCATATGGTTCAGTCAGGCCTGGTAAACAAATGCCGCACCCACCATGATGGTTTGTCTGAGTATACAGTGCAGCTGGCGGCCGATGATGGCAATCAATCAATTGGCATCACCGGCATTGATGAGCTCAGCAGCTGATGATAAGAATGACTACTACATTGATGTTTGTCAATTGCTCATGTTTTTTGCTCTCCGCATTCGAGGCGATGTCCACGTTTCTAAACTTGGGTGTCTGTCTCACGGGCTCCGCCGGCCACCGAACGACGGGGTACAACGGGCGCCCACCAAGACACCATCTCAGTAGTCCCCTGTTTAGCTGCAGCAGGCGGCGCCGGCAACGTTTGAAGCCTTCTTGTGTGTATATTCAGTACGGAAACCTCCCTCTTCCTCTATCATACCAAGACGGAATTGTAAACTCATTGCCGCGGATCAGCTGGAATCTTGTGGCGAAATCGTCAGATATAAGGTCCCTGAGAGACTGCATCGATAGCAATCAATTGTTTGGTTCAAGGAACGTGTCCACTCAACTCGTTCAACCTCAGCCCCTGAATACTAGCGAGGTATTAGTCGGTGCCAGGTGCCAATGCCAAACGCCAAGGGATCAAGACGATAAAGCCGACATCTACAAATCCGAGACAGTTACTCGTCAGAGCAAAGTCTTTTGGTTGGGAATTAGGACGGCCTAGAGTTTGTTTCTATCCTGTGCCGTGCGAGCGATTGATACACTCAAAAGCCACGAGAAGCATCAACGGCCCGAGGGGACCAAACCGGGCCTGGCTGAGTTGAACATAAGACTCTATAAGCATGGCGGTGCTACAGAACGAGAGGAATCACGTGTTCCTGGGCTCCTTCATACACAGCAGCAAGTTAGATGAGCTCAAGTATATGCATCAAACGGCCGTCTTTGTAGACAAGTCGGGCAAGATTGCGCACCTTGAACATGACTGCAATGAGGGAAAGGCAAAGACTATACTGCAACAGAAGCTCGGTTGGGATCATGCAGATACAGAGATCACGAGTACCGGAGAGGGTGATTTCTTCTTTCCAGGCTTTATAGGTATGTAATCCCAAGTACAGCATGACAAGGGAGCAGTCCAATACTGACGCAGATGACCAGATACACATATCCATGCGCCTCAGTATCCCAATGCCGGCATCTTTGGCAAGACGACACTGCTGGACTGGCTGAACAAGTACACGTTTCCCATGGAATCGTCGCTGTCGGACCTGTCCAAGGCCCGGCGCGTCTACAGCCAGTGCGTGCGGCGGACGCTGTCCCACGGCACCACGACGGCAGCCTACTACGCCACTATCGACGTGGCCGCCACCAACCTGCTCGCCGACCTGTGCGTGTCTCTGGGCCAGCGCGCCTTTGTCGGTCGCGTCTGCATGGACCACGAGGACATGTGCCCAGAGTACTACCGCGACGAGTCGCCCGATGCCGTCATGGCGGCCACGCACGCCTGCATCGACCACATCCGCCGCATCGACCCGGACTATGCCCTCGTCTCGCCCATTCTCACGCCGCGGTTCGCCCCCAGCTGCACGCCCGAGACCATGACGCGCCTGGGCCGCCTGGCCGCCGATGCCGACCTGCCCGTCCAGACGCACATATCCGAAAACGCGGCCGAGATCGCCCTGGTCAAGCACCTCTTTCCCGAGCACGCCACCTACACCGACGTCTACGACAGCTTCCGCCTGCTGGGCCCCCGCACCATTCTCGCGCACGCCATCCACCTCGCCGACGCCGAGGCCGACCTGGTGGCCGCGCGCGGCGCAAAAGTGAGCCACTGCCCGTGCTCCAACTCGAGCCTCGGCAGCGGCGAGGCGCGCGTGCGCTTCCTGCTGGATCGCGGCATTGGCGTCGGGCTCGGTACCGACGTGAGCGGCGGGTACAGCCCCAGCGTGCTCGAGGCCGCGCGCCTGGCCTTGTTGGTCAGTCGGCACCTGGCCATGCCGCATCACGAGGCTGCTCGCCGACACGGGGGCGGCGGTGAAGAAGAGAAGGATGCCGACGATGACGAGGCCGAGAGGGCCAAGCTTAGTGTAGAAGAGGTCCTGTACCTGGCGACCCGGGGCGGCGCCGAGGTCGTTGGCCTGCAGAACAGAGTCGGTGCTTTTGAGGTGGGCATGGAGTTTGACGCGCAGCTCGTCCGGCTGGGGGGTGTGCCCGAGACGGAGCAGCAGCAGGAGGAGGAGCAGGAAAGTGAGGATAATGGACCCGTCGACATCTTTGGCTGGGAGACGTGGGAAGAGCGCTTGGCCAAGTGGGTGTTTAGCGGTGACGACCGGAATACCAAGAAGGTCTGGGTAAAGGGGCGGCTCGTGCATTCACGTTTGAGATAGATGTTTGGAAATCCTCTCGGAGAAATGTTTACTGTAGCGAAGGAGTCAGAGATAGGCATTGCCGTTGAGCTTCTTACATAGATGCTAAAGGGAATAGATGATATACATAAGCAATAGATAGACACATTTGCTGATCTCTCACGATTGACGAAAGGAACGGCTTTCTTTTTTTCCCCTCATGATCTCGCGTAATTTGTGCAGTCACACTGTTTTTGTTACTTTTTTCCTTATTGACTATATACTGCAGTCGCAAAGCCAGGCGCATGCGAATGAAAGACTGCCTTGGGGCTGTCCTTGGTATCTTCAGATGGTATCATAGCTAAGAGCAAATGAGAAAACGCACAAATAACCCATGACTCCTTGAGGTAGAAAAAGAAGTCTCTAAGGACTCCAACCCAATCGCGAAGCTGCTCTTGATCAATTACATGACATACCATAATGCTCGCCTAGCATCGTGGGCTCTTTGGCGGCCATGGCACAATATCTCTGACAAAACTCCAATTACATTTGGTGCGTATACCGAATCACATGAATTACTGTAGCCTCAGTAACATGTCATTTAGTGATTGCCACTGTTTCTAAGTAGCTCGTACAGGTCTTGTCCATAGGCATTGGGATTGAATCCGGCAGATGAAGAGCCCATGTTATAACCTGCATTCCTTGAGCCGGTGCCGTAGCTGGTCTGGTCAGTGTTGCTGTTAGCCGTCGTAAAGCCATACCAGTTTTGGTTCTGTTGGTCCCCACTCGTTTGCTGCGTGTAAGAGGAACCATAGGACTGCTGTCGCTGATGTTGGTTCTGGGACGACTGCGTTTGTGGCGATTGGCTATAGTCAGAACCATGGGCTGCAGTCTGGTGCTGTGAAGCCCGACTTCCATAGAGCTGGTTAGACGAGGCCTGCGCAGGGGCGGTCGTTTTATATGCATTGGACGACGAGTTCGACAATCCAGAGGACCGACTTGACCGAGTTTGTGATGGCCACTGATTTGTATTATTGGTGTTTGTTGTACTGCCAAAGTCGGATGAGTCGTGGAGCGCCTGATTGAGAGGATTGCTTTGAGTGTTATCGCGACTGTACCCGTAGGACGATGTGTTGTTGTACGCGTTTGATGAAGTCGATGTGCTCGTTTGTTGGTTATAGGTATTAGGCTCATACGCAATACGAGTCGATTGGCCAGCCGTAGTAGATTGCGAGTACTGATCATTGCCAGTGCCGTTATATCGGGCAAATGGATTGTACGCCGGAATCGAAGCACTAGAGGCAGGCGTCGAGGTATCGAATGTCTGCGTGGATGGTGCAGCGTGGGCTGTAGGAATGACGGGCGGCGGAACCGGAGTTTGTGTGACTGGCGTTCGACTCTGGGATCGTTGTCCTTGTCTCGACTTTGCGCGGGCAGGCGACTTTTGCGCAGTCTGGAACGGGGATCTACTCAGAGCAGGCGATTGAGCGACACGGGGGACTGGCACCGGAATTGGCGTCTGCGCAAGTACGGCAGCAGCTTGGTACGAATCAAATGGTGAGTCGCTTGGGTCGGCCACTGATTTTCTTGTCGATCTTCCTTTGCTGGGCTGTGGTTGAGCCTGGGGCAACGTCGGTGAAGCAGTGCTGGTCCGCTGATTCATTGCCGGCGATTGATTTGTTCCCCTTCTCCAGTTTGTTGTAGAGGACGCATTCACACCACTTGCATTACTTGCTTTTGCAGGCTCTAAACTCTGAGCGGTGGGGAGGCTGTGTCGCGCGTTGCCGTCTTTTCGTCGGGTTGATGATTTCTTGGTTGTCGCATACGAGATTTCCGGACTTGCTTGAGCCGGGCGGGTGTTTGAGAATGTTAAGCCAGGATAATGATGATGCGGCTGTTGCGCAACATCATGGGCAAATTCCTGGTGATGAACTTCCTGATGAATTTCTGGTTGAGGATAGTCGAGGCCTGGCCCGGTCGCATCATGGTGTTGTGGTAAGGGTTGAGGCGAGGGTTCGGCGACCTCGGCTTGATGGTAGTAAGGCGGAGGGCCGCCTGGTTGAGTTGGGCCAGCAAGAATATTGGGATCTGGTATAAATTCATCATCATCGTGGCTGACTGCCGCTGCTGGTGGTACTTGAACTGTTGGAGCAACATGCTCCAAGAGAGACTGCTCTGTGCTGCCTTGACCAACAGCCTCCGAGTCGTCGTCCTCGTCCACAGCCACATCTGCGGAAATGCCTAACTTCTTTCGAGGCTTTGGAGGTAGGTAGACACAAGTCTCTCCGAGCTCCTCGCAGACGGAGCACTGAGGGTGCTCTTTTGTACACTTCCGCTTAGCCAGCTTGCAAGTATTGCACGTACCACGGGTTTTCCTATCGCGTTTTGATGCGGAAGCGACTGCAGGCCCCTCATCGCCCGCGTCCTCGACAACCACGGCGTCGGACTTTTTGGCACGAGGCTTTCTCTTTTTGGTGGGTGTTTCCGTAGCAGTAGCAGAAGCGCTATCAGTTCCATCGCCAACAGAAACTTGTTGAGCTGGAGTCGATGACGCAGGAGCCGACGGTCCCTTCTCATCAGGATGAACAATCCTCAGACGCTCGGCACCATACTTAGCGAGCATATCAAGTGATGCTTCCTGCAGATTGGGGGCTTGATTCGAGAAGATGCTAAATTGCTCTTCAGACAAGGTCGCTGGGTCGATTCCCCGCTCCATCAATAGGTTATTGGCAACCTCCCGTCTCCTTGCAGCTTCGAGTGGAGGAATATTCAGCGCACTAGGTGGTTGAGAACCGCTCGAAGTCTCCTCTGGAGGCTGCGAAGTCGCCTGGCTGCCGGGCTGGGCAGCTTCATCGCCATCATCCGTGCCCTTCTTCTTTTTCTTCTTCTTTGGCTTTTTACGACTGCTTTCCTCGCCGTCTGTAGGGGGTGGACGCTTGGCCTTTGCAGACCGGCTAACATTGGGTGTATTGACGTTTGGTACAGGCGGCGGCGGGAGTGTAGGCAGCAGCCGTTCGACAAGTTCTGCAACTGTTTTGTGTAGAGGAGTGTGCTCATACTTTACAACAATCGCTCTGCTGCTCTTAGAGAAAGAGATTGATAGTGTACCGCGGCAGTCAAAAGCAGGACGGGCTATGTAAATATTCGGGTCAGCAACTGAGCTTATCAAAAGCCATACCACATGATCACGTACACAAATTCACCGTATCCAGTCCTCCAGGGCCACTGAACGATGCAATGGGTTGTCGGTCAGGCTTCTTGGCATTCTGGCGGTTCCAAGCCTGGAGTGAGTGTTGGCAGTGATAGATAAATGACCATCCTTGCGCCGTCCTCGAAACGGATCGCACAGCCCACAAACTGTCATCAACTACTGCTAGGCTTCCTGCCAAATACTTTGCGACGGATCTCTGCAGCTTTGGGTCGTCGGTAGGTTGGTTAAGGACGGTCTCGGACACAGTAACGGTTCTGGTCATGGGCTCCAGCAATTGTTCGAGGTTGTCAGCCAGTTGCTCTGGTTCCTGCGGAACATTGAGGACCGCAGTCATGCGCAGCTCGAGCGAGGTGGAAATGTGCTCGGCGCGGGTTTCACTCCTCTTGGAGGCGACGATATCGTGAAGTTCGTGCTGCAGCTCTTCGACCGAGGCGTTTCCGCTTGTGACAGCAGATCGGGGCGCGTCGCTGCCACCCACGCTGATGCCGTACTGACTAAGAAGGACATCCATGGTGCATGGATTGATGCGACACTCTCATATCCGCCGCCCACTCCTTTGCGACGTCGTGGGCGCAGTGATGGCCGTCGGTTTCCTGCTTGTTGGGCGAATTGCGCACGTCACGCCAGCGCCGCGATGGGGGTCTACACACCAGTTGGTACCTGGACGCGCTTTAGGGACAAATGATTTTATTGGGTTGAGTGCTGGCCAGCCACCTGATCCACTAAAGTGAACTCTTTGCTTTCAAAAATAGTGCGGGGAGCTGCCGATCTGCAAGTTGGCAGGCGCACAGGCGGCGAGGGTAGCGGGCAGATCCCTAATAAAAGTACGTACTACTCGGTTGGCTTTATAACGAAACGTCAATGCTTGGAAGGTCAAAGTTTATTATAATTCGCTTCTCATGACTTTTGGTGTAACCTGTAATAATCGACTATTATGTTGTCCAATGTGGAAATATTTCAACATTTTCAAAAAAGATTACTCACTTCTGTCACCAACCAACCATGGGTAAATCCAACACACAATTTGTGGTGTACGTCCTCGGCTGCTGAAAATGTCCATTTTGTTAATTGGTGATTTCGTCTTCATTTTCATGTTGCAATGCCAACTCACTAACTAACTTGAATGGAAATATATCTCCGAGTAATGCTCCTTCCTGCTCTTATCAAGGTCTGCGATCTCGGTCCCCCCAAATCTTTTAGAATCCTCTGCATCCAACTACTGTACACTAACTCATACCCCCTTACTCCTGCTTTGTTGTTTCGTTGTTATTGGGCGTTTGAGTGGAGATCACTTCGTGGTTGAACGAAAGCCATTGATCCAAATTTTCAATGGCATAGTCGACACTTGCAACTTTCACCGAGTTACTACTACTCATTTGTGTCTATAAGTAGGTTCACCTGAGTGGGTTTGACTTTCTTCTAGCCGTCTTTCCAGAAGTCTGACGTCTACGGCCCTCGTGGTCACGCGACACTGACGACCACCAGCCACAATTGTCCTTTTGTCATCCGTCGTCTTGTTTTATCTTTGTCAGGAATCGGATCAAGACAAAGAGCCTTGGTCTGTAACCAACCCGGTCATGGTTTCTTAAGACTATTATCATCATCGTCCTTTCAATATGAACGACAAAACTTCAGTCATGAGTAGAGCGCCGGTCTCTCGGTCTTTTGGGGCCCTGGAGACACCGGGGTCCAGTCAAGAGGGGCTGGCCCATACATTAAAGAAACGCTCAAAGAACAAACAACCAACAGAACCCATATCACCGCCACAACCGCCCACCTACTACCTTCACTTCATATGCGGCCATCACATTGTTCACAACCCAGACGTGACCGTCACTCTCCGAAAAAAGACCACGTGGGAGCCCGAGACCTCGGGCAACGTCTACAATGGTAAGTCGGCGCAGATCTTCTGTCCCGATTGTGCCTCCTCGCTAAGCCGGGTGACGGGCGCTCACCACTCCTACTTCTTCTCCTGCGGGCACATTGAGAGCTCCGACGAGGCGCTGCAAATGTGGTGGGCGCTGCAGAATGTCGGTCTGTTGGCCCCCGGTGAGCAGAAGCTCAACATGGACTGCCGCAGCTGCGAGAGCCATGACAGTAGCCTGGTGAGAAACTTGCTCGAGAGCTGGAGTCGCAGCTATACAGACACGACCAATGGTAGCGGTAATGGCGCTGCCTCATATAGTCGGGGACCCGTCCGGATTGCTGAGCTCGCCAGGGCCCTATCCTATGCTCAGCGCAGCCGGCGAAAGAGCCCCGACTCGTGGCGAGAATACCGATGGCTCTGGGCGCAGACTTGCGCAAGGTCGATCACCCACGCTGAACTTTTGCGTTTCCTGCGCGTCGTCGAAGAGCTTTGGGGCCCCGACTTCATGCTCGAGGTGGGAAGCGCCGTGGGGCTCGAGTATCTCTCGCTCCTGCGCCGTCGCATCGATGCCGACGTCCACAGCGCCACCAACCACGTCCCTGGGGCGGACAAGGTATCCTCGCGCGTCGGGCTAATCAAGACGCTGTGGGCGAGCCTGGATGAGATGTTTGTTGGATTAAAAGGGTGTCTACAAAGTGCCAGCAGGGAGGGGAGATCCCTCACGTCTCTGATTTCCTCCAGACTGGGCCACGAGGATCTTGATACAACTATCTACCATCTTTTCGAGGCAGGAAGAGCACTGCAAAATGCCACTTTGAAATCGTGGGGCTCTACGAGCTCGGCTGTGAGCGTAGAAGAGGCTGAACTTATCAAGATCTCCGTTAGGTTAGATGCTTCTATGCGGAATGTTGACAGATGGATGATCAAAGCACCGGACCCAAATGCACGATTGGATGAATTGATGCACAGCATTTCACATGGCAGAAAGGCGGCATTGCGATTATGGATTGGGAACATGGCCTTGATTCATGATATGGTGATGAAGGCCCAGGCGAGGAAGGAGGTGAGTCGAGTTCATAGTCCAACAGTAGCTGAGCCAGTGTTCCAGCCTGTCAATAAACCCCCAAGTCGTTAGCATGTTCAATCTGGGAAGTCGGTAGACACACTCTATTACAAAGCAGGACATCAAGTTCCGCCATTTAGCTCATCAAACCCAGCAAAGTAGGTAGTCATGGAGGCGCCCTGTGCAGCCTCTTTTCAACGCCTAACACCAATCTGACCTCTAATCCATGCAAATCGTGCCCTTGGAAATTGTAATGTCACAAGCTAGCTTTCGGCCCACTCTTCGAGTCTTTCAATCAAGTCCGCCTTCTTGCCCTTGACATCCAAGCCCCGTGCGGTGAGAATAGCCTTCAGTTCGGGGACTTTTAATTTTGACAATTCACCGCTCTCAACCATCTTTCTCAACGCAGCATCGTTGACAGCAGAACTGTCACCGCCATTAGCAGGCTTGTCGGCAGCCTTGCGCGGCCTTTTAGCTGGCCGAGGTTCGTCTTCGTCTTCAGCATCGTGGTCGCGCTTGATAGCCTGCTGATCTTCGTACTTGGACAGCTCTTCGTCAGCCGCCTTGGCCCAGTCTTGCATATAGCCACCGACGCGCTTGTGGATCTGTTTTACCTTGGGCCTTGTCTTGTCTTCTGGCTTTATCTTGTCCGGGTCGTATTCCTCATCCAGTGCCAAGAGTTGCAGTATTCTGTAGTGCCACTGGAGAGCCGGGTTTGGATACGCAAAAGGGTCGTATCTAGCTGCCGGCAATTGTAGGTTTCGCACGATGTTGTTCATCACATCGATCATCAGGCTCGTCGCGCGAACCAATTTGGTCTCTGGCGCGGGGCGAACATCATCGGCAAAAGGGATAGGGCATAGCCATAAACCAGCCGGTAGATACTGTGTGCCAGAGCTATCGTCGTCGGGACCTCTCGATGGAATGATTGCCACTAGAGTCGGGTTTCCATTCTTTCGAGAAACATGCCAGGCAATGCCTATTTTCTGGGACTTGAGCAGCTTCTGCCACAGAGCCGAGAAAACACGGGTTGAACCAACATAACCCGCTTCGTTGGGGTAAATGAAAATACCCTTCTTGAGAGACATCCAGAAGTCCAGGAGAGATCGATCCTTGAAACCAATGATACGAATTACCGGGTCTCCCCATTCCTTGATATCTTTCAGCTCCTCTGGGCTGAAATAGACATGCTCGCCACCAAATTTGTAGGCTCTCCTCATCTCGTCTTTGCCGACACTTCTTAAATCATCTTCTGCCATGCGAGTGGTTGAGCTGGTGGCAAATTGTGCCTTCTCTCCATCAAGCCAGACGTAGCAGGACCTTGCGGGCGACTGTTTCTGCAAGATATTGTAACCATTGACAGAAATTACCATGCCTGGACCAAGCTCAAAGTTCATCTTGGAAAAATATGCCCGCTTTGGTGTCTGCTTCGAGTTGATATTCTTGATCAACGAGTCCAGATCTCCTAGCTTTGTTGAATTCAAGCGAGTAGGGTCTATGGCTTCGTAGGTAGTATCGATGTGAACAATGCTCTAATCATCATAAGCTAAAACCCGGACGGGACATGTGGTGCCTGTGACTTACATCGTAGAACTTGGTGGCATCGAATTTGGCATCGTCATGAACGATGGGGAAAATCTCGATGCTGGCACCTAGCTCGTACAAATCATTTGCCCGGGTAGCCGCGGAGTTGGCAAGGGACTTGTCGCCGGGATGAGGGTCATCATTGTCAGTGATGATGAAAAGCCGCCGCGAACCAAAGTTGGGTGCTTTTGTTGTAAATATTTGGTTGGCGCAAATGATGAGATCCTTGATCTCAACGGGTTCTGTAGTGGAAGGAACCAGGACCTCGTCTTCATCTTCTCCATCCTCGACAAGGCTCCGCAATTTCTTGACATCCTCTGCGGAGGGGACATCCAAGGGCTGATACACATAGCAATGCGGGTAAGAGACTGTGGTTACCCTGCCTTCATATTCAATGAATTTTGACTTTTGGGTTCCGAAGAGAATTATGCCCATCTGGTCCTTGGGGTTGGAAATTATACGCTGCTGCATAATCTTGTATGCCGACTTTAAGGCAGCTATAGCAGCGCAGTCGCTACTAGCCTTTTTGTCATCCGAGGGCTCTGGCGGCTCCAGCATGGACTTGCTAATCTCAATGCCGAAAATCAACGCATCCTTTTGCGCCTTGTAGGACTATGCGATGATGAGAGGGGGTTCTTATGTGTCAATTGATATCAGTGCAGCTTACAGATTCATCGATGGCCTCATCCTCGGACTCCTCGTCCTCTTCGCGCTTGTAGTTGTAGCCAGACATGATGCGATGAATTGGTGGCTGCAGTATTTCTTGCAGTTTCGCGGTTGACAGAATTACAACATTGAAAGAAGTCAAGGTCAATATTGGCCTTTTTTATGTGCAGGCATGGAAAGAATTGTATAGATTGCTGGGTGTCTGTCTCCCTTGGCACGTGGTGGATGCCTTGGAGCTAGGGGACTATCGCCAGGCAACCGCGTCGATTAAGCATGGGGAAGTCGCCAGAGACGCGAAGTCAGGTGACTTGTCTCAGGCCGGTACTGCGACTTTGATTGAAACCAATGCGGAATTGTTTCCAACAATGAAGCGCTAGTGTTTTGTGTACTGCACATCGACCTGGCATACAATCACACTTGAGGTCGTACCTTTTTCATGGTTATACTTGCAAATTCGGTCTCCCGATCGTGGAAATCAATTACTACTATTCATCGTATGATAATATTAGTAGGTCTTATTCCGAACAGCGCTATTTCTTGCATGATTCCACACATAAGCTGTTAATACGCCGCCCGGCAATTCGAAGCTCTGACAAATGGTATAAAATGATTGGTTCGATTGATCGGTAAATCGGGACCAACCTCGATCTGTACTGAATATTCCTCGGATGAACTAGCACTAGCGGCGGACGGTCGCAGGCTGGAAGTTTCGGACGAACAGCAAATCAACCCCCGGAGGCCATGCATCATCATTATTATCCATGACCTCCCCCGACGAGCTGCTGACAGGCGTGTGAATACTTCATAATATTTCACTTTCCCAAAAAATTGTATATACTGCCAGTCTACCTCGGTCAATTTCTTTTCGATTTTCTTTATAATTGTCTGGCCTAATTACGAATTGAGCGTTCGTCCCCGTCCTCGTTTCACGTATCCCCAACAGAATGTCCCTGAGGCATTCCGCGGGTCAGCTCTCCAAGAGAGCTGCCACCTGTTCAGCTACAACCCGAGCTGCTACGTCGCAGACCCGACACTTTGCAACTCCCGTGCCGCCGGTCACTCAGAATGCAGTAGGCTCCAAGGGCCCGACCGCCATGGTCTTTATGAACATGGGCGGTCCCTCGACGACTGGAGAAGTTGGCGACTTTCTAAGTCGACTGTTTGTATGTCTCTCCAAGTTATTGCGCACAGGCACGGATAATGCTTACACGTTGCCCTTCAGTCAGACGGCGACTTGATCCCTCTCGGGCGCCTTCAGAACTATTTGGGCCCGCTGATCTCGAAGCGACGAACACCCAAGATCGAGAAGCAATACGCCGAGATTGGTGGCGGATCACCTATTCGAAAGTGGTCGGAATACCAGAGCGAAGAGATGTGCAAGATTCTGGACAGGATATCGCCCGAAACCGCGCCTCACAAGCCCTACGTGGCCTTCCGCTATGCCGATCCTTTGACGGAAGAAATGTACAATAGATTGCTCGCTGATGGTTTCGGCAATGGCAAGGGAGGCAGAGCGGTAGCCTTCACACAGTACCCACAATACTCGTGCTCGACAACCGGTAGCAGTCTCAATGAGCTGTGGAAGTGGCGCCAGAGGCTAGAGGGCAAAGCCGGACCCGGCACGATACAATGGAGTGTGATTGACCGATGGCCGGCCCATCCGGGACTCGTCGAAGCATTCGCAAGCAACATTGAGAAGACGCTTCTGGAGTACCCGGAAGATAAGAGGAGCAAGGTTGTGCTGCTCTTTTCGGCCCATAGTCTCCCTATGTCGGTCGTGAACAGAGGTATGTCGTGGCAAATTATTGCAAGGTGAACCCAAAGTACAAATGTGCTGACTTGGTGCATCAAAAGGCGACCCTTACCCTGCCGAAGTGGCAGCTACAGTCTATGCTGTCATGCAGCGGTTGGGCTTTTCAAATCCATACAGATTGTGTTGGCAATCGCAAGTTGGTCCTAGCGCATGGCTTGGACCTCAGACAGCAACATCAGTGGAAGAATATGTTGCCAAGGGCCAAAAGGATCTCGTCTTGATCCCTATTGCCTTCACTTCGGACCACATTGAGACGTTGTACGAACTTGACCTCGAGGTCATTGGCGAATCTGGTCACCCCGACACGGTCAAGCGCGTGGAGAGTCTGAACGGAAACCCCATCTTCATCGAGGCTCTGGCCAATATTGCCAAAGCCCACCTGGATAGTGGTGTTCACTGTTCGTACCAAATGGGCCTGAGATGCCCTGGATGCAAGAGTGAGAAATGCGCCGAGTCAAAGAAATACTTTGCCAGCCCACAGAACGCCTTTGCGGTATGATCAGCAGTGGCACAAAACTCTTCTCCAGGACAAACGTGTATCCTCGCGCCAGAATACCAACGGGGCGCATTGTATTAGAAGCTGTATAATACTGTGGTGTAGCTTAGCAATCGCATTGGAAATCCAAGCACGAAGCAAAAAGTCTAGACTTTATCAATGTGGAGTGCAGATCATACTATGTAGAGTTTGGCAGAGACGCTACTGTATCACCAAGCACAGAGCAGAACCTACGATAGATAGGCTTGAGCTGGGTGCCTAATCCAAGTATGTGCCTTGCTGCTTTATTTTAGACAACAAGAAACGTTGAGACTAATCAAATTCATCGTTTTGGAGACCTTTGCTGGAGGACCTTGAATGGAGTTGTCGGGGCCCGATGGACGCGGCTGACAAACCAATGTCCATTTTGTTGGCACAAATGTTGGTTCCGAGGTCTGTCGACGAATCGTTGCGTCATTGACTCGTTTTGTTGTGCCACACCCACACAACCACCACGTCGCTTGAGCGTGTATGATCGCAGTAACCACGAATCAAATGTGCTGCCTGACTTTTGCTTCATGCAGGTTAAGATTCATCTATTGCCCTTCAGAAACATGGTTTGCGGGACGCGCGGGATGTCCATTTGCACCTTGAATTCAATAATACATGGAGCTTCTAGCCAGCTTCTACTACTTAGCTTCGGGTACTTTTCTCGGTGATTCAGTGATGATTAATGGGAAATTAGCAACAATGATCAATATAGATGGTCCGAGGCTCCGACCTGGAACAAAATGATAACGTGAGATACAACGGTGAGAGGATGGTGATCTTGGGGGCGCTTCGAGGCTTCTAGCTTCCGGTAGGATCAGCACTCTCTTCCCGGGTCTCTCTTTGCTGGCAATCCAGTGATCAGTCGGCCTCAGACTGCCACGTTTAGCGGCTGCTTCCAGGGGGGGCCGTTCCTTTTGTTCCTTGAAACCCCACGGATTCCAGGCTATTGGAAGCCAGCTAACGTGTTGGATGACCTGAATTAGCATTAGCGTAAGCTTTTGGGGTGCGCTGCCACACCACACCTTCCGCTTTTTCACTATCGCATCGCCCAGGCATTTTGTCGATTGATCCACTCCCCCCAAAGCAACCTGAAGCCCATGTCCAAGCCCAAGAGCATGGGAATCTTGCGAATGGATTGAATTGCCCACTTCTGGGAACTTCTCCCGTAAGCCACACACTGGGTTTTCCGGCTTCTGCTTGCTGGGCTGCCCTGTACAAAGTACGTTTCGTGTGCTCACAAGTTATGCTTTCATCGGACATGACATTGACCATCGCCCACGCGCCGGATCTATTACCCCGGTACTAGCCACACACTCCTACTTCTCAGGCAGTTTGACTTGTCTGTCTACCTGTCATGCGCTGTATATTGCGGAGACATCTGCTGTCCATCCGACCCCGTACCTATCTTTCTTGTTATCTTGGATAAGCGTCTGCGGCTTGGGAATTGTGGTGTCTCTCCCTCTTCGTCTCTCCTCTGCTCACTTGTTTCTTATTTCTCAAAATCCCATCTTCATCGCTTCCGTTGCAGAGACCGCCAGTCCTTCCCCGTAATGCGCTTCTCGATATATTGAGCATCAACCTAAGCGTCGGCTCGAGGCGTTGTGCCTAGTAGGTAAATATACATGTGAGCTGCGGCTTCGATTGATAACGCATATCGATATCGCAACCCCGGCCGGCACCACGCATTGTGTCGTCATCCGCTTGGAGCTCTTTGTATTCCCGAGGCTACTCTAAGCGTACAATCGGAGAAGATATATATATCTTATTACACAGTCTCAACTATCAGCATGACGAGCGAACGACGACCCGGCAAGTCCGGGGACGGCGAGATCATCATGGTCGACGAGGAAGTGATGGACGCAGGATCTCGAGAGACCTCACCACTGCTCGGCGCTGGCGCCTCACCAGATGGCAGTGAAAGACGACTCAGTCAGGAATGGGATGGCGGTGATGATTTCAAGCACTTACCGGCGTGGCGGCGTCCGTCTGTACGTTACCTTATCAGCGCCGGCCCGATGCGCTCAACGCGCCAACGGTGCAGCTAGAGCTTCCCGCGCGTATGGTGTTTCGTGGTTGGTACAGCAGGTGCTAACTCAACCCGCCAGGTACTCTGGCTCATCGGACCTTTTTTCTTCTTCACACTCGCCTTTGGCGGTGTCATTGTACCAAAACTAAACTTGTGAGTGAGCCAACCTTTTCGAGTATAAGAAGGGGATTTAATGAATATGGTGGGAAAGAATTGTCGACCTTGTCTGCCGCAACTATTTTGCAGACGAGTCACTCAAAAATCCAGCCTTCACATTCTCGCCCGTGATCTTGGGAGCTGAGAATCCGCAATGTAACATACCTGCGGTGCAGAAGAATGTTTCTATATTTACTCTTACCCTGAGTGTCTTGGCTGGTGTGTTGAGTGCTCTCACGGCGCCAAAGCTGGGATCACTCTCAGATCGCTATGGCCGCACCCGTCTTATTGTCGTCGCATCTTGTGGTGGCGTGCTCAACGAAATCATCACCATCTTTGCGGCAAAGTACCCAAACTATATCGACTACCATTGGTTGATTCTGGGATCCTTCTTTGACGGTCTTTCCGGGTCCTTCACAGCCGGTAGCATTCTCAGCTCCTCGTATACCAGTGACTGTACGCCACCATCGAGGCGTGGTGTTGCCATTGGGTACCTGCATGCTTGCCTGTTCACCGGGCTTGCATTTGGGCCTCTCTTGGCTGGCTACTTTGTCAAATTTACCGGATCACTACTATCCATCTTCTATGTCACACTGGGTTGTCATATATTCTTCATCTTCTTCATCCTCTTCGTTACTCCAGAGTCCTTGTCTCAGAAGCGGCAGATGCTGGCTCGCGAGAAGCACCAACATGAGCAGGAGGAATTGGCACAGCGATTGCGCTCCCGCCTTCACCTCCAGAGTACTGGCTTGGCGTCACGGGCTGCCAGTTTCCTGAGCGACTATCCGGGCGATTGGCTCCCGGCTCTCCTCAGCGCCAACCCTCTGGCACCGCTCAAGTCACTTGTGCCTGGCGGTCGAGCAAACCGAGCATTCCGTCGAAACATGATCATCTTGGCCTGTCTCGATGCGGTCATTCTATCAGCAGCCATGGGCTCAGGAACTGTCACCATTCTTTACACCGAGTACATGTTTAATTGGGGCAACTTTGAGGCATCTCGGTTTGTCTCACTTATAAGCTTCATCCGTGTCATTGTGCTACTCGGCATTTTCCCTCTGGTCAACTGGTTTTTCCGAATCCGGCCTCTGCAGCGCCAGCGCCGCGAGAGTGGAGTGGAAGCTGCGGAAAGAAACAGCGGTGCAGACAAGGTGGATGTTTGGATGCTACGAGTGGCCCTCACCGCCGAGGTCATCGGCATCATGGGCTACATCTTTGCGCGATCCCAGGCCGTTTTCGTCTTCAGCGGTGTCATCACAGCCATTGGTGGTCTGGGCGGCGCTGTTGTCCAGAGTACAATCACCAAACATGTGCCAGCCCAGAATGTGGGTGCCGTCCTCGGTGCTATTGGGTTGCTTCATGGGGCGGGTCGTGTGTTTGCGCCCATGATCTTCAACGGGCTGTATGCGGCGACGGTGGAGACCTTTCCGCAAGCATTCTTTGTGCTACTCGCTTCGCTCTTTGGTCTTGCCTTGATGGGCAGTCTTGTTGTTCGACGTGGCTGTACGTTTCCCCTCCCAACAAACCTGACAATCAGTATACTAACCCGCCATAGTATTCCTACAAGACGAAGACGACGAGCCGGTTTACTCCCCGTCCTCTGGTGCTACTTCTGAGCCGGAGCAAAGGGAAATCAATGAAGAAACCGTGACCGAGGCAGATGTGGCGAGCGAGGCTTTGCCCCGAGTTTAGTATCATATATCGGCTTGTTTACATGTATTATTGACATATCATCTAGAGCTACAGTGTACTGAACACACATGTAGATGGCATCATAGAGTCCTCAGAATTGAATTACAAGCTGGATTGACAGCTGGCGTCCGCGGCGCTTTACACGTCACGAAGATACCTGGGCAGCACTCGTCATATTGAACGTCTCCAACTGGATACTTTATGCTGACAATCTCCCCGTTGAATTCACTTGACTATGTAATCTGGTCGGCTGATGATGGGGGTTTCATATTTATGCCACATGGTATCCTGTCTGTTGTAGAAAGCGCGTCTTGTTCTAGCAACCAACTTTGATTTTTATACTATGTCGTCCTCTTCCCAGAAAGAAAAGCTCACCCTTTTGGGACTTGTCCCTAGAGGTACTTCGGATGCTATAGACCTTTTCCGCACTGTTGGGGATTGGGTCCCTTTTCTCAAAATCGAGCTAATGGCACGCCTTATTTGGCCTGGGGGCTGGTCTTTCTGTGCCTGAGGCGTCCCGAGCCTTTCCTCTCCTTGGTGCCTCTCGACGATGGCACTATGTTGGGGCGACGCGAATCTCATGGGGATAGCTAGTTGGTCGGGGGCCTCTTGCACCAGCTCTGCGCCCGGCTTTTCGACTTCTTCCAGCAACTCGACTGCGATACGGGCGCCGTTTCCCAGCTCGCGAGCGAGCATGGCAGCGCAGAGGCCGGCCATCTCCTCTCGTACCGACTGTGCATGAAACCATTCACACACGGGCTCTTTCAAGGAGCTCTCAAAGCCCTGTCCTTGGAGACGCAACTTCGTCATCTTTTGCATGAGCTCGTAGAAAATGGCATAGCACCGCAACCCGCAGCTCCAATCATCCTGTTGTTTTGTAATCCAAAAGTTTCTGAAAAGTTGCGAGTCGCTCGTGGCAAAGTCGCACGATTGGAGCAAACGCCAAATCCGGTTGTGCACGCCATAGTTCCTATACATGTCGCGCTCCGGATCCGCGACAGTGATGCAGTCGACACGGTCAAAGTGCAGACTCCTGGCGTCGGTCTTGCCCATCTGGAGTACCACGGCTACCCAGTGTGTTCCCGTGTTGATGGGCCAAAAGGTGAACTCGCGACTCTTGAAGCCGTCCAACAGGATAAAGAAGCGGGTCGAATCCAAGGGGGAGACTTCGCCTGCCTTGTCTTGAAGTCGGTGAAAGAGGCCCTCGCCTGCACTCGTGGTGAACAGGTTGATCATACCCTGCACTTCGAGGGGTTGTTGCCGGTAGCGGAACTCGATTGGAACGTCGACGGCGGATCCACACAGCCATTCTTGATCCCCATTCTGCAGGTTTTCGAGGCCGAGAAAAGCGTCATGCGTGGTCATGTTCGATATGGTGATTTGGGCGCCATTGATATCGCGATGCCGTCGCCTCTTGGTTTCGCCGTGGCAGAGGATCGTTGCGGTGCCGGGGACAATGAGCGGTGTTGTCTCGGCTGGATCTGGGTCTTGTCCGGACATGCTTATTGGTTTCCCATTAAACAATTTGGTGATCTGTATGACATATTGAAAAGAGTCGGAATCAACAAACAAAAGGGAGAGGAGGGAAGATGTTCAAAATCTCACTGGTTGAGAACATCAAACGCTGTTTGAGGAACAATGGTATGGACTTGCTCGGTTGGCGGTGCGGCAGGAACAAAGCATTGCTACTACTAGCTCATCAAAGAGATATGTCGCCCTTTCCTCTTCGACAAGAGATTTCAAAAAGACGACATGCAAGTATTAAACTCAAGCTTTAGCGGATGGTTACCTAATTCAGTTGTTGTTATTCTCGAATGCCCTCTCCCAGGTCACTACTAAATACTGGCATGATTGTTCCCACGGTTGTATTTGCTCTTTATTGCAGAATTAAATTATTACACTAATAAGAATTTGAAAGCTATTAGAACATGTGATCATTTAAATATTTATTATTATAAAAACCTGTCTTTATAAGTCGTCATACGTTGTGTATTCCGAAAAGAGAAAGTTGAGCGCAAAGGGAGAAAGTACTCATTCTGTGGAATCTTCAATTCATGGTACAAATACACACTTTACTTTGCACAACACAAGCAAGTATGATGTTTTCATTACTGTTCTTTCTCCTAGTCATTTATCAAGTTGCATCCCATTGATACTATGAATGCAGTACAATTGTCATGGAGCTTGTAGGATGCCAACATTGAAACATTCAATATTATGTAAGGTTAGGTACAGAGTACACAGGTACCAGCCGCTCCACACTTACACACTCTATACAATAGTGGGGTTTCATTCCACTTTACACGACGCGACGCGTCCCACTCTGTTATTCCTGACCCTAACCAGAACCTTGGTGAAGAGCACATACATGAAAGTACATACAGCTTTCCGTACAACCCGCTCAATGCTGAATACTTTTAATTAAGAGTATTGGTGACTCTCCAAGACCAAGAAAATACGCCATGATTACGGCCTCGTCGCCCGTCGTCTATCCCCCCAGCTCTTCGCCGCCGCCAGCGAAACGACCGAACCCGGGGCGCGATCCCAAGTCGCGAACGCGCGGGAAAGCTGGGTTTCTAATCGACGATGACTCCGACGAAGAGGAAGAACCCGCTGCAAAGCGTCGCATGCTCAGCAGTCCTGGCAATAATGCCACGGCCGATTCGACACAGCCATCGTCTCCTCCAGCGCCTTTAGAGACTGAGACTAGCGCGCTGGACAAACAGCAGACACACGCACAGAATGCGACAGAGACCTGCGACAGTGAGGCCCCTGGTTTATACGGAGATGTCTCGCTCGAGCAATTGTTGCGATCAAATCACCTTGCGTCATCACAACCGGACATAATTTCGAGACAATCGCATCCGGGATTCAAGATCAGAAGTTGCTCCGGCAAAACTGTTGATGTGAAGATACGGAAAGCCTCCTCCGCTCCTTCGTATGAAAGCATGGTCGCCTCCCGCTCCAAGACCAAAGAGGGCCGAGCAAAACGCGCATACTATGGCATCGATGTCCACGAGCTGGTCGCCGCTGCCAAGCAGGAAATCGAAGCAACCAAGACAATCCAAGAGAACGCGACGCCAGATGATCCCATGCCGTCTATCGAGGCACCGACAACAAAGAGCTCAAAAAAGACATTACTATGGACGGAGAAGTATCGGGCTAAAAAGTTCATCGATCTTTGTGGTGACGACGGAACCAACAGGCACGTGCTACGCTGGCTAAAGCGTTGGGATCCCCTTGTTTTCCCAGGAGCTGCCCGGTCACGACCTTCAGGAAGGAGAATCCAACAAGTCGAAGAAGAGAAGCCGCATCGCAAAATTCTTATGCTCACTGGCCCGCCCGGTCTGGGCAAGACCACATTGGCTCACGTTTGTGCAAAGCAGGCAGGGTACGAGGTTCTCGAGATCAATGCAAGTGACGACCGGAGTAAGGATGTTGTCAAGAATCAAATTCGGACAAGTTTGGGTACGGAGAGCGTCAAGACAGTCCAGCACAAGAAAATTGAGGCAGATGAACAGCCGAAGATTGCGCGTCCAGTCTGCGTTGTCGTTGATGAGGTTGACGGTGTTGTTTCTGGTTCTGGCGGCTCCGGAGACGGAGGTTTCATCAAGGCCCTCATGGATCTGATCAGCTTGGGGGAGAGAAATAGCTCTGGTCAGGCCGCACAAAACACTGGGCGCAAGCAGAAGAAGACCGACGACTTTCGACAGATGCGACCTCTCATCCTTATCTGCAACGACGTTTATCACCCCTCACTCCGTCCCTTACGCCAATCTAATCTTGCCGAGGTTATTCATGTTGGAAAGCCTAGCATAGACTCCGTGGTCAACCGTCTAAAGAGCGTGTTTGAGAAGGAAGGCATTCCTTGTGAAAAAGATGCGGCACGTAAACTCTGTGAAGCAGCTTGGGGCATGAGCAGTGGGATGGATGCGAAAAAGGGGGCACAGAGTAATGCGGAAGGTGATCTAAGAGGAATCATGGTGGTTGGAGAATGGGTTGCCGGCCGATTGAAATCCGCCTCACTGGAAGGACAGCTCCGCCTAACACGGCAATGGCTCGAACAGCATATTGTTCATGATTTAGCACACGGTGGAGGTGGAGCACGAGGATTGGGGCGAGGAAACACCAAGGATATCGTCACGCGAATCTTTCAAGAGGGCGCGGGCTTTCCAAAGGGCACGCTGACCATTGCCAAGTCGGCAGCACCACTTGGTGAACAACCACAGGCTCAGCTCAAGTTCTCTGAGCAAACCAAAAAGTATGCCATGGAAAGACTGAGGGAGATGGTTGAGACGAGTGGCGACGTTGACCGTGTCGTGACGGATATTTTCTCCGAGTACCCAAACCACGAACTCAACGATGACTTTTTCCTTACCAAGCCGAACGAGGCATACGAGTGGATGCACTTCCACGACGCGTGTTCTTCGAGGTTGTTTGGAAGCCAGGACTGGGAGTTGGCGCCGTACATCAGCCAGCCAGTGTTGGCTTGTCACCATCTCTTTGCGACACCGACGAGGCATTCCCAGTTGATGTATCAGAAACGTGGACAGGAGGAGGACGAAGCCCCTCCACTTCCATTCTCCGGGCCACGTGCAGACTTCTCGGCTCATGAGGCTGAGAAGAGCAACCGCGCCATGCTCCAAGAGATGCATGCTCACCTAGCGCCAACACTCATGCGCTCATTCCGCAGCGTTGAAGACATTGCCACTGATTTCATTCCGTATCTGGCGCGACTGGTCTCGCCAGATGTGAAGCCGGTTGTCGTCGGAGGTAGTGGCGATCAGAAGGGAACAGCCAGCGTCAGGAAAGAGGCTGAGAAGTTGATGGTCAAGCGTGCAGCAGATGCAATGCTGGATGTGGGCATTGCCCTCCAGCGTGGAAAAATCGAAGGCGACGCTTTCACACGGCCGGTTTGGGTATATCGAATGGAACCGTAAGTCTCGAAAGGCACAGGTGAAAGAGACTAGTATGACTGACAAGTTTTAGTGACCTTGATGCCTTGTCCACGTTTGAGACTTCGGCGGCGGTCCTTCACGGCACACAAGCACCGACTCGATATGCAGTCCGCCAAGTGGTCGATCAGGAAATGCACAAGGTATCAATTCTGCGGGAGAATACGGCAAGACAGGCTCGATACAAGGCTGGAAACCCTCATGAGGCAGAAGACTTTTCGTTTGAAAGCAAAGAGAACGCAAAGCCAAAAGGGCCTATTCTGCCTATAATACCTGTCAAGAAGGATTTCTTTGGCAGAGTCATCAAGTCGGATCCCAAGCCACTGCAGGAGACAGATGGTAACAGCAATAAGAAACCCAAGGCAAGCGACAAACTTGGACAGGGAGAGCAAAAGGTTTGGGTAACATTTCATGAAGGTATGAATAATGCCGTCAGAAAACCCATCTCCTTGGATGAGTTGTTACGAGGTCTGTAATGAGCATGAACAATGTTTTGGAGTCTGTTGGCGATGGGGCCACGATGTAGCATTTAGCATTGGAGTAACTGGTGAAGATTTGATATGCCCAAAATATATGACAGAATACCAAATATGAAGCATAAGTATCCAATTCGATAATTTTTCTATATTTTGTTTTTAATCGTGGTTGAATTGTGGTGATGAAATAAGGTATCCGCTGAAGCATTCGCAAGCCGCATTAAAACCATCACGTCATGCTTCAATCGAGAAAGTACTTGGGTATCCACCACGAAATGATCGCACTCGATACCTGTCATCTAGACAGCTCATCACAGCATAACCAACCGCCATGATAAGTAAAAGAGCCGGCCAACTCATTGTCAGTCCTTTTAGTGCATTTACAAAAAGAAACATGAGCTCCAAGCCAGAAGGACCGATTCACTTTGGACCTTTTGAGGTCACCACTCAGGTAAGCACAAGCTTCATGAATGAAGTGTCAATAGCGTATCTCAATGGGCATTGAGCGACGAGAGTGGCCATTCAAGAAGTGACTTTTACGACTTGTTTCTCAGAAGATTCAAACTTACGAGGCTCAATAGGTCTTCATGACTACGCCACATTCATTTGCGCTGGTCAACATCAAGCCCCTGATTCCCGGCCACGTCCTCGTGGTACCGCACAAGCCCTACAAGCGGCTTACGGATCTGTCACCGCCCGAGCTGACGGACTTGTTTTCCACGGTACAAAGGGTGCAGAGAATGCTGGCGCGACACTACTTCACTTCACCTGCCTCAACCTCTGACGCGGATCAAAAGAAGCAGTCTCGACAGCAGCAGCCCGCCCCAGCAGGCACCCCCGAAGCCGGCTCCTTCAACATTGCCATCCAGGACGGCACCGAAGCCGGCCAGACGGTGCCGCATCTCCACGTGCACGTGATACCGCGGATCCGGGGCGCCACGGCCAAGCAGGGCGACGGCCCCGGAGACGCCATCTACGAGCTCATGGCCGCCGAGGCGGGCAACGTCGGCGGCGGCTTCTGGGACCGCTGGGCCGCCGAGGTCGGGAGGCCCGTCCCCGGGGGCAGGTTTGATCGCATCGAGGATGCCGAGCGCCAGGCTCGGTCTCTGGCTGAGATGGAGGACGAGGCCGAGGTGTTTAGGCGTGTCTTGGCCGAGCTGGAGGGGTGATCTTGTTGATGGGCGAGAACGATAATGGGGGAGTAGTGCAGAGAAAGATTCATGCAAAAGACGGTTCCGGGACGGAGAGAACTGGATCTGGTCTTGCCATTTCAACCTTTCACGTCTTGTGCCCATATATAAAGAAATTAGACCTTGCAGTTAAGAAAATATGGCTTTGAACAATGAGACGCAAAGCTTTCTCGCACGCACATATAACGTCATTCTACCTGCCACCCCCCTAATGGCACTGCCAATCGAGCATTTGGCCCAAATATGATGAGATAGCTTGTTGAAAGGAATGAATTGATTATTTAACCTATACTAGGAGACTGAGGCCCTGCCTCAGCTGCCTCGGAACTTCCTTGGGTGGCCGCACGTCGAGCTTTGGCGCCAGCCCTGAGTTGATCCCATTTCTCCCTATATCGATCAAGATATGCCCGTAATTTCGTGTTGTCCTTTTGTAGATCTTCCATTTGCTTGCTGAGCAAGACCATCTGATCCTCAAGTTCCATATTTCTCTTTCTGAGCACCTCATCGCTGCCAACTCCAGGTTTGACGGTTGAGGAAGTATTTGGTGAAGCAGGGCGCATAAGTCGCATGCTCTCTGCCAGTCGCATTCCCGAGTTCTGTGACATGGACTCAAAAGCATGTAACCTCTTGCTCAACTTATCCAATGCGTCCTTTAGGCTCGCGTTCTCGAGGCTCAGCTCTTCCACCACGTTACTCACATCCTTGCCTGCACGACTCTTTCCAGCTTTTCGCCTGAAACCAGGTGATGGAGGGCCTTGAGATTCTTTTGCGTCCACAAAATCATCCTCGTCCTCCTCTGCAACATTGCTTAATTCACCGTGTACGGACGCTTCCAAGCGACGCTTTTCCTTGTCAGCATAAGATAAAATGCTTGCGTACGAGGCCGTATGGCCGCTGGTGGGGACAACATAAAAGGAATCCGTAGCAAATCGACCATCGCGGTTCAATGCATTCATGGCAGCTTTTGAGATAATCCTATTGAGATCAGGATCCACTGAAACGGTCGCAGATGCCTTGTGCCTAAGTCGCTTTTGTACTTGTGGTTCCGGTGCTTGGGCTGGCGCGGGAGCAAGGTTGTCCTCGGCCCGATCCTCACTGATGAGAGGCAGCCCGGCAAAGGCAAGTGGTGCGGATATTCTGTTGATGATACTACCAAATGCACTGTAAAAGCTTGAGAACCCGGCATCCTGCGACGTGGATGGACTGCCGCGGGGTTTAGAGAGAACACGGTCATTGTCGCTGGAGCGCCTCTCCAAGCTCCCTTGCCTGCTGATTCTTCCAGGGGATGAAGGGCCAGGCTTATCGGCATGTTCAATCATACTCTGCATCTTTGACTTGGACCCAGATCCAGACTTTTGTAGTGTATGCGCAAGATTGCCAGGCACTTCAGTGTTTGAAACGCTCGGGTTGAGAGGCTGCGAGCGGTATTTGGATCGGGGAATACCGCGAGCAGAGGCTAGGTTGCTAGCAATCGAAGCACCGAGATCACGGGCAGGATATCTCTGCTGTTTCGGTAGTGATGGCATTGGTTGAGCAATCTTCTCGATTGCTGTAGCGTGACTTGATTCATCTCCCGGATAAGCGTTGTTGGGCGGTCTAGATACGGCAGACTCGCCCTTTTCATCAGTAGACTGGGGCGCACCATCTACGGTTTGTTGTAGCTTCGCTTCCTCCAAGGGTGCCCTTAGAAGTTCCGAAAGTCGTTGGTGATGTTGTTCAAGCAGCTTCAAAGTTCTCAGCGCCTCAACGCTTGTAGTCGTCTTGGCGGCATTCGCGAATTCGCCAGCAGCTCTAGTATGTTCGTTGATTGCGACTGTGGAGTTGGAAGCATGCGTAGCCTCCGAGGCAGCTCGCGCATGGTCGTGAGCCTTTGACCCGAACATGTCAGCATTGGAAAGGAGAAGAAGCGAGGCGACGTACCTTGATCAAGGGTGAGGCTTCCATTGCGCCGGGTGTACAAGTGATGATCGAACTTGTTTTCGAGGGGGGATCAGAGCACGCGCATCGTACGAAAGAAAGAAGAAGTCGGAAATATCGCGGCTTGGAGATGATATCTACGAAGCTTGGCTGGGAAATGACTGAGGCGTCGTCGTTTGCGACGGTGTGTCTAGGTAACGACGCCTATCACTGCACTGACTTGACTGGCAATCTGAAATGATAAGAAGTGCAGGCAGATCGGAGCAGGCATAGATGTCCAATCCGATTGCTCATATCAAGTGTGGAGGGGTAATAACTGGCATGGTTCCCCCGGGTTTGCATGCGCTAAAACAACCTGGCAAACCCGTGCTGAGTGTACTACATTATGGTGCAAAGCCCTGCCATGGAACCCAGGCAAGCACCTGGGAAGCTTGGAGCTGGGCTCAGTTCGGAATGGTGCAGTCAGTGTAAACGCGGGGAGGGGGTGGGAGGAAGCCGACAAGCTTGATAAGGCGAGTTGGCATTGAACAACCCAGCACCTTAGCTCTGGGACGGTGCTATACTACTAGATCGATTGCCCTGATTTTGACCTAGACGGAAAAAAAGGTCCATCCATCTATTCGTATGTAAAAGAGATAATAGTGTAGAAGAAAAAGTAGGTACGTATTACCGACACTCAGAAAAACATGTAGGTTAGTTATGTCATACTTGCGCGTTCGACGACTACTGACAAGTCTGGGTAAGACGGAAACTTGCAAGTACCCGCCAGGTCCGCAGACTCTGGCCAGAGAGGGTTTAGCCAGGTGCTTCGGCTATGTAATGTACTGTTCACCTCATGTACGCCCGGATCTTGGGTGGTTGTTACCTCGAGTTTCAATGTATCCAAGACGGAATAGCAACTACGGATTTTGCAGGACATCGACCTCGTTTGAACTCCTCCTGGTGCTTGATCGCTGATGCCTCGTTTCACGGCACATGCAGTACTTGGCTACCAATAGTCTGTCTCGGTTGTGCAAGGAGCTGGCGCGAAATCTGGCAAACGGACAAATAGACGACATGATGCCATGAGAGTTGCGGCAAAGCTGTTTAACTAATTCTTTTACAAACTGATCCTACCTACACATGATTCTTGTTTGCTAATACTCCGTATTTCCCACGTTCATCATCGAGTCTCGACCACCGGATCCATAATAGAATACTGGGGACTTCCCAGGAGTCACTTTCTAGTATCAATCCTTGCCGGCAGCCCGGACCAAAAAGATTAAGTCCAATACGGATGCTCTCCGGACGTGCAAAATTACATTACCTACCTCCCGTCCTGGCGTGTTTCCTGTCAAGAAATCATGACACACTAATCTGGCCTTTTTTGAGAGAACTGTTTGTTACACGGCTGCGATAGCTCTTCTTTAGCACGCAAAGTCAACGCGCATCTGTGTACAGTATACCACTACTATTGGAATTCAGCATCAAACATTTCCCAGCGGATGGGAGCTCACGTCAATTCCTACTGCACGTCTGCATTGTTGAGACATACATATCGATAGCCTCAAAAAACCCCTTTATGCGCAGTGCGTCATGGACAACGACGCCAACGGACGCAGTGTCAAAGTCACCAAGCTTCTGCCCAAAGGCCTTGCAGCTACGCGACGATGGAGGAAGCAGCCGTCAAAAGAGAGTTTTGGATCAGCAGCAAGCGGCGAGGATGGACCTCGTGGACGAAGCCCTCACAGTCGGGGTGCATTCCACGCCGACAATAGCTCCTCGGAGCACACGTCGCAAGCGCAATCGCAAGCCAGCCACTACCCAGATGATTACCGAGACGAAGAGGAAGATGGAGATGTTACCCCTGTACTAGATGATTGGGATCCTGATTTGTGAGTTACTTCATTTCACAGTAGAAAAAAGTTATTTAAAAACATACCCTCTATTCATTCCCCCCTTATTATTTTCCCGTTTATCAATTATTACTCTTCTGCCTTACCTTTGGGGACAGCTCCTGTAGGATTTGAATTCAAGCGGATTCAGGCGGATGCATGTTTGAAAGAACTGCCAAGATCGGCATGTATCACGGGCAAGCTATCTGGGTCAAAATGTGCCAAAGTAAGCCCAGCCATGCCACATTGCTTTGTTTCTTCTCACTGCAACCTGACATACCTGAGGTACCTGACCCAGGCCAGTGCCGGGGAGGAGGTCATAGGTATTTCACAAAGTGGTCGGCGGGGGACTGGTGGAAGCGAGCTCTGCAACCAAGCCGTGGGGAAACAATGCGACTCTCAATCTGCCAATGCGATTTCGAACAAAGTAGACACCTGGCCGAGCCTATTTCAAGTCATTTCTTGCATCGTCTCCATGCTTCGATGCAAGATCCCCATGAAGAATCCACAATCGGGTTTATTCATATCATACTGCATACGAAAAAGAGCCTCTGAGCCTCCAAGCCTCCCTATCGTAAGCGTTCACGATCCCTCTAGTGGATCGTGTCCGCTTTGCGACTACAATTTTAGCAGCACTTACTAGTCGACGCATTTCAAGTCTGGTCCAGCTCCCAGCACGCACATCATCATCATCATTTCATCGTTCAGCCCCCCAACCCCTATACTACGACCTACTTACTAGGTAGTTCCTTGGCCTAGGTAGCAGTAGCTGCAGAGCTGCCCCTAGCTTGGCAGTCTTGAACGTCTCCAGGTTGCTACGTACTCAAACGACCAAAATCCCCCTCCCCTCACAGACCCTTTGTTCTGGACTGTTCCAACCTCTCGTCTTTCTTTGATCACAATTATACGCGAAATCGTTGGCCTCTTCTCGAAACCAACAACAATCTTTGATTCCAGACGACGAGATCGGCGCAGCTGCTGCACTGCTCGCCTATACCATGTCATATATGTTATCCCCTGCCAGTTACATTACACAGGCACAGAAACATAGCCAGCCTGCAGTCTAATAACTTTACTGTTACCCGCTCGTCCCAAATTAGCATATAATCTGACACGGCGGGACATTTGCAGATCGCCAATCCGGCCCACCGGTCCTTCTACACACCCGTCACAAATAGGGCACCTCACAACTTCATCACCCATCATCCAAGCCGAACACGCACCCAGGGTGCACAACATCGACGAGCTGGCGAACACCGACAACGACAGTCTCTCCAGGTCGGCGACCTACTCCGTGTCCGTCTCTTCGAGCAACCTCGACGAGCCTGTAAATCGCCCAGTCTCTGCGCCAAAGGCTGGTCTGCAGCCGCCGCTAGGTGTTGCGTCTCGACGGTCCAAATCGCCCGCCGGCAGATTCAAGGACGTTTTCAAGAGCAAGAAGAACACGAGCGCAACTCCGAGCCTGAGCAGTCAAACTTCGTTCGGTATAGATCAGGCAGACTTCGTTTCCGAGAACGCATCATCCAGGCCCGCCACTAGTTCCGGGGCCGAGTTCAATGACGCCAAGGTTGCTTCCCCTGAAAGACGACGTTTGAGGACGGCCGCCACCATCGATACCACGAAACGACCACAGACACCTCCTTCAGATCAGGGAGCGCCTGCAATAGTAAACACGCCCCCGACCCCACCACCTGCTGCCCGTAATCATTCACGCGGAGCATCAGATTCGGGTCCCTTCCCGGTACCCAGTGTCACCGTCTCGCCTTCGGGCAGTTCTCTGCGACGAGCACGATCCGGTTCGGCGACCAGTCTCGGACCAAGCAAGTTGGCAAACATCACACTTCCACCCTTGACGCCAACCCCTGAGAACGGCCTTCCGCCAACTCCTGGAGGATCGGGCTTTTTCTCGTCTATGTTTTCAGCGGCACAGAACGCTACAAATACTCTGAGCAACACAGTCACCACCAGTATTGGTCTCAACAACAAGCCCAAGACCCCTATTCCCGCCGAGTCTCAAGAGGGCGACGGGGACACTACCGAAGTAGAAACAGGAACGGGCCAGTCTAGGGAAGCAAATATGGGCGAGCCTGCAGTCAAGACTCTCGGCCAGGGCGACCTGAGCCTCAGCCATTTGGGCATACAAGACAATGGCAGCGCAGCTCCCACGCCCCAACTGTCCAAATTCCCGGACCACCTCCAAGACACGAGGACGCGCTCGGAATCTGCTCCATCAGCCCCAGATGCATCTCAGAACTCGCAGCCCGCCTTGGCAGTTGACGACTCTGGATACAGACCACGATCTCTATACGAATCCACCGGCGACCGCTCCCCAACAGCCAGTCTGTACGAAGAAAAGACTGGTGGGCTTACTCGAAGTGGTAGCATTCGCAGCGCTATTGGACGCCGGAGAAAGCGAGGCAGTACTGGAGGCACAGCCGGGACAACTGGCACCACCATTGGAGCAGCCATTGCAGCTGCTAATGCCAGCGTCGCTCACCCCAATGCGGCCGGAAGTGTACCAAAATTGACAGGATTTGCGGTGGCTAGCAAAAAACGCAACCGCGATTTCCACACCCTATTTAAAAGTGTACCAGATGACGATTATTTGATCGAGGACTACAGCTGCGCTCTGCAGAGGGAAATTCTGGCCCATGGCAGACTGTATGTTTCTGAAGGCCATTTGTGTTTCAGCAGCAACATTCTTGGTTGGACCACGACCCTGGTTATGAGCTTTGACGAGATAGTAGCTGTGGAAAAGAGAAGCACTGCTCTGGTCTTCAAGAATGGTCTCATGATCTCGACGCTGCACGCCAAACATGTCTTTGCTAGCTTTACTAGCCGAGACTCGACATACGATTTGATAGTCAACATTTGGAAACTTGGACACCCGACCTTGCGCAGCTCCCTCAATGGTGTCGTACTTGAGGAAACTGGCGGTGATAAGACGGAAAAGGTCACCGACGCAGACGTACCTCTGGACCATAGCGGTTCTGGTTCTGATATCGGCGAGGAGGACGCTAGTGAAGACGGGTCCGACGACGTCTACGATGAGGACGAGGAAGGCGATGATGCCATCGAGGCTGATACTGCAGCAGAAGCCAGCATGGTCGATGCAGAGGCCGATAGAGCAGCCACTCGTAAAGCATCCGGCGCACAAGCTATCAATGGTACAGCCGAGAAACCAGCAGCCGGCGCGCCAGTGCCAGCTGGTGCAACCGACTTCCCTGGTCCGGCCACCCACGCGCCGACGGAGTGTGGCGATGCCGCAACACATTACGAAAGGCCATTGGCAGATGAAGTGATAGCTGCGCCTCTGGGCAAGGTTTATAATCTGGTCTTTGGGCCTGCCTCGGCCAACTTCATGGGCAAGTGGCTCACTAACGAGCAGAAGTGCTTGGACCTCCAGATGGACGACAAGGTTGGTCTGACACAGGACAACAAGTCTAGAGGCTACACCTACATCAAACCTTTGAATGCTTCGATAGGACCACGTCAGACAAAGTGTGTGGTGACGGAAAGCATCGAGGGTATCGACCTCGAAAAGGCTGTGAATGTCTTGGTGGTGACACAAACTCCTGACGTACCCAGTGGTAACGTCTTCAGTGTCAAGACAAAGTACTGTCTTTCGTGGGCTGAGAACAACGCGACACGTGTGCAAGTCAACTGTACCATTGAGTGGACCGGTAAGAGTTGGATCAAAGGTATGGATTCCCCGTTCCCAAGGACTTGTTCTTTCCACCTTACTAACATCGCTCAGGTCCTATTGAAAAGGGTGCCAACGACGGCCAAATTCAGTACTGCAAGGATCTATTTGGTAGCCTGAGGGCAGCCATCTCATCGCGACCAGCTGCTGCCGGTGGTGCAGGTGTCAAAGGCAACAAGAAGAAGAAGGGCAAGAAGCTGCACAAGACATCACGGGAGTCGCTCAATACAGCGGCACAGCCAGCCGCAAAGAAGATGCAAGATTGGGGTGCTTTGGAGCCACTGCATGGAATACTCGGCCCGGTGGTGGACATAGTCAAGCCCATCTTGACTGGCAATGTCGTCTACGGTTTACTAGTCGGGCTTTTGGTGGCCTCGTGGTTTGGCTTTGGCTTGAACCCGCGCAGCAATGGCGGCGGATATGGATCTGGTCTCGGCTTCCCCAGTCACTCGGACCGTTTGATTGCGTACGAGGAAATCTGGCGTAGGGAGGAGAGCGACCTATGGGACTGGCTCGAAGAACGAGTGGGCCTTCACCGGATGCATGAGGGCGCTATGCCAGTCCGAAAACATGTTGCTGAACCGCGTGTTGTAGAGGATAGGCTTCGGGAAGACAAAATGACAGGACGCGAAGTCGAGGAAGCAATCAGGGTCACGGAAGAGAAGCTGCAATTATTGAGAGAGGTGCACAACCGGAAACACCCAAAGCCGTCTGGTCAGGACAGAGTCTTCACAAGACCCACGACACAACCTGAGACGGACAGGTGATTGACAGAGGATATACAGCACGCGTAAGGCAATGCGCATATCTGGAGGGAGGAGGCAAAGTGTATACAATTGGAGTTTTAAGCGAGTCACAGTCAATCGCCATTGCGATGTCTTACCAGGCGCATGCATGCGCAGAGCACTTTTGTTTTGTACTTTTAACCTGTATATAAATAACCATTAATTGTTTTCAGGATACCGCACATAGATTGATGGTTGAGCTAAACGATCCATCATTGATTGCACTTTGTATCGTTCTGGTTGATCTCGTTTCCCAACTATCTAGCACATGACTCTCTCACATTGGCAGCACGAGAGACCGTCATGACGATACTGTACGCGGCAACAGCTGAGCACCATCAATGTACATGATCGTTTGAATATTCCGATCAAACAATCTATAGGTCCGTGCCATTGTTTTTCATTACTACATTTGACCATGTTAGCATTCCATCCATCCCATCTTCGTTGTGGCTGAGATGATTTCAACCTATCAGAAGCACCCTAACGCTCGGAAGGAGCCGATCTCCTAAAGGGTGCGCAAACCCCGATTGTGTCAAACAGCTGAGCCTCAATCAAGACATGACGGGAGTGCTTTCAAACGCGAATGGCATCATGATCTGTACCTCGTCCAGAATGAACAGATCATCTCTCTGATGCCAATCATTACATCTGGATATGAACAAGACAGAAATCTTGCAAGTTCACTCGGTCAGTTACGCAGTCAGCCCATGACCAACAACCTCGGACGTGAAAGGTCCTGCTTGCGTCGGCGCTCCAGCATATACCGTGCCTATTAAGGAAGCTATGACAAGATAGCATCCAAGAGCCACTGGGGAGCCCGCACATCTATCTGCACACACAGTTTTTGGTGGTGGCCGTTGGGTGTCTTGCTTGTATCAATCTACCGGGCACGTGTTTATCATTAAACAGGTTCCGGGAAACCCCAAAATGACCCAAAGTGGTAAAAACCCGGGCCCTGGTTTGGGCGATACTTGCAAGGACGGACAACACCCCCCACCATTCCGTACACTGCATACTATTCCACATCCACACACCACCATGACCCGCCCCCCTGGTCCGTATTCAGAGAGTCTGGCCGGTATCTGCAAAAGACAAAGGGCTGATGCCGAAACATGATTGGACTGCCAACTATTACTCCGCGTGGCAGGTCTTAAGCTGCCTTGCATGCATGAAGCTCACAGACTTGCCAGTACCTGATTTACATTGTTCTCTCTTTTCGGAGGTAATGTAGGTGTAGGTATGCGGTAGGTAGGTAGGCATGTAGGTAGGTGTGAGGTGTGGCCACCTACCCGCCAACCTCGCAGTGATAACATATTTGACCGTTCTTGTAAGTAAAAGTACACGTTTTTTTGTCCCGAGGCCGCACTCCGCCACAGCAGGAGTGCACTTAAGTGCGGACATAATGGAATCGCTCGGCAGTCGGTCGGCGCGATATTACATTAGATGCCACACACCCCGTCAGGTATAGTAAGGGTGGACTGGGGACCTAGGTTCTATTTCTTTTCCCGTCTTTCTACAAACTCCTTCGGATGAAAAGAAAAAGGTGCTTGCCATATTAGTCGGGGAAACACCAAAAATCGCCTGTAAAACACTACATACACCGTCTCTGGCCATGCTCACCTTGCCATCATACTGGACCTTGTCGTCGTAACCTAAGCCACCGCCCATTGCGGCCAAGGGAAGAGAAAAAGACGACTGCAAATACGGAAAGCAAAAGACAATGTGGCAGCTGCCGGCTGAGGCCACGGGAGTAGCGGCCGCAGTGCTGTTTTACTCGGTCATATGTTGGACATGTAACGTCTTGATGCTGTGGCTCGCGTGGACGCATAATGAGCGGTTGAGCTGTAAGTGCTCTTGTCTATGAACATTTCAACGAACCTAGAAACAAGAATTGACATTGATGGCTTCTAGATGTGGCGTGCATTTCATACTTTCCGTTATTGTCGACCACATTCAGTATCGTTCAACAACTGCACGACTACATGTAAGAGATTCCCTGGAGCATGTCGATAGACATAGCGACTAACTCGACACCAGTTGGTGGCAAGATGTAGCCGTTGCTACTTGGGAGAACAGAGTAGCCAACGTGGGAAATCCCGTATTGGTTATTTCCAATGGAGCATCCGGTATTGATCTGGTGTTCTTCTACATACGTACGTCAGACATGTCCTAGTGTTCATCAACTCTACTCTACTAACATCAAAATCAGAGTACACATGCTACAATATCGAGGCGACATTTGTCCTATTCTGGGCCTTTTCGCTGCTGGCCTCGGTCTATGGCTGGTCTTTCAAGCCTCGCTGGCGCAAGACCTTTGCGCGCATCAACATCGCCGGCAAGATCGTGTCTATTGTTCTGCCACTCATTACAATTTGTCTTCTCCAAGTCCGAGCTATTCAAGAGTCCTATGTTGCCTTCCTCATCATTGCGGATTTTGAATGTAAGTTTCTAGACCACGAATCTATTCCATTTGAGCTATCAAGTCTGATCGGTGACATGAACAGTCATTGTGAGCTGTGCAGGAGGAGCAATCTTCCTCCTCATGATCCTCGTGAGATACGTGCAGTCGCGGAGCAACTTTGGGACATGGACCATTGGCTACGGAAGAGATCTCGAGACCTCGGATACAGACACCAGACGAAGCTACAACCCGCACGCATCCTCCACAGCCAACCATAACAAGCGGAGGCGAGGCGCGCGCGGCATCTACGACAAGTGGCTCATTATCCGCTTCACCATTGCCTTTGTGGCACTGGCCATTTTCGAGTGCAGCATCGCCACGTTCCAGGTGACGGGGCAGCAGAACAATACCGTCGACTTTTTATCAGACGCGCCCAATGCCACGGCCGAAAAGGCGATCCGCGTCGCTGTGCAGGACCTGCCGGGCGTCACGGCCTCGCTGATTCCCTTTATCGTCTTTGGCACGACGCGGCCATTTCGCGAAAAGATGTACAGGACCTTTGTGCCGAGGTGGTGGCAGCGAAGAAGAGAAGAACGGAGGAGGAGGAGGAGAGACCACCACCCCGTCGACTCGTACACGGCGCGGTCGTCCATGATGACGCAGCGGATCCGGGTATCCAAAGGCGTCGACATATCCTATAGCCTCAACGAGCTGACGCCGACGCGGAGCTCGAGCCACTACGAGAGGTCGTCGGACGACGAAAAGGGCTTGATGCTGTCATCGTCGCCCCTCTCGTCGTCGCCCATCACGGCGCTTTCGCCGCCACCGCTTTCGCCGCCCGCTGCCGTGGCCTCTAGGGTGCCCGCCAAGGGTCCTTGGGAAGACCGCTGGGAGCACGAGGCCAGCCTGCACGGGGTGCGCTGGGAGATTTCTGCCGGCGGCCACAATCACCGGGGGACGCAGCAGAGCAGACGCTAATAATCAACTCACGAAAGTCTTTTTGCATATACACACTATTCACATATACTACTAGCAGCATTCAGGACCGGCGTTTACGTGGGAATGTACTGGGAATTTACTTGGTGTCCACGAGGCCAGCCAGCCGCCCTTTCGAAGAGAAGAAAATATCTTGCACTTTGGATTCAAACAAACCAGAACGGGGATTTCGTCCACTGGCAAAGCCATGAGCGTTTTGGAAATCTGAACCGTCTCTTCTCATTGGAAAATCATGTGTTAAGATCAGGGCAAAACTGCATATAGGCAGACCACCACCGGAGCAGGTGTCGTTGTAAAGGCGGGGCGCATCGGATAGGTATACCCCAAATAAACACTACTGTCGTTATTGTCATTCCTAATTCGGCAGTCCGCTATTTTGTGCATCTCCATCAAGTTCCCATGTCCGGATGCTGCTCCCCTCCCCTACTCTCGACTGTACGTACATACGCGTCACTTTTCGCGCAGCGGGCAAGTAATGTGTCTATTGTGTCGTCGACCATTTCTGGCTTGAATCAATGACGCCCCGATTCTGCACGTTTTGAATCGCGGCTGTGGCGAGGCGTGACCAGATGTTGCAGAGCCATGCCCTCTGGCGAACAGACATTTTGGAATGTCTGAAAGAAGCTGCTCAGAACAATGTAACCTTACCAGATACCAAGTATTCTTCTTTTCTTAAACGCTGTGTCTGAATAGCCATGAACACAATACCACAAGCCTTGTTCACCATTGCTTGAAACGCAACAACACTGCCCCATTCTCCCCTTCCATAGATTTTGGTCTTCTTGACACGGCTTGGCATTGTTCAAAACCATCTGATCTTCGCAGGGCCACGCACTTCGCAACTGGGGAATGGGCCGAGATGTGGTATATACCCCCGGTGACCCACCTGCCCGATCCAGACTATTCCCCCCTTGGTGGTTTCGGTGCAGCCACCCACGAAACGACACCCTCTGGCCGAAGAACAAGAGCTTCTAGATGGTAGTGATGTTATACGTTCCTTTTCTACTATATCCCACCCATTGCCGATCGGATACAGGGGATACATAGGTACAGGGAAATAGGGAGACCGAGACCGCGGCTAGGATGAGAGACGAGTGTTGGAGGGATGCGAATCTAATCTGGCATTGACTGCACAGACAATTACTCATTCGATTCGCGGCTGCACGGTCGGACTTGAGGCTTCTTTCACGAAAATTAGTGAAAATTTCAAGCAGGTGAGATTAGAGCCCTACCGAGGTCTACCGTCCTGGTTTTATTCTATTTGATTTTATCTTATTCTTTGTCGGCAGTCACAGGACTCATGGATCTAGGATGTAGGCAAGCCCCGAGTATTTTGATGAGGCAAAAGGATCGATTGCCCATGTATAAACTCCGATGAGAGAAATCAGGGTCCCAATTCAAGAATCGATCTTCTCAATTAAGACAGGGTCCATCATAGCCAAGCTGATTGACATCGTATTCCCTCGGTAATTCCCCCCTGACCAAGTCTTATGGTTGAGTGTAATAAGAGTCCATTCGGAGAATAAACGATCGCACGCAATCAACTTTAAGAATCCATGGACAGAAGCCTGTTTAATGAGCCACTACTTGTTGTCGTTATGTGACTTTGCAATGGGAGAACTTGGACTTACATCACTTCAGGTATCACATTTGGGCTGGTGCACACCATGTCTATCTAGCATACCAGTGGGCGCCACGGAGCCTCGATACTATACACGTGCAGATAAATTATAGTGTCAAGCTGTGACGCAAGCATGGCCGCAGAATAATCCGGAGATCATGTCATTACCTTTTACATACCTAGTAGTCACTCCTTTGCCCCGGGATAAAGAAAAGAAAAGAAAAAGCAACAGACCAGACAATTCCATTAGCCATTTCATCAGGACCACTCCGATACGTAGACAAGATCCAAACTACCCCAAGTAGACACCTCCACAAGTAGACCCAAGGTAGCATCGCGGCGCAAATCCCCCACACATACTATGTATCTACGATTACAATATTGCAACTACATTACGTGCAGATAGATAATGCAGCAAAGACGACTGCCCTTGCTTGGCATATGCTGGCCCTTCTTTAGTCCCGCCCCAAGACGGGCAGCTCATGGGCCCTTGATGAAGATCGCTCGTTGTCTTGCGCCCGCGTGTTTTGATATGGGAGGAGAAGACATTACTTTGTTGGAGGATATATCTTTTTGCTTAGGATAACTCGTAATTGATTTTGTACAAGCTTCAAGACAAATCTTACGGCCACATTCCATGCTCACGGAGACAACCGATTCAATAAAATGAAAAGGAAAAAAAAAAAAAAAAGTAATCATGTTTTCCAAGTATTTTTTTATTGTCTATTGGTTCTTTGAGTTTTTCAAGATTGCCAAAATACACTTGATAAATGTACAATCTATTGACGTCAGTCTTTCCCGTCATTTAATGTACAAAGTTGAGATTTTCCCTGTCCAGACTCGCTTTACAAATGCCGTTGTTCTACTCCCCGAGAATCCTTTTTGTCGTGAAAAATAAAAAGTGCAAGTGTGCCGGTACGCCTAACATGATTGAGCCCGGTGCCGTACCTGTTAGGAAGGGGACATGCTCCAAATGATACAACAGCCAAGTGACAGTAAATCAAGCCTGCCCATAATTTACAGGTATTGCGGGGCCCCCCTATGTTGTGTTATACATTGTAGTTCGTGCTGAGCCGTCTTGAAGAACTTGGCTTCGTCATGCCGAAATTCTCAACGTGAGTCGTGAGATCGTGCGCATAGCAGTTAGAAGGAAGATCGGCTAAAGGACTGACGGTCATTGGATTCCCGCGAGGCGAACTTGTCCTCGAAAGAGTTGCCACGGCGGTTGCCACCACGGTTGCCGCCACGGTTGCCGCCACGGTTGCCGCCACGGTTGCCCCCTCTGGAATCAGAACCTCCCCTGTCACCGAAGCCTCCTCTACCACCGGAGCCTCCTCTACCACCAAAGCGGTCATCGCGGCCGTAAGACTGCTCGGTGTCGTGACCAATTCTGACGCCGGGGATTCTGGCGAGACCCCGCTTGCTGGCACTCTGGGGGGTGATGGCAGGGACTTGTTCTCTCTTCAAGCCGTATTCGCTCCACCTGTTGAGAAGCTCAACGGCATCCGCGACATCAAGTTTCCTGCCAAACTTCTGACCGAGCAAAGAATGGTAAGCCTGAGCGAACTCACCGGAGCGAGTTTTGCTATAGCCCTTCTCAACGTCATTGAAATACCTGGCCGTCTCCTCAGGGATTTGGCCTGTGGCAAGATCGACGGCGGGAGTGACCAGAGAGCGATTGGGCTTGATGGGCAAGCCAGGCAGGCGGGCACGCGCCTCAGCGATCTCGGGCTCGGCCAGTAGCAGCCAGCCTTCACCAGAAGCACCAGCACGGCCGGTACGTCCAACACGGTGGATATACTGGTCACGGTCCGGGGGAAGACCAACTTGAATGACGTGTGTGACACCGGGGAAATCCATACCTCTAGCTGTCACGTCTGATGAGAACAGGATACCAGTCTTGGAGCGACGGAACGCATCAGCATGTCTGGTACGCTGGGGTTGGTTAAGCTTGGAGTGAATATCCCAGATTGGCACGCCACTAAAACCGCCAAGCTTGGTGTTGGAAAAGGTGCTGTACGCGAATTCAACAACGGCCGTGTTGGAGAAGAAAACCATTGCCTTGAAAGGAGCGACTGACGGGTCGTTCTCGGCAGCCTCGCGAGCCTTTTCTGCAATTTCCATGATGGCAGGGAACCAATTCTCATATCCTTTGCAGGGGACAATGTACTGAGGAACTCTCTCGTGGGTTGGTGCATCGTCGGCTGAAATGGTCTGGACAAACTCAAAGTTATTTGTCTTGACCAAGCTCTTGGCCAAGTGGACGACATTACGAGGGATGGTGGCCGAGTAGAGGAGAGTCTGGCGATCCACCTTGGAGACGGGCGGAAGCAGGTCGAGAATGTTGCGGATGGCATCGGAGAATCCGACATCGAGCATGCGGTCGGCTTCGTCAAGAACAAAGGCCTTCAAGTTCGGGGCAGCCACTCCAGAATACTCATCAGACAGAAGATCCTCCAAGCGACCAGGAGTCGCGACGAGGATGTGGCAACCCTCGCGCTGCATCTTCATCAGAGACTCCCGCTTTCTAGTACCACCAACGGCTGTCTGCACAACGATGCCGGTATTTCTGACCAGCTTCTTGGCCTCGACACCGATTTGCTCAGCCAGCTCACGTGTAGGTGACATGATGATGGCCTTCACATCATCGGATGAGGCACGTCGGCTAGACCTCCGGTCGGCGAGCTCGGGGATTTCTGCCAAAAGACGCTGGAGTGTGGGAACCAAGAAGGCAAGAGTCTTTCCAGTACCAGTCTTGGCTTGCGCAACCCTATAGCAGAGATGATTAGTAGATGGCCGGGAAAGGCAGGGACGACGGGCATTGATGCTTACAGATCAGTACCGCGCAGTGCCGGGTTGATGGTAAGGGACTGCACGTCAGTCATGTCCTCGTATCTCATTCCATCGGTGATGGCGCTGACGAGGGCAGGGTGAACACCCAGCTGCGACAGATCGGCAAACTTTGTGATTAGTTGCGAACCGGCTTTGGCGTCGGGGTTGGCATCTTGTTGCCTTGCGGCGGCGGCCTCGGAGGAGTAGAGTCTCGTTGCGATGGAGCGTAGGCAGACTGATCGAAGAGGAGTGCGGGAGGCGCTGAGCTGTTGTCCGGAAGACTGCAGAGACTGGAGGCGCAAAGGTCTTACGCAGGAAAATGTTGATAGTTGGCGACACACGACATTGCCCAGACGGGCGTGTCGCGGGAGGGAAGCCTTGAACATGGCTGGAATTAAAACACAATAATATAGAGAAAAGACAGAGTTATACAGACTGCTCTCAGAAATTAATTAGAAGAGGGAGGGGATGAGTTGAGAGGTATTGCAGTCTCTCTGTGCTGTTGATGTAGAAACGCACGCTGTGATGTTGCGAATGGGGAGATTTTTTTTATTTTTTTTCTCTCCCTCTGCTTGAAGCCAATCCTTATCGCGTCGCCCATCAATCTCCAATTTTTCTTAGCTCTTTGCATCCATGGAAAAATTCCTGGGCACGGGCCTCAGACGGATACCCCCTGGAGAATTTCTTTTGCCTGCCATTTCAGCCAATCACATCCACTATTAGATCGCACTAGAAGGCATTTCCCAAATCGATTGGCTCGCCACTGACTAGAACGTCCCAGAATAGGCGGGAAGTGGTTACATTACTATTATTTGAAAGATATATATCACCTAGGTATTCAGCCTCTTTATAGTCTTGCTGGTGTCACTTTTTGTTACGGGTGCACCCGATTTTCGGCACCGGATATATAATTGATCCGGTGCCTAAGTAGGTTACGATAAAATCTGCGCATAGGAAATAGCTTCCTTTTATTTAAGCTAATTTATAAATTATATTTAGCTATAATTGCGTAATTATACGTATTTAGTAAGCCCATTATATATAAATTAGCTTCGTTTTTGCAATTTTATATAAATTAGTAGGGTGCTTATAAAGTTTTTAGTATTATCTCCTACTTTTAATAGCGTAATATCCGAAAATCTTAATAAATACGAAGTCGCTCCAAAATTTCCCTTTTTCGATAACCCTTCGCTTTTCCCCCTAATATACGATATTATAAAAGGTTCCAACCCCGAAAATACGGCTTAAGCCTCCTATAATAGCACCTTTAATTACTATAAAGCCGCTAAATAGCCCTTTTAGGACGGAAAAACAGAATCCCTTAAGCTTTTCCTTATTATAGCAAAAATAAAAATAATAAAAAACCGTTACCTATTAAGCAACGAATAGCTTATTTACCTTAATTTTATAATAGCCCTCCTAAAAAATAAGCGCTTTCGCGTAGCGTAATAATTTACTAATATTAATCCTAAATAGCTTAAATAAAAAACGTTCCTTAAAAAAATCGAAAACCAATTTATCGATAAAAAAGCCAAATAAATCGCGGGTAATCGCCTAATTCGGATAAAATAAAGGGAAAATTAAAAATTTTCCGACTTCTTAAACGATTTTAAATATTAACTCGATTTTAATAAAAAACTAAATTAGGTAAACGCAATTAAAATTATTATTTTTAATTCCGCTATTAACTAAAGCCTAAAAGACCGCTTAATTATTTTCGACTTACCTAACGATAATTACGACTAATAGTTAAATATAATTAAAAAAATAGCTAATCGCTTAGATATTTTATAAAAAAATAAACGTAAAAAAGCTAAAAATATAAAAACTTAATTTTTAAAAAAAGCCGGAGCTACCTCGTTTTATTTTACCTTTTTTCGGGAAATCTTACGGAATCGAATAAACGCTAAAAAAAATACTATTATAAAAGGAATTAATAAATTCGATTTATAATAATTTATTGCTACCGTTATTAATATTATAAACGTAATATAAATAGGCAAAAAGGCGTTAGGGAATAAATAAAAACCCTAAGCTTTTTAGCGTAGCGAACAAAAAATTCAGTTTTTCCGAAAAAAAAGACTATATTTTAAATATAAATAATCTAAATATTTTTACTAAAAATATATTATTTACGGCCTTTTTATTAACCCTAACCCCCGAATTAGCCACGCCGAGGTTATCTCGGACCTCGAGGAAAATAAAAAACCGTCGGAAAATGCTTAAACTCTAAAAAAAATCGCCTTTAAAGCTTAAAAAAAAAACCTATAATTATTATTCCAAATATCCCAAATAATATATATACCACCCCTTTTTTAATAAATATACTCGTTAATAATTTATTTTATTATAACGCGTTTATCGATAATAAGTGCCTTTATTACTTTACCTTTAATAAATCTTTTATAATTAAAAAAAAATTTAAACGCATTTAAATCCGGAATAAAAAACTCCGGTTCGCCAAAAACGATAAAAAACGTCGATATATTCGAAAAATCGCTATTTGCTAAATAAATATTAACGGACAAAAAAAAAAATAATAAAATACGTCGTCCCTAACCTAGCCTATAATATTATATTAGGAAAACCCTGGATAAAAAGCAATAACGTAATATACCTATCTAAAAAAAAAGCACTTAGATTTAATACTAAAAGGCACGGTCTTTTTATCCGTAAAAAAGGCTAATATAAAAATAAGGCACCTAAACCAATAAAAAATAAAACACAATATATAAAAAATGCATAAATAATTATAAATATTATTTACGTAACAAAGGTGCGTAAAGCGTATAAAAACTTTAAAAAAATAATTAAAACTACCTAGATTTTTATCGTTATAATAGTAAATATTAATCAAGCGCTAAAAATCAAAAAAAAACAACCTTTTCCGAAATAATTAATACGTTACCTCCTTAGCTTAAATACCACGCTCCTTTATTTATAAATAACGAGCAAACGGAGCTCCTACCTTATCGACCCGGAGCAAATTATACGATTACCCTATTTAAAAATAAATAAAGCAAAACTCGGAAAATTTTATAAAGCCCTTTATACGGTATATTTAAAAATAAACTACTTATCCTTAAAAAAATACTTATTAATTATTTAAATAAAAATTAAATTAAAGTTAGCAGTTTTCCCGAAAAAACCTTTATATTTTTTATAAAAAAACCCGGAAAAGGTTTTCGTTTTTACGTAAATTACTAAGCCTTAAACGCTATTATAAAAAAGGACCATTATCTTTTTCCTTTTATTAAAAAAACCTTACGCTCCCTTTTAAAAGCTAAATAGTTTACTAAGGTTAATATTAGGGCCGCCTTTTATAAAATAAAAATTAAAAAAATAAATAAATAAAAAACCGCTTTTCGCACTCGCTTTAGCTTATTCGAATAGCTAATAATACCTTTCGGATTAACGGGAGCCCTAGCTACCTTCCAAAAATTTATTAATATTACGTTACGAAAATACCTAAACGACTTTTATTTTGCTTATTTAAACGACGTTTTAATTTATTTTAACGGCGATTACGCAAATTATATATTAAAAATAAACAAAATCTTTATTAAATTAAATAAAGCTAGGCTCCGCCTCGATTTTAAAAAATGCGAATTCGTTATTATTTAAACCAAATATTTAAAATTTATTATTTATACCGAAAAAAAAATCAAAGTTAACCCTAAAAAAATAAAGGCTATTAAAAAATAAAAGGTTCCTATTAGCGTAAAAGGAGTTCGTAATTTTATAAGTTTCGCGAATTTTTATAAAAAGTTTATCCTTTAATTTAGCGACGTTATAAAACCTTTATTAGCCCTGCTTAAAAAATCAATACCCTAAAAATAAAAATTAGCTAAAAAATATAGCTTCGAAACCTTTAAAAAGCTTTTTATTATTATACCTATCCTAACGATATAAAATAAAAAGCGTAAAACGATAATTAAATACGACTATTTTAGCTAAGCCTTAAAAAAAACCCTTTTATAAATCGATAATAAAGGAAAATTACGTTTTATAACCTTCCTTTTTAAACGACTAAACCTAGCCGAAATTAATTACGAAATTTATAATAAAAAGCTGCTCGCGATCGTCCGCTGCCTAAAAAAAATAAAAAAGAAAACTAAAAAGCTTAGTTAAACTTTTTAAAATCTTTACGGACTATAAAAACTTATAATATTTTATTATTAAAAGGAATTTAATTAAAAGGCAAACTCGATAATCTTTAATCCTATCCGAATTTAGTTTTTAATTATAATTCCGCATAAAAAGGAAAAATAATAAACCTAATATTTTTAGCCGTTTAAAACAAAACCTCCTTAAAAGGGTCGATAACCCGAAATTGGAATTTCGCCGCTTATAGCTCGTTAAAAATAAATAGCTCCTATTTATTATTATATTTTCCGAAAATACTAAATATATCTAAGCATTAATTTATATAATGCCTTTATATTTTAAACCTATAAAACGAAAATTATTAGGCGTAAAACGAAATTATTAAATCCTTAAAAATAAGGATTTATTTCCTAAAGCTAAATTATAATTACTTTAAAATAAAGCTATAATATAGGATATTAACTTTATTAATTTATATTTCGTAATATAATTAAAAACACGCACGTTTCCGCCTAGGTTATCCAAAAAAAAATATAATATTAAGATATTAATCGCGGAATATAAACTAAACCTTAAAAGCGTTTTCCTATTCCGAAAAAAACTGCTTATCCTAAATTAGGAACCTTTTTAAACTATATTTATATAAAAAATCCACGATTTATTTATTACCGGCCACCTAAAAAAGGATAATACCTTTACGATAATATTAAAATATTTTTACTAGCCGAAAATATTTAAAGCAATACAGAAATTTTATACTAATTGCGATATTTATAGGCGCTTTAAGATTTAGCGCGAGAAAAAAAGCGGCTTCCTAGCCTTTTTCTTTATACCAAACCGGTTTTATTCGGAACTTTTTATCGATTTTATAACGGAGCTTTTTGCGAAAAAAAAAAAAACCTTCGTTTTATAATAATAATCGTAGATCGCCTAGCAAAAATAATTATAACAAAAAATATAAATATTATAAAAGCGCCTAATTACGCCCGGCGTTTTATTAACTATTATTAAAGGTTTTACGGTTTTTTTCGAATTATTATTTTTAATAAAAAATCGAATTAAATAAACGATTTTTAAGCCTATTTATGCAAAATCGTAAATATTAAAAAAAAGTTATTTATAGCCTTTTACCTAAAAACTAACGGTTCGACTAAGCGTATAAATCAAAAAATTTAATTATATTTTAAAGCCTTTATTTTATACGTTTAATATAATTAGCCCGAATTTCTCCCTTTTATTATATTTGCTATTAATAACCGTAATACCTCGATCGGCGCTAATCCCTTTTTTTTAACCTATAAATATTACGCCAAACCTATAAAGCAAATATTCCCGTTATAAAAACTTTTATAAAAAATAAATAAAAAGCAAGCTAAAAAATTCGTAAACCGATAAAAAAAAGGCTAAAACCTAGCTTAAGCTATAATAATAGCTATATAATAAAAAATAAAAAATATAGCGAATAAAAATAAAAAGCTATAAAAACGATTTAAAATTAAAAATTTAATATAATTTAAGCTTAAAAACCTAAAAATATTATAAATATCTAAAAAGCTATTCTAAATTAATGCGAAATATAAAATTAATAAGGTTATTAGCCTATAAATAATTAAGCTAAACGTACTTAGCAAAATCTAATTACGATTTTACGTAAATTTATTACGGAAAGCAAACAAAAATCCCCTACCGTTACAAAAAAGCGAAAACCAATAGCCGCTCCTAATATTCGATAAAGAACTTTTACAAAAAAAATAAATCGTTAAAAAGATTTTCTATATAAAGCAATACCCCGTAAAACGAAAATTCGAACGGAAACTGCTAATAAAATAGCAAAGTTACGCAAAACCTATTTAGCAAGCCCGAACCGTATTCGATAATATATAAGCCTTAAATAATTTTAAAACCCGATTTAGCGTAAATAACGGAATAAATAAAAAAAAAAGGGCTAAAATAAGGCCTTTAGCAAAAAAAAAACAAAAAGCTATTACTAAAGCAGCTAAAAGCAGGCAATTAGCAAAGGCTCGAAAAAAAAGGCTAACCAAAAAAAAAAGCTTAAAAATCTAATTAGCAAAATGCTTTCGCTTCCCGTCGGAGTTTAGGATTAAATCCTTAATTTATTTATATTTTCCCGTTTTTATTCGAAAAAAATATTAAAAATTTCCTTATTTACTCGAAAAAAATACCGGCTGCACGAAGTGGCCGGTTACGCGCCTTTCGATATTAAGTTAATTAACCAGGCATTTCCCGATAAAGGCCTTAATATCCTAAATATACCCGGATAGCGTTCTTTTTTTTATATTAAAAAAATAACGGCTTATTAATAATTATTAGAAACCCTACGTTTCAAATCTTTTATTCGTAATAAAAAACGCATTATAACTAGGAAAATCTCGGGTTCTATAATAAGAATTACGGAAGGGAAGCGTTGCGTAAAGCAATTAGGGCATAAGCGGCTGTTATAGCTTAGTGGTTAAAAAAGGAGTTTTTAGAAATCTAAGGTTCAATTCCCCGAAAGGCCCGGAGGGGGGGTAATATTACGGGTGCACCCGATTTTCGGCACCGGATATATAATTAATCCGGTGCCTAAATAGGTTACAATAAAATCTGCGCATAGGAAATAGCTTCCTTTTATTTAAGCTAATTTATAAACTATATCTGGCTATAACTGCGTGACTGCACGCACTTAGTGAGCCCATCACACTTTTCATGATCATCTGGTGCAAAATAGGGCCCAGATTTAATCAAGAAAACAAACCGCAGACAGATGAATAACTGTGGACTATGCCGCCGAGACGAACTCATCATGTGAGTCTTTCAAAGTCATATGTCATGGCCAGCGCTTGATTAGAACCCCCAGTAGATGTGGACGTAGGTTATTGCAAGAACAAGCTTGCATAGAGCAGAGCGATTATGTACGCACACGTCGAGGACCAACGGTTCATCGTTAACATCTCAAGGCACATAACTCAAAAGAGAAACCTCACTACCTGTCATTATGCGAGCTTATCGCGATTGTGCCATCAGGTCTCGCTTATCAGTGGGCATCTGACCGAGTATACTACGCAACAAGCAAGTCCCATGCAACAAGATTGAGCTATGATCAAGGCAGCCAAGTTCTCAACAAATGCCATCAGTTTAACAATCAACGTGTTACTCGGATGATACGTAGTCAACATGGCTACAAATTGCATTCGTTGGGTTCAGGTTCTACCTTTATTCATGAATTTTGCTTGCCATTCTCATATAGTTGAGCCTCTTGCGCCATCGATCGATAATGTAAGGGGAACGGACACTCTAGGTTTCAAGTCTGCATAGTCCATGTCGGGTTCTGGCCCAGCCCTTTGCCGTCTCGGGAACTATCGCAAACGTCTTTTGCAACCGATGAGTTCCTCGATGCGACTACTAAACAAAACTAATGTATGTAAGCAAGTTTGGGGCCTGACCTTGTAGACACCCGCACCTTGATTCCGCCGCGCATGTGCAAAAACAGGAATTCTTGTCTCGGTCGATTAGCCATATAGTATGTGCCCGGCATGCTTGGTCAAAGATCCCTCCCACCTGCGAGCCCTTTCTTTTTCGTCTGTTCGTCTGCATGATCATGGATTCCAGGGTATGATAACATCCTGCAGCCACTCAGTAGGGATGCTGCCATCTTTCTTCCGGCCAAGGCTGTCAGATTTGTCTGCCAGACTTCGCTCTTTTGCATCTTCTCACCAGTCTCAGTCCTCTACGACCGACGGCGCATTCTATTATTCATCGCACCACGGCCAAATCACGACCATCCTGAACAACGACGACGACGAGCAAATAATTACAAATTCAACAAAATTATTGCTATCTCAAGACTATAGCACACCACCCGATATATCATCATCCCCGGGGGGAGCCAAAGCAAGCGGCGAGGTCGCTCCCGGAGGCACCATGACCACGCCGGAAGCCAAAGTCGACGACATACGATACGAACAACTCGTGCGCCATCTCCTACGCTCCGTCAAGGACATGGAAAACAACACCAACAGACGCCAGCTGGATATCCGGAGACTACTGGAAGGACCATTATCATCACCACAGCAGCCCCCCCACGCACGTGAAGTCGCAATCCAAGCGCAACAACAGCAACGTCTACCACACAACTTCGGCGGGCAATCGCACGACGCCGTTAACCAAAGATGGTCCCCTTCTGGTATCAAATGGAGATATGCTCGCCAAGGTACGTTGCCCTTACAAAGAGGAACAGTATTAGAAACTTATCGGTCCGAGCGATAAAAAAAAAAAGTGTGTCGCGGGTGATCATAAGTGCCTTTTTTGGCATGTGATAGCGCGGGACCAACTCGACTAACACGAGAACCAAAAAAATATACAGGCGCACAACTTGCCACCGACGCCGCCAACGAGCTGCACGATAGTGATTTTGAGCGCAGCGCCTACATTGACGCCGTCGCCTACTACCTGCGGGCGTGTCCGGACCAGCTCGACCACGGGGAGACGGCAAAGATCCTGTCGGCGGCGCCGTGGCTCGCGCAACACCCGCGCCCCCAGCCGCAGATTGCCGGCATCGCCCGGCCTACGGACCGCGGCCGCACCTTCTTGTCCGACGCGGTCCAGTACGCCGTGATTGGCCTCATACTATTGGGCCACATGCTGTGGTGTCTTTTCCTGTCGGCCATTCGCATCGGCGCACACCTCGAGCGCGAGTACCAGCTCTCCCACTGGGTAGCGACCAATGGTTTCGACCTGGTCAACTCGGTTGGGCGACACAGCGTCGCCTGGACCGCCAAGATCAATGCAATGAATGAAGGCAGGATCGGCCAGGTCGTCTCCTGGACCATGGACAGCGTCACTGGCGGCATCCAGGAGGGCTACGGCAAGGGCATGGACCGTATTCGGCGACAGCAGCAGACCATTACAAGAGAGGCGCACCCCCAGGGTGATACTGCCAATGTGACGGCTGCTCCTCCTCCTGATGAGGGTGGCGGCATTGTTGGTTTTCGCTGGAGGAAACCCTACGACCGCTGAGCCTTGGCATCATTGCATTGCCTATCTTGCAAATGCATACTTATGCACTCCCACGGTCCATCGGTAGTATTGCCGAACAATGATGATATGAACCATATATGGGTCTTGCATAGGGTGGGTTTTGGGAACGTTCAATATTGTTCTTTGGAGTACATTTGGGATCAGGAGTTAGGATATACCAGTGCCATTTGATTTGAGTTTATAGAACGTAGATCTACAATAGACTTGAGACATAGATTGTTTGCTTTAGCAAGGCGACATATCAGTTCACCAAAACATCTATCCGTTTTGCTAGCCGTGATCAAGGTTGTTCAGCTAAATTTGTACTGCCTCAATATTTGGCTTCCACCTGGGTATGTGACCTCTTACGTCCTAGTCGCAGGTTCGTTGCCATCACTGCAAATGTTGGCATCGTGTCTGAAGTCTGTGGGTATTCTATCACACAAGTGTGCCTGTATTGGGGAACCACAATATCGCTGCTATTTGCCTATATCGACGGGCCAAGCATCCAAGATGCAAGATATTGACGCAACAGTGGTTTTTCGAGTGGGCAGCATCGAGACTGCATAACGTATGCCGCTGATTCCTCTGTGCAATATTGCTCACGCCATGTCCCAAAGACGACGATAGTGACAGGTGACGGGTACGGGTGTTTCGGCCTTTTTCTTTCTCACGCGCTCTGGCCAGCTTCTTTTTCTGCCCGAATTTTCTCTTCCATCTTCTTCCTGGCCGCGAGGATCATCTCGTCTCGCCGCCGTTGCAGTGCAGACTGACGTTCATCGCGGTTCGAGCTCCATCCCTTTTTGCCGTCTGCAGCATCATCTGCGCTTCCTTCTACTTTATTCTGCAGATTGTATCGGGTGATCAAGTCTGGTTCTGCTGGCTTTGATGGCGCCTTTGCAATCGGGGCATGTGCCGGCGGCGTCGGCGAGCTAGGCGGAGGTGGTGGTTGAAACGTCACTGGGGGCTAAAAGAACAAAAGACGTGTCAGTCTGTGAGCTCTGCTGGTTTCAAGAACGTAGACCGAGAGACTAGATATGGGAGTATGATGGATAGAGTCAATCTCACCGTTTCGATTCTGCCACTCAGGATCCTCTCGGACGTGGCCTGTACGCTGCCCCCGGTGCGCTGCAGATCCCACAGTATCGCCCGCCGGTCAACCTGCGGGAACATTTGTTGTATCCTTTCGACGGCAGCCTCTCTGGCCCTCGCAGCGTTGGCGGCATCGCGTGGGGATTGTCTGTGTGCCGTTTGCGTCGCCGTCGATCCGGAGAAGAAGAAATACCTAATCGCCAGGCCGGAAATGACGACGACAAAGATGAGCGAGGAGAGCGAGATCTGCTCGTCCGCCATGGCTGTCTGGTGGCCAATGTATGGATTTAATGATTTCAAGCTTCAATCTGTGGGATGAAGAAGCAATCTACGGGAAGACGCTGGCGTTGTGGTGAACGTGAGGTAGTACGGGGAAGGGGGCGTTTAAGATTAGACAGATGAGATAGTAAAAGTAGCCAGCGATTGTGACGACGATGGTTAAGTTACAGCGGCTGCTGACCCGGCACTACTAGTTGAGCTGTCGCGTGGGTGGGAAGGGACATCGATGGAGCTTGGCGAGCCGGGATCCGACTGTTGGTGGCTCAGACAAGTACCAACGGTAACCTCTTTAGTATACGCCTGCCCCGTAGGCACTCACCCGTAGGTAGCCTTGACGATCAATGCTCTATCAAATGCTCCTTGCTACGATAGAGTTTGTAGATAGACGTAAACATGGTTATAGAAGTAATCAATCAATCATTCCTCTGTACTCGTGTCACCGAGATTCTGACTACAGAGTGGAGTTGGGTAGTCAGGACTTGTTGTCAAACGTGAGCTGCAAAGCCTTGGAACGCCTTCGACACGTTGCAATACATGAGTCAATGTTTGATATTCCCCCAGTTATGGCTACAATATGCCTGCGTGTGTACCTGGGTGCTTTGTGGTCAAGATGTCAAGATTCTTGGAGTGTGTACAGCAACATCTCGGCCAGCCAGCCGGGTGCCTAGCATGCTTCCTATCGAGACATCAAGATGTGCTAAACCGCTGTGAAGCCATTTCGAGTGGATGATGGTGGAAACGAGTCAGATATTCGCAAGCAGGCCGGCAATGGATTCCAACACGACATCAGGACATGGAGTACATGGTCAAGTCTTCTTCACATCCCCAGACAAGCTGAAAGATTGCAATGAAGGCGAGGAGTTCGCGTCAGCCTGATGGTAGTGAAGATATCAGGGACGCTGTGGAAGTGGTCATAGGATATACCCAGCGGACCACCACCCGTTCGCACAAAAATGGAGTTAATCTTGTAGAGGCCAATGGACCTCGTTCAGAGATTAAACTGAACAGAACAGATACTACATTTGATCAAAGCCAAGTATTCGGCAGAGAGCTAAGGAAGGAAGGGAAAAAAGGTTGAAAACTGGCGGAGGAGGGCGACGCATTTATAGACATCGGCAGGCTGATTACTGCCGCTCTTTACCACCCGCGGGGGTGGGTCTTGGCGGCTGCTGCCTGTGCTGTGAAGGCGCCCCGCGGCACAGAGGCTGCCAGGGCTGCTTGGCCGCTGCCAGGCTGCCCCGCCTGATTCAGAGTGACATGGGCTGGCCACGACTGGTCTGTGCTTTGTGCCTTGGTCGATGCTGATTGGCAGGCGCATTATTTGGTAAATAAACGCGGTGTATTAAGCAAAAGCGTTGCTGGGCTTTCGACATCGGGCAGGAGTAGAGGAAGCCATCAACACCCAAATGTACTAACAACACAGGAATCAGCCGACAGAGGACCTCAAACAGACAACATGAGGGTGATAGAGCTGATCATAGACGGCTTCAAGTCGTACGCTGTACGCACAGTAGTATCAGGATGGTGAGGCAACCCCTCTTGCGACCCTATCGTCAACACAGATTGCATGTAGCTGACCCAACCTTCTTCTCCAAGGGACGAGAGTTTCAACTCAATTACCGGCCTGAACGGTTCCGGAAAGTCCAATATTCTTGATGCCATCTGTTTTGTTCTCGGTATCACAAATATGACAACAGTGCGAGCGCAAAACCTACAGGTAAACCATATCCTCGCAACGAACCGCCTGTCGCGCCGACAGCTAACGTCTCTGCAAAGGACTTGATCTACAAGCGCGGTCAAGCCGGTGTGACAAAAGCAAGCGTTACAATCGTTTTCGACAACAGGGACAAGAACAAGTCGCCAATCGGTTTCGAGGAATATGCGACCATCAGCGTGACGAGACAGATTGTACTTGGAGGCACAACAAAATATCTTATCAATGGACACCGAGCGCAACAGCAGACTGTGCAAAACCTCTTCCAGTCTGTCCAACTCAACATCAACAACCCAAACTTCTTGATCATGCAGGGTCGGATTACCAAGGTCTTGAACATGAAGGCGGTCGAAATTCTCGCCATGATCGAGGAAGCAGCCGGCACACGAATGTTCGAGGATAGGAGAGACAAGGCGCTCAAAACCATGGCAAAAAAGGAAATGAAGTTACAAGAAATCACAGAGCTGTTGCGCGATGAGATTGAGCCCAAGTTGGAAAAATTACGAACAGAAAAGCGAGCATTCTTGGATTTCCAACAAACGCAAAATGATCTCGAGCGCCTCACGAGGGTGGTTGTGGCCCACGACTATATCAGATACCAAGAAAAGCTAGCACAGTCCGGCACAGATCTTGGAAACAAGAAACAACGTCAAAAAGACCTCGAGGAGTCCACAACTCGGCTGAAGAACGAAATCTCGAATCTCCAGGAGGAAGTAGACAGAGTCAAGGCTCAAAAGGACAAGGAGGTCAAGAAGGGTGGCAAAGCCAGAGCACTCGAGGAAGAAGTCAAGAAACACTCCAATGAACTTGTTCGATTGGCGACCGTCATGGACTTGAAAAATTCGAGCAAGGCCGAGGAAGAAGAGCGCAAGGCCTCGGTCGAACGTAATGTGGCTGAGCTCGAAGCGTCGCTCAAAGAAAAGACCGAGGCTTATGAAAAGATCAAGGCGAAATATGACACAGCCAAGGAAGAAGATATCAGGCAGCATCAAGAAGCCGAGTCTAAAGAAGAGCTCCTGCAAACGCTGCAGACCGGTGTGGCATCCAAGGAAGGACAAGAAAGTGGTTACCAAGGTCAACTGTCAGACGCCCGGAACCGTGCAGCAACTGCTGCCACGACACAAGAACAAGCGAAACTAAAGATCAACCATCTCGAAAAGAGAATCAAGGAAGAAGAACCTCGTGCCAAGAAAGCAAAAGAGCAGAATGCATCATTGCTGCAGGACATTGAAGATCTTCAAGCTCAATCCCAAAAACTCGAGGCGCAACTTGCCAAGCTTGGTTTCGAGCCTGGTCAAGAAGAGGCCATGTACAAGGAAGAAACAGCATTGCAGCAGAGAATAAGGGGTTTGAGACAAGAAGCGGATGCACTCAAGCGCAAAGTGGCCAACATTGATTTCAACTATGCCGATCCTACTCCCAACTTTGATCGCTCCAAGGTCAAGGGTTTGGTAGCACAGCTCTTCAGTCTCGACAAGGAGCATACGAGAGCAGGAACTGCGCTAGAAATCTGCGCTGGTGGCCGCTTGTACAATGTTGTGGTAGACACCGAAGTCACTGGTACTCAACTGCTCCAGGGCGGTAAGCTGAGAAAGCGGGTAACCATTATTCCGCTCAACAAGATTTCGACGTTCAAGGCATCAGCACAGACCATTGCTACTGCTCAGAAGATTGCACCTGGCAAGGTCGACCTGGCTCTCTCTTTGGTAGGCTACGATGAAGAGGTGTCTGCAGCCATGGAATACGTCTTTGGCAACACTCTCGTCTGTCAAGATGCAGAGACTGCCAAGCGAGTGACCTTTGACCCGAATGTGAGGATGAGAAGCATTACTCTAGAGGGAGACTCCTACGACCCATCTGGCACGCTCTCTGGTGGTAGTGCTCCGACTTCCAGCGGTGTGCTCGTTACTCTACAGAAACTCAATGACATCAACAGGCAGCTCCGTGAAGCTCAATCATCATTGACGGAATTGCAAGGAAAGATGACCAAGGAGAAAGCCAAGCTCGATCAAGCACGCAAGATCAAGCAAGACCTTGATCTCAAGACTCACGAGATCAAGCTCGCGCAAGAGCAAATCAGCGGCAACTCGTCATCTTCCATCATTCAGGAGGTCGAGAACATGAAGGAACAAATCACCCAACTCAAGACGGACAGCGCTGAAGCCAAGAAGCGCCAAACCGAGGCCAGTGCAGATGTCAAGCGTATCGAGAAGGACATGAAGGATTTCGAAAACAACAAGGACTCCAAGCTGGTCGAGCTGCAAGCCTCTCTGGATAAGCTCCGAGCTACTTTGGCAAAGAACTCGAGCACTGTGAAGAGCTTGCAAAAGGAGCTTCAAGGTGCCCAGCTCGATTCTGAGCAGGTCTCTGGTGATCTTGCGGCCGCCAGGGAGCAGTTGCTGGAGGTTGAGCTCGCGATCAAGTCTCAACAAGAAGAGGTCGAGGAGCTTGTCAAGAAGCAGTCCACTCTGCAAGAGACCCATGATGAAGCTCAAGCACAATTGGATGAAGAACGGGCAAAGTTGACTCTCTTTGACGACGAGTTGCGCGCGCTCGAGGACGCCACTCGCTCAAAGAACTCTCGCGTTGCCGAGGAGAATCTTGAGCTGCAGAAGCTGGGTCACACTGTAGAAAAATTCCACAAGGAGCAGCAACAAGCCGGCCAGGAGCTTGAGCGCATGGAGCAAGCACACGAGTGGATCGCTGATGAGAAGGACAATTTCGGCCGTTCCGGAACGCCCTATGACTTTACGGGTCAAAACATCGGCGAATGCAAGGCAACCCTCAAAACCTTGACGGACCGTTTCCAAGGCATGAAGAAGAAGATCAACCCCAAAGTCATGAACATGATTGACTCTGTTGAGAAGAAGGAGGTTTCGTTGAAACACATGATGAGGACGGTCATTCGTGACAAGCGCAAGATTGAGGAAACCATCATTAGTCTGGACGACTACAAGAAGAAGGCCCTCTTGCAGACTTGGGAGAAGGTGAATGGTGATTTCGGTAACATTTTTGCCGAACTGCTTCCAGGAGGCAGTTTCGCCAAGCTCGACCCTCCAGAGGGCAAGACTATCAACGAGGGCCTCGAGGTCAAGGTGTGCTTGGGTAAAGTGTGGAAGCAAAGTCTTACAGAATTGTCTGGTGGTCAAAGGTATGTTCCCTTGTCGTTTGTCTCTTTAGAGATGAATCACGAACTAATGAGACAAATAGGTCACTGGTGGCGCTGTCCCTCATTATGGCCCTGCTACAATTCAAGCCGGCTCCCATGTATATTCTAGATGAGGTTGACGCTGCTTTGGATCTGTCGCATACACAAAATATTGGTCGCCTGATCAAGACTCGATTCAAGGGCTCACAGTTCATCGTCGTTTCGCTCAAGGACGGCATGTTCCAGAACGCCAACCGCATTTTCAGGACGAGATTCAGTGAAGGAACAAGTCACGTCCAGGCACTGACTGCAGCAGATTTCAAGTAAAGTGCTTGCTTGAAGTCAGTGGCAAGCATTGAAGTTACATAAATAGTGACGAAGAATTATGAGAAAATGACGGTGGATCACATGTGGCTTATAGAAGGGACTATACCTCGGTACCAACCATTATTGCGAGCAGCATTGGCAGATATCCATGTTTGGCTAGGTTGCGATTGGGATTGGACAGCATTTGTTGGCAGTTTCTCGTTATGAATTCCATTTACGAAACCTTTGGTTTCTACTTTATGGCAACACAGTGAACCACGTGATTCAGAATCTACAGCGAGGTGATATGCACAAGTGTTGCTTCATTATCTATATGTAACCACCCAGTTCTCTTTCAGACTTTAATCCTGATAAAAGTGGTCACCCCGTTTTTCCACCTGGACCTCCATCCCAACTCCGATCCAGCCCTCCCTATCCTCTTCATCCACGGCGTCCGCGAATAATGGACACGCCTGCACGCCCAGACACCCATTCTTGGGGGCGCCGGGGTCTACGTTGCGAAGGGCGCGGAGAGACTTGTCAGGCTGGCGGGGGTGACGGTCTCCCGTGTCCGGATCCACGTTGGGGAGCCTACACCGCGTCGTGCGGCACGATATATCGAGCTGCACAGAGCGGTAGAGGCCTGAACTGCCTGATTCTAGACGGATCTGTTGCCATGTGTCTTCGTCATAGACGGGTGCGCCGGATACTTTTGGGGTGAAATTTGGTTAAAACTCTCTCTGCCAAATCTGGTTTCATGTAGTTTATGAAAAGGACGATGAATACTTACCTATAATATTCGGACGGAATCGCATGACGCTCAGCTGTTTTAGATCCTGGTCCTTTGGAACTTCCTTGCTAAAGGCCTGGACGCTGGAGATGTTCTGAATATGAAGGGGGTACTGCGGAAAGTTGTTTAGCGTTGGAAAGGCTCCTCGATTGGTGGCCTCCTGGGTTGTGGGTGGTCCCTGGGTCCTGGAAAGGGGAGACGTAGAAACAGACGCGGAAACAGAGGAAGAGAGAGACGCTGCCGCGAGCCGGTCTCGCGGTGGTTCTCCTTGCAAATCAACAACAGCATGACTCACCCCATCCTGGAAAGCCGACACGGGCTGCCAGCCAAGGTCGTCCCGTTTGGGGGCGTTTCCGTGGTTGTTCTCGCGCAGATGCGCGGGGTCGATGCGGAAGAGGCCCAGCTTGTTGCTGACGCCGAGGTAGAGCCTCAGCTCCTCGGGCAGCTCAGAGGCCAGGTTGAGGGCCGTGACACGGTCGCCCCAGACCGTCACGTCCTCGTACGTGTAGCCGCGGGCCTTTGCCGCCTCGGCCGAGGGGAAGTCGACGGGCAGCAGCACCTCGATCTCGGGCTGGCCGCGCAGCAGGCCCTTGGTCAGCTTGGCCGAGAGCGTGTCCACGAGCCCGCGCCAGAAGCCGCGCGCTCGCCAGGGGAAGCGCAGGATCAGGAACGCCTCGCTCGTCTGGGCAATGCTCTGCTTGCGCAGCTTCATCTCGTCGGGGAGCCAGAGCTCGACCTCGACGGTGGCGAGGCGGGCGAACTGGCGCTGCGTGATGAAAGTCCACGTGTGCCGGGCCTTTTCCTTTTCCTCGTCGTCATCATGACCATCCACCTCGTCCACGGGGACGGGGAACTGCGACTTGAGCTGGGCAAAGGTAAAGAGACGGTCAAACTGCAGTCCCTGGGGCAGGACCCGCGCCTTGGTCACCTCGACGCCGCGGCACGACTTGATGGGGTAGACGACGAGGGCCTGGACGGTGGGCGTCCGCTGCTGGTTGCCGTCGGCGGCGGCTGAGTGGGCCGTTTCCGAGTACTGTGTCCGCAAGCCGCTCCTGGCCGGCGCAACGGCGGCGAGAGAGTGTGTCTGCAGCAGCGCGTCGCTCTTGCTGGGCCGGACGGGCGGCAGGATGATGACGACGGGCACCAGAAAAGCCAGGACTGTGGCGCAGAGCAGGAACACGGCGCTGGCGTCCAGTTCCAGGATCGCGGCCAGTGATAAGTCGTCCATTCTTGAATTATCCCAACTGCAACAACGACTACTGGACTTCTCTCTGCCTCTACGTGTTTGCGGAATCCCTCAGTTTATCCTTTCGCCTTTTGCTTGCCTTTGTTGCTGGATGTCCCGGGTCCTTTTGTCAGCCTCGAGGGTCCGATATCGCGGTTAGTGTAAGTTCCCTAAGGGTCCGTTCGCAAAGGGAAGTTTTCCAATGGATGAACTCTGGTAAGTCCTGGATCTTCAACTTTCGCAGTTTTCTTTAGCTTTTCTTAATTCTTGATGTTATATCTTTGGTCAACAAGGAGATATATAAATCGTGTTGTTTACTGAAGGATCTGGGGCTTTTTTCCCTTTTGCACGTATGAAACAATCAAGGCCAGTTCACGAAACACGACAGGAGGCGCGCAGCCTCAGCACCCTGAAAGGGCACGTGCACCAATGAGCTGACTCGACATTAAAAGCTGCCGACAGTGGACTTCTCTTCTTAGAAGAATCAACGGTGATTTATTATCACTAGTCATTGACATACATCTGGATACTGCACACTTGAGAATAGTTGCACTTTCTCGGATATTGGAGCTGCGCATCAATTGAGGTCCAAAGTGTTCACCGATTTTGTTTAAACGCTGGTATTAGAAGCAAGCACACCGGGGCGACCTCCGCCGGCCAATCATTTGCGCCCGCTCATTACGGTCCCTATGCATTCCAGGTCAGTACCTACATACCTACTATAGGTGGTAGGTATATTCTCAACATCAGACCACTAAAGTCATTATCATGCATCCTATTCTAACAAGTCGTTTAGATGTCCAGACTGCACAAATAGGGAGGGTGCAAAAGTCTTCTGGATCAGACAAATCTTTCCAAGAGCAGATGAAAAATCTTGCCATGAAAAATTCTGAACAGTCCAAAAATACTGAGACTCCCAAGCGACATCTTTTCCCCAAAAATGCCACCGCTGCATACTTGCGGAATGTCATTGGTCGACACAAAGGCGGCTCAATATAAGGTACGGCGAGCAGGCACAAATAGGCTAATCGAAGGTGAGGGGGGTTCAAGATTTTTTTCTTTTCTTTTACTTCTGCAAGTTATTTTTGAGTTTGCCCATTTCGACAAGAACGGTGACATCTTCCGTCCCTGCGTCTGCAATTTTGCAGAAAGCGGCAGCAGTGACAGCAGCAAGAAGAAAAAAAGCATCATCCTCGCTTCCAGCAAAGCCGCCAGGGTTGAATTGAATTGGCTTGGCTCCAATATCGGATGTCAATGCGTAATGTCAATCCAATTCCCATTGCAGCCATGATATCTCTATTCCATCACCAGCAAACCTACCTGTTGAGTAATCCAGGTATGGGATGCAATAATGTCATTCATCTGGCATGATTGGCTGACCCCGCGCAACAAAGGTGTCGTCGTCACTTTGTCATCCAAAGAGGCAATACTGATCAGCCTTAGGAGCAATTGCTGCTAATCTTGTCCACGGCTGTTTGACAAAGTGGTAGTGAATGAAACCCTCTGCGTCCTCGAAATGGAATATAGCCCAAGGCGCAATGTCGAGATGCCCAATTGGGGCAACTAGTCTTATTGGCTTACCATTGCGAATAAATATAGCTGCCAGACTTTTGAAGCATTCCCACATCCCAAAAATGTCCTAGTAGGTAGTGCCTAGCATCGCTATAATTGTCGCCGTACTCTCTTGTCAAATGCGGAAAAAAAAGATTATCGTGATCGAGAAACATGATTACGACACAAGAGATATCGCCCTGTGAAACCAACTGCAAAGTCGTAGAGAAAAAAAGAAAAAGAAAAGGAATGAATGCATCTACTACGCATGTCCCACCGCTCCCTATCGACCCCCCCTCGTATGTATGGAGTCTGATAGGTGGGGGGTTTTGAAACGTTACCTGATCGACGATATCAAACCTGTCTAGGCAGTGGACGTCATTCCATCGACGTTGACAAGGGCCACAAACCCATTGAATGCATTCTAGTACTTGGCTCTGATGGTCAACATAACCTGTTAGTATCGTAACTTGTCGAGAAGCATGTACTACCTACCGACCTACCATGTAAGGTGTAAGGGGTAAATCTGTAGAAAAGGCCTAGGTAAGGGGGGGTGATGTGACCTTCTGATGCAAGTGCCGAACAAACAAGATATTTCTGTCCCTCTTGTCGGAGCCCCGTCGGGTAGAGGGGGAAGAGAAAAAAAAAACATCCACGAGCGTCCTTTCGAGCTAATGTCAGGCACACGAAGGTCATGACCGTTTGACGGCGTCTTGGTTTGACACTACACCACCTAAGGCATTTCGGCATCGGGCATCTCGGGAGTCAGTTGCGGGCTCGCTTTAAAAACCGACCGAGTACGAAGCAGGCACTGTGTAATGAGTGGTAGGGACGGAATAACAAGAAACAAAATGAAAGATTGCACGCAGCAACCCGCTCGGCGTCTGTTGACGCCGGGCAAAATATGTAATACTAACCAACCTAGTCATTAGGCCAACGTTGAAAGGCACCACTGCTTCAGGTAGAGAGACAAGGTTTAGCAAAGCGTGGGCGCCGAAGCCTGGGTGGAGCTTGGGTAATCATTTGCCAACGTTGTACTGTTCTGTACTCTGCAGATAGGCATTGCCTACATACCCAGCTACTCGACCACGACAAAACTCATTGATTCCCCTTTGATAGTCAGTCTCCATGATTACTTTACATATGTAGATGGAACAAAACGGCCAAGCTTCCTAATTTCCCCCCTTCTGCGGGATTGCGCCCAGCTCTAATGGTCATCAAGTCTCTCGTAGATTGATTAGCGGAGGGGTTAGAATGGATTTCCGCCACAATCAGTCGTGAGTATAGTCGCATGTGGCTAGAGAACGCAGATGTAGTGGTCCTGATCGTACGGTTCCCCAGTTCCAGCTATTGCTAAGTTTGACAATTTCTGGAGACTGGCACTATGATAGTGCACAAGGTGCGAGCAGCAGGCAGCACGCTAGAGGTATCAACGCCACGGATTGATAATTCTGCTACCATGTTCGGTAATTGGCCTACCCTAGTTGATTGTATATCCGAACGATGTTACCTCGAGGGCCATATTTACTGGGCAAGCTCCGGGCTCTCGAAGGCGGCTGGAAGGAAGTTGTACTTGACGATACTAGGACTGGACCCTTGGCTCAATCATTAGTGAAATGAACTGGGATCAGCGACTTTGAGACCGTTGGGAGTTGGAACGGCCGAGGTCGAAGCAACCTGGCAAGTTGTGGACACAAGAATTGGCGCAGTCCCAGGCACAGAAAGGCGTATTAGCGCGCCATTTCTTCAGTCTCCAACTTGCCTGGCTGACATGAACCATCCCACCATGTCCACCGTGATGCGACTCTTGATTATTACTGTGATGCACTTGCGACCGTGAGCTAATGAGGTAGCTGCCGTCCAAGGTGGACAGGGAGGGGATCAGCCTTTCCTGGATCTCGGTATCTTTCGTTTCCTGGTTCTCTTTGGCTGTCTTGTTTGCGGATACCGATAGTGGGTTCGCTGTCACAGTTTTTGGCAGCCGGTCCAATCTAAACAAATTGGACGCCGCGTAAGAGCCGCTTCGCAACGCGCCAACGACGTGATCAGACGAAACCCGCTAAGACCGGCCGGGAAGCCCAAGGCGACCGGCGGCTGCTTTCAAGCTTTCAGGCCCTTTTCGGTGGTGGAGACAGATGGATGGTCGCAAGCTTAGGACTATGGTGTCGTGGCTTATATGCACTAGCTCGCCCCATGGGCAATTGCTAGCTGTGGGACAAGACGGAATTGAGAGGAAAATGTAGTCGAGGGAAAAGGAAAAAGAAAAAAATGACATGATCGTCTTCTTGGCTTCGTTTTGGAGAGCCGCTCCCAAAGTCTACATTCATTAGCTTGACTGGCGCAAAGTAGGACGAGGACGACGACGCGCCGTGCTGTTTCCGAGAGAGGAATTGCGCCGGGCCACCTCTCCGGCCGTGTAGCCGTAAAATCTATTTCGACGAATTTTTGCAGGCTGAAAAGGTTGGGCATCGTATCCACCTCTGATGGTAACGGCTCCAGCTACTCAATAACAACCCAGTTCTGTTCGTGTTGCGTAGCAATCCAATCTCCAAGGGCATATGCCATCATTTTGGCGGATTCGAGTTTCACGGGTGGCTGTTGTGTTTTTGACATGTGATCACCGAGCGCCAGGGATATTGGATATTGGGGATATGATCGTGATTTTTTTTTTCTGGTAAACCCCCATGGCAAGCCAATCAAGCGTGTGGCGGCGCAGCGCTGACACGCTTACTCAGAGGCGCCGCACTGATCAGTGCGCCTCTGCCGTGTCGCCCGGAGCCAGTGCGGCTTCTAGAATACCTAGCAAAAGGCCGGCAATCTCTTAGAAATTGAGCCGGAATTGAGCCAGTCCTGGATAAGACATTGGCAAATGGTGATACGCAGTCGTAACACCATTGATTCCAGTTTGAGGCCTTGCGTCCGATTACCATGAGCCTTCGTGGATAAATCATTTTCAGGGTGCAATTCCACTAGAAATTGCAAGTTTCCGTGCCCAACAAGTCTTGTTGCATATGCCTGGTAGGAAACGATATAATACGGATTGGAAATTTCTCACCGATGCCTGGGTCGGGGTTGGGCGGATACGCAATGCATCTCATTTCAGTCGGCCATGACAGCGTTGCATCATCCAGCCTCTTTTGAGCTTGGTGAGTAAAAATGTCTGTCTTTTTCCCAGAATTAATCTAGGTTAATTATTAGCTGACGTTGTCGAGGCGGCTGTCAAGGCGACAGGACATATAGCAGAACCTTGTCTTAAAGTTGACGTTTCCGCATCTTGCGAGCGCCCGTTGATGTTGCATTGTCTGGGAGATCCTCCAGCGCGGTCCGGTATTGCTTTGGCAGGGATTGCTATCAATTGCTGACCCCCGGCCTGTTGATATATTTGAGTTAATATAGAGTTCCGGTATGGGAAACTCGTCCGTTGTTCATCAAGCCTGATGCATAACGAATTT